CGTGGCTGTTTCTACAGCCTCATTTTGCTATGGTGCGTGAGGTGGGTGCTGCGTGCGGAACGCGGAACCGTGCGGCACGAGCTCCGGCACGGTAACTACCGGTAGTGTTTGGCCACCCCTAGTGTTCGGCCACCTCACCAATGCAACCAACTCAATTTGGAGTCGCAATTTCTCAACCACCACGCTTAGAATTGAATTACTGTACACATAGACTCAAGGCTGCAGGCTTCTGCTGCCTTGGCTGCAATCTCAGCTGCTTTTTCTGGTGTTGAGGCAGCGTTTTCTCTCGCTTGAGCCGCCACGCGATCATGAGCAGCCTTGATGTCCTCTATGTTGCTGAAGCGCTTATTTGGGTCTATTTGAACGCGCTTTCTCGGCTGTGTACTCTTAGTACTATCTAGTAGATATTTAAGTTGTTAATTCTCTGCCTGAAGCCTAGCGAACCTGGCGTTAGTAAGAGTAATTGCCTTGGCTGCTTTGCTAAGCACTAACTAGGTACCTCGCAAGAGGTTCTCTGATTCCAGCAACCTCTTCTGCGTGCGTAATAGGTGCTGGGCGCTTTGTGGTGTCTTAAATACTGCCTCTAAGGTTGCTCCACGTTGATTAGCTGGTGGTGGAGTACTTGGGCGTCTAGATATCTGAGATGAGTTAAGAACTAGTGAAGGCCTATACGGTACCAGCCCAGCAGCCTTCCAGCTGGCTCTAATTACTCTCTTATTGAAGCTCTCCTCTCGCGCTTTGTTGTAGCAGACAACAAAGCGCTCTTTCTTAACTGGTGCTGCGTCATCAAGCGCAGAGAGCGCGCTGATCTCCTGGCAATAGCGCGACTTTAGTACTGAGAAAGCAGCAAGGTCTAGCGGCTAAAGAAGGTGTGATGAGTGTGCAGGTAGGTAGAGAAGGTGTATCTTATTCTCTCTGCACTCCTACATGAAGTCAATAGGTATATGGGAGCTGTGGCCATTAAGAATAAGCAGCCAGTGGCCGCTCTGTAATGGTGAGGTATTTAGTATAAAAATACGCTGTAACTACTCTAAACCTATAGCGTTTAAAGTCTACCTATTTATTGAGGTTGTGTATAGCTAGTCTAGTGTATTGATTGAGGGAATCCACGTGGTTTAGAGGTGTACGCCTTTGAAGATGACGAGGCACTGCAGCTTTGTGCCAACAGCGTTAATACACTCTATAATAGAGACCCACTCACGCGATTCTGGTGAGCCTTTGTAAGCCTTCTTCTTATGCGTATCCGCAAGGACTTGGTGGTTAGTACATACACTAAGTGCGACGCTAGTCTTATCTATATTCCACATGTTCTTACACTGTATGCCTAGCTCCCTTGTGATGTGATCAAAGTGATTAAGCCACTCTTTAATAGTATTGTAATTAGCTGCAGTAGTGCGCGCACTCTTAATTTTCCTGCTAACTACTAATGCAACGCGTGGCTGCTGTGCAAGAAAGTAAGGTATCTATCGTTTGCCAAGTAGTTGGGTATTGCTGTTCATACGCAGGATTTGAGTGGCCATCTCACGCACGCGAGCGTGAGATGGAGGCTGTGCACGTGTATCCTCGTCAAGAATCCACTCCACAAGGAACTCCTCTTGCTCCGGAGTCAATCGCTGCTCGTGGTGGTGAGCTATCGCGTTGGGGACGCGGCCATTGAGGCGCTCTTGGAGCGACGATTAGGGAACGCCCCACTTCTTACAGACTGCACGCTGGCTTTTTTCAACACCAGAATTAAGATCAGCGATAGTAGATTGTATAGCAGTCTCACGGGTGTCTATTTTGAGCAGGTGGTGGTGGAGAAAATACGCGTTGATTGAAAGTGACGCGGAGTTGGTGGGTGGCCGAACACTATGGGTGGCCGAACACTAGGTAGCCAAGCTTATACAAGTTCTAATTCAGAGCGTAGAACTCTGTGCTGATTGCGTCCTTATTGTCTCCAACAATGCACAGTCTTACAAGACCAGCGCATGAGCCATGCGGACAACTGATGATTATCTTGGCCTCACTCATGATACTGTTACTGTCTACACCCATTTTTTAAGATATATCAGCTACGCGGTCTACCAAGATCTGCTATCCAGTGCGTTTTCCTATTAAATTTTGTAACTGTGTGAGCAGTGTTGGTTAGAGACTATAATTAACAATTGTATTACTATCTATTGTTGTGTTGTGTGATGTTCTTCTAAAAGAGCTCTCAGCTCTAAGGTAAGTGCACTTGCCCATCAGGCAGTGTGCCTGCTACAATAGGATACTATATGATCTGAGCCACGTGGTTACAAATTTGCATCGCTCGTCACCCTCTAAATTACCTAGCCTAGTTTCCTGAAATCCTAGAGTATCTTAACTGCCTTACTAAAAGTCTTGTTTAGTGTATAACCCTTATCAGTCAGCACACCCTGTAACCTGCTCCAAAACTCCTAGCTTTTGTTAAACATCTCTACATCTTTGTTATGTTGCTAGATTTGTTCTACTAAGAAATTATACAGACACGGTATGTCAGTACTAAAATAGTCCTATTCTCTAATTTGAATAGTAAGCTGGGAAGCGCAAAAAAAAGGGATAGGGCAATATACCTCTTAACATGAATTAAGCATTCTTAAAAGGAAAGAGACAACTGTCCTAGGTAGAGCTAATAAAAGCTTCTAATTGCTTAAGAGTCTGACCATGAGGATGCCGCATCACCTTGTGCATTAGAGGGTTCTTCTCCACTATCAACGTTTTGTACGCTTAAATTAAGACAGATTAAGACACTTGGTATCTGAGTTAATCTTTGGTAGCATTATTGAGCGTTTTGAAGTTATTGAGAGCTTCACTAACATGTTAATCCTATAATCTAAAAGCAACAGTGGATTGGCTCTGATAAACACTAGGGCAGTCCATGCTCCCTGCCAGTTGATGATGCATGAGATCTGGGCTTGACCGTTGATGCAAATGTTGCCAGCATGAAAATCTGGGTGCCAAAGTCTAGGAGAAATAAGCTCTGGGCCTTGGGGCGCGATGTGCGGAATTGCTGATAGGAACTTTTCCAACAAAGCCGTGTAAGCCTCTAGGAAATTTTGCTCTAAACTCATGCATGTACTGCTATAGTAATTTTTTGGGTTCTTGTAGATTTGCGTGAGAGTTGATCTAGTTGATCTCACAACAAGTGATAGATTCTAGGTAGTCTGCAGAAAATATCCCTGTAATTAATTTTAGTCAAATCCTAAATCTTATGAGCGTCTAGACACTAACAAGGACTATAGTGTTGCATGTTACTATGTTGTTCCTTCTAGAATTCTCTCCAAGTGATGGGTTCAATGGAACAATGTAGGCTGGCGGATGGGTAGGGTATGCTTTTTTACGTTTTGGCTTATAGCTTCTTAACTAGCAGAGATACGCTTACATAATCTATTATTCGATAGAAGCGCCTAGTATTGCGCCTTCTAATAAAAAAAGAATTAGCTCATTCCGCCTAGTATTAGCTGAGTTATCAACACTACCTAGCAAAGTATACCTATTAATGGGTATGCTTGCTAGGTACCCCCCCTTTTTTAACCTTTTCTAGCCTCTAGCTTGTGCAGTTTAATAGTTATAACAAAACCCTCTACTACAGAAATGTAGAGGTAGTTTTTCTCTTTCTTTTAAGCCCTATTTCGCTAGAATCCATGTATTATTGACAAAGTTTTGGGGGGTACCCACGAAGGACGTTGGAGTATACCCATTCCGCCAGCCTAGAACAATGTAATTTAACGTGATTGACGACATCTCGCGGACAAGCTATGACAATAGCAGGCTCACATCCTGTAATCCCACAATCCTCAAAATATAGCAATCCCAATCTGCTAGCATGTATGAGCTAAGTTGATCATAAATTAAGTATTAGAGCAGGCTGGATCATACTTAGTAACAGAGATTAAGAGCAACTTTCTTTTAATATCTACAAACTTACAAATAATGTTAGATTTTAATCGCAGTAAAAGACCCTGCTAGAATTTGTGGAGTTGGGAGCTAATTGCTTCTTCTATAATAATATATTCTGCCTGAACAGGGTTTTGGTTGTAGCACTCTAAGCAAGAATTTTTAGGACAGGTATGTTCAAGACGGTTTGAGAAAACTCTATAGTTGCTACTTCTAATTAAGTAGTAAGTACCTGTGGACCAGCGTTGGGGTGAGGTACTTTTGCGATGACCTTTTGGCCGTTCTCTATCTTAAGGCGGTATGCCTTATTGTAGTTGCCTTCGCCAATCTTCTTAAACGATATACACTTTTCTGTGGCAAGGGCTTGATAAGCCAGTTTCTGGAGACTGGGCACGTCAAAATGACGATATTAGGCTGCCAATTGCTCACGCTCATTCCAAAGCCACCGTCCGCTGGGGTAGCAGAATAAGGGATCTATATCAGGACACTGATGGGAAGGGACTGGACAGAAACCCTCTAACGTGTATCGTAAGCAAATGTGGTGTACTCTCACAATGCTTGTAAATACACTTTAATGAAGTATTATTGCTAGTAGTAGAGATTGTGACGCGATTAGGAGACTTAGTTGATAGGGTTTGTGACCTATGTAAAAAGTTAAAACGCACTGTTAAGTTAAAAGCTTGTTAGTTTATAATTAGAGTGCTGTTGGAGGTTAACTTGTAGGAATAAGAATCTGAGTCCAGGGAGCAAACGGGACTGGGTGGGCTAGCTGCCAGGAACCTATTAGTAAGTATTGACTAAGTAACGTTGCTCAGCAAGACTAATCCAAGTATCAGACCATTGGAGAATGCTATATTAATTAATAGATGGCTAGATGGTCGTAGAGTCGAGTGAGGGACTGGAGATCATTGTGCTGGTGGATGTGGTGAAGTCGAATTGAGGACTCGTAAAATTTGGTATATATTGTATATGTTCTCGTTTTCCTTCCACATACGACCATAGGACGTTGAAAACAAGGCTTCCCGTTCGCTCAGCCCTATTTAAGCAACGTACCGGCGGATTAGTAGTTAGGTGGGTGACCACTAGCGAATACCCGCTGTTGTATGTTTTTGATGTTCTTTTTGCACCCTACATTGACAAGCTGTTCCTTCCAACAACTCCGGGCATGGTTTCCAGTGAGTCTGATCTAAGCTGGGTAAGGTGCTTTCCGGCCACCCGTACTTTCCGGCCACCCAACCAAATGTAACTACCTCACTTTGAATCGCGATAACTTAACCACAACGCTTATAATTGGTATACTGTACACATAGAATCAAGAGTGCAGGCTGCTACTTCCTTAGCTGCTTTCTCAGCTTCTTTTTCTGGGTTTTTGGCAGCGTTTTCTGCCTCTTGAGCAGCAGCCAGAGCCATCGCAGCCTTAATCACTTCAACGTTTGCAAAGCGCTCATTTAGGTCAATTTAAACGCGCTTTCTTACCCGTGTGGTCTTAGTAACGAGCGCTTGCACCAGCGCCCTCAAATGTCCAACCCTTCAAGCTCGAATTTCTTGGACTGAGAGATGTAGTGCTAAATTGAGCTGAGGAAAGATAAGGGCAAATGCTCGCTTCATTGAATAACTTCAATTTGAGGGAAGTGAGAAATTAGCAATGCAAAGAGAGCAAGCTGCAACCATGAAGAAGTGACGTTGATGGGAAGCGATCTTTGCAGATCATCGAGTTCTTAGCGGTCATGGGGTCCCGAATTGCAGAGCGTCGCGTTCTAGCACTCGAGGTACAACGTGTGCTCCCTTGCCTTGAAATATCAACCCCGGAATGCCACTAACCACGGATACCCCTAAGCTAAACCAAACAGTCCCCTCACCATTTATCTTGTCGTGCCTCTTCATCCTGTCTTGTCTTTTCATTCGCATGTGAGAAATGTTCTTCTCCCGCAAGGCTTCGCTCTCACGCGAAGCCTTCACCTACTTCACCCTCCTTGCTCTCTGCACCCTCGCTTCAGTCTACCACTTCTACACCAGCACCAGCGCGATCTCCCGCGACATACAACATCTCATCCTCCCCTTTCCCCCGGGACCAACCTCCCCCATACCCAAAACTTTATGGTACAAAGTTGGCCCACGGGGCCGCAACAACGAAATCACTGCATGGACCAATAGCTGCATCACTGCAAATCCAGACTACGACGTCCGATTTCTTACAGATGAAGATGCCGAACACTCCGTCTCCGCCGCGTTCTCCAACCGCGCCAACATCCTCGAAGCATACTCGGGCCTGACCGTGCCGGTTCTGAAAGCCGATATGCTGCGCTACATGATGCTATACGACCAAGGAGGAGTGTGGTTAGACCCGAACGTGTCCTGCGAGGAAGTGCCGATTGACGAGTGGATAGCGTCCGAGTTCCGAGAAAAGGCTGGACTAGTTGTGGGCTGGGCGTTTGATGTAGGGCCGTCTTTGGGCATGAGCCAGTTTGCGAGCTGGGCGATTATGGCGAGGCCGCGGAGTCCGCATGTGTTGGCTGTGATTGAGAGGATTGTTGATGCCTTGCGTGGCGTGATGAAGGAGCATCGTGTCAGCATGGGGAATGTGACGTTGAATTTGACGGGTGATGCTGTGGGTTTCTCGGGGCCGGGACGTCTGACGACAGGCGTGTTTGAGAGTCTGGAGCATACCTTGAATAGGACTGTGAGCCTAGATGAAGCTAGGGAGATTTTGCAGCCGGTGCTTCTCGGTGATGTGTTAGTTATGCCAGGGCGATCGTTTGCGGCGTCGATGAATGATTATTCGAAGAAAGGTGGTGGATCGGGTCTGTTACCGCCGCGGTTGGTGACACATCACTATGCTGGGATGTGGAAGAACGGTTCAGATGGGGAGTGAGTCACATCTCCTTTTGCTGAGTGTTTTGTAAGCGACTATTTGACAGCGCTGGGATGCCATCTACTCGTGGCGTGATCACCGAGAAGGACTCTCCAGAACGGCTTGAAGTATTTTAGCGAAGCTGATTGTGCGTTAGATGGGCCTATGCTCGTTTTAATGCTGTCAGATAACGACGACCGCCCTCTCCTCGATCTGCGCGCCAGCCTTATACATGTTCAAATCGGGCAACATGTCGCTCTGGTATACATGCCCTTGCTTCCACCTCCCATCCTCTCCACCCCCACTAACCCTTTCATTGCACTTGGGGAACTCCATGTCATCCCACCACATCTTTCTACAAGCCCCTTCCCACACGTCGTCACCGACACGAAATCCTCGCTCCCACTCACGCGACGAAGTGATACGCCTCGTTTGGTCGTCTTTCTAGCCGCACAGGTATCCATACCACGCGTAACTATCACATACAGCAAGGCCGACGCGCCTCTAGGTTCTTTTAGCGTCGCCTGCAGTACGAGTGCAAGAGCCTGGATGCTGACTTAGTCGTGGTCCTGGTGAGAGCTCATTTGCCTGGCGAGCTGCTCGCCCAAGTGATGTTGGGCGATTGCTATGAATGTGACCTCTTGCGTGGGCTCGTCATCTCGTCGGGCCTGAACGTTCTGCGCACGAAGCACAAAGGACCCCTACGTCGAGTGCAATTGATGTCAATGGCATTGTTTGGGTCCGGGTGATGGGCTGAAGGAGAAAGTACTGGAATGGATAGAAGAATCAATCTTTTGAAGATCATGTGCTCGAGATCGAGACGACCTGCAGGTCGGGGTGCGGTCACAGGTGGAAGCTTTATTACAGTTTCGCGGATGGAGTATGGATATATGACGTTGACGTGTCCTTTGCGAATGTGGCCGCAGATTGTGCCAGACACCTTGACATCCTCCACACTACAGATGCGGTCGAAACTAGGCATCTAATTCTGCCCGCACAGTACCGGTGCAGTAACAGATGCCCAGGACCAGCTTGGTGCAAGAGCTTCCTTGTGGCGGATGTACTCAATACGCTCGATATCGAAGTTAGTTGTTGAACTTATCAAGAACGTCTCGTTGTGTGGTTGACTCTATAGTAGGCCGATGAAGAGATACTCCCGTTATAGCCCGGCAAGATATTTGTTCTTTATGTGTCGACTGAGTGCTTACGCTATTTCAGCAAGGGCCACCCGTCTGTTGCTTGACTGGGTCATTTCTCGATGCGTATGGTTCATAACGAGGTTACACCAGTACTGATGCTTCATCCGAGCCCAGAAACTCGAGTCTGCGAATTCTCCCTCTTTGGCCGTGTCGTTTTCGAAAAACTCAAACTCGTCCGTGATGCTGCTACGAACATATTTCAACAACAAGTCCAGCCTTGTTATGCCAGACTTAGGAGAGCCTTCAGAGCCATGCATAGTGAGACAGTCCTACTTAAGCTGACCTGCGTGGAAAAAAGAGCATTCGAGGAGAGAAAAGCTACTCGTGCAGGACCCAGGCGCGTCCATGAAGTGCTGGATCTCCACCACCTAAGTCTTGCGTCTGCGGTCGTCCGTATGTAGCGGATTGGAGTCTTCGAATCGGAGTCCTTGTTGGTCGCTTTTCTAACCTGGTGAGCCTGAGTATGATTGGTTGGATACGGAAGCAGTTTCCGTTTGCTCAAAACATGTATAATCTGGGTGCCAACTTATTGAGTGTCTCAAGCTTTCGTGCGGAGGGAGAGTGATGAAGCGAGGCAAAATGCAGGACAGGGGAAACCAGACATAAGAGCTCATTGCAGGGCACACCTTGTCTTTGCTTGAGTATGCTCTACCGCTATTACCCACTCATAATCACATCTCCATTCGCATCCGCATCCGCATCAGCAATCACGCCTGGGTCCAGTCTACTCAAACACCCGGGGCAATTATGCAGCACCATATGGCAGAACACATCGCAGTCGATGCAAAAGTGGCTTTCGCAAGACCGGCACTCATATCTGGCGCTCTCGCTTGCATGCTGCTCTCCATTCTCTTCGTCTTCTGCCTGTGTTTTCCCCTCTGCATGCCCGTTCAGCATGCTGCCTGTTGTAGACTGCCTCCTCTTCTTGAGTGCCCTCGCGGCCAACTCCTGTTTCGACAGTATCTTGGGGAAGGTGGTGAGGCAGGCCACACAGTCTTTTGAATCTTTTTCGCGGGCGCGTTGCCAGGAGACCGTGGCCCAATTGCGCAGAGGGAACAGGTGGTGGTAGCTGCGCGCCAGATGCGTTGAGAGGAGGAGGGTGAGCTGGCAGCTGGGACATGTCACGGGGAGTGAGCATACTTTTGCACTGCACCGGGAGCATGTGTAGCCGCCCAGTGTGAGGTTGCCGTGGCATGCGCATATTGTGGGTGTGTCTTCCACAACGCGAGATGGGAACCCCATCATCATCAGTGCTGCGCCTTTCTCGGACTGCTGAGGGGTGGAGGCGGTGTCTGAGCGTATGACGGGCGGTGTGGTCGTTGCGATGAGAAGCTCCTTAAGCATTTCCTGGTCGGTTGCGATCGTGTATTCGCTTTCATCCCCGGCGTTTGTCCGCGTTACTATCTCCTGGCAAATCTTGAGGCGTGCACCCATGCCTATCACGCTTACTCTTATGCGGTCGAGCACGCACGCTTTGATGGTCTGGTGAATGTCGCCGGGATCGAGAGAAAGGAGGGAGCCAAAGACCACGATAACCTCTCTTGTACCGTGGTTTGGTGTGTGATATAGCGTTGCACGCGCGAGTTCGAGGGCGTTCTGCAGACTAGGTGCGCCCTTGGGCTCCTTGCCAGTCTCCTTACTGCGCAATCCCAAGATCGCCGCTGCGTGCTCTGCGGGGTTGCCTGAGAGCTCGGAGACTCGTATGCATATGCCGTCGTGCATGCCGAGGACACTCATCTGGGAGATTGGGTTTTGCTCAAAGAACTCGCGGACATAGTCTTGCGTATAGTTGATCATCGTATAGAAGCGGTTCGGCCGCATGTCCTTCTCCAGCATAGCCTCTGACAGGTCCAGTACCAGCACTACGTGCCGTATTATGCCTCTCTGGAAGGGTTTTGTATCTTTCCGTAGCCGCTTGCGCTTGCGCTCCTCCTCTCGCTCTTGCACACTCTGCCCTATATCATCGTCGTTACCGCGCGCCATTGTCTTCTCGACTGTTCGGGAGTCCTCGGTCTCCCACGCTTTGCGCGCTGGCTTCGGCGCAGCCTCTTTGCCGGCATGGTTTCTCCCGCTCACTGCTGCTGGCTGTGCTGGTCTGCTTGAGCTAGCTCGAGAGCCAACATACTCTTCGCCGGAAACCTCGTCGCCATCGTAGGAGTAGTCCGAGTCAGCCATCACGCGTGGTGGGTGTGCTCGTGAGCTTTGTCCGTACTCGTAGCAGCGACCGCCGGCGGCGCTATGCTGCTATGTCCGCAATCAAAATGGCTGTCTAACAACTGAAGAGCGTATGCTGTGTACTGGAGGTAGAAGTGAGGTCGGACGAAAGTGTGGGGCGATGCTATGAGCTGAGGTGCGCGACGGAGGAATAATGTAGATGACGTCGCGTGCTTTCATTTGCAGTTGTTCCTGAAGATTCTTTTAAGGCGAGGTTGAGCGGCGCATTCTCCGCGCAAAGTAAGTTCAGCCAATGTCTTGCTAGGACCTGACAGGTGTCAGCTTCGTGAGGCGTCAGCGGTCGATTGGAGATCGATCCTTGGAATGCGTGCGCACGTGATGGAACGCGTTCTCACGTTTTGCATGAGAATTCGATCAGTACATAAAACTATCATTTTTTCCAAAAAAACATTATCTGTGTATCGTGAACTAGCAGCATGACGCGTAAGGCGTCCGAAGATTCCCAAAATGGTATACGCTATGCTAGACAAATCATGAAACATTACGCCGTATCTTGTACACCCACCACATGTCCTGTCCGGTCATCAGTTATACGTGCCGGATCCAGCAACTGTGGGCATTGGCCAGTCGTCTTCAGTGATGCTCGACCAGAAGACCCAGATCATCACAACAGAGAGAAGCGTGAAAAGAGTCTCGAAGAGACCACCGTTGATCTTGCCGTTGGTGCCGGAGCAGATGTGGACGCTGATTACGTATTGGAATATCTGACCAATGGCGAAGAGGAGAGCTGCGCCAAGTAGGTAGACTAGAGGTTGTTAGCAAAAGTTCAAGATGTGTGCTCGGGGTGCGTACGCATTGGTTTGCGCTCTCCAAGAACGCGGAGGACAAGGAATGACTCCAAGCAGAAGAAGATGACCAGGAAGACCAGAGGAACCAATTGGTAAAGGGTGTAGAGGGCATAGGCTTGGTTCTCTCCTGAGAGGGTGTCATCCCAGTAACCGGTCCAGCTGAACCCCGTATCGAGGGCGATATACCCGGTTCCGACGAAGAGTATGATAGCAGAGAGCAAGAGCAAGCCAATGGAGATGGGGGTGCCGTCGTCCAAGAGTTGATAACCGACCAAGCCATTAAGCATGAGGATCCAGGATGTTGCAACGATGGCAGCGATGTGCACAGCGACGAATGCCTGTGGAGCAGTCAGCTCGTCGTCACCATTGCCCAAAGTATACTACTTACCAGACGCACGGAGTTGTTCAGAGGGAAGCCGCCAATGGTGAAGATCTCGCAGATGGAGACGATGATGTAACCGAGGAGGAAGAGTTGCATTTCTCTGTCAAGAGTCAGTCTTCAGGTCGATGCTGTTTGTCCTTCCAATTGCGCACCTTCGTCCAACGGCCGCCTTCTTCCTTTCAGACCTCCAAAGCAAGAAGAAGGTGGTGGCGATTGCGATACCACATAGTATTATTGATCCTGCGCCAATCAGCTTACTTGCAATAGCGCAAGTGTTGTCTTTCACTGACCCAGGTTGTGCAGCCTGTTGCCACCGCCGACAGAGAAGCCTTCCAGAGTGCAGCCTCCCTCCCATCCTCCTCCGTTTCTTGTGGGTGCTTGGGCGAAGAGCTGCGGTCATGGCGGTTAGCGGCGCGCGCGCGAACAATGGGTCAGACCAGGGGTCAGGCGCAGGCGCAACATACATAGCATACTACGACAATTAGTATCTTGCAAACGTGTGTCGCGATGTGAGGGTGGTGTCTTACCTGGCAGGGTCGACCAGCTGTTGCCCGTGTCGCGACAAAAGTCGTCAAACTTTCCGTACCTCGACATGGCTGGCTATCCGCAGCGCAGCTGCAGCAGGAGTGATCGTCGAGTCCGAATTGCAGGGTGGTGCTCAGGCAGCGAGTGGATATGGCAGTCCTGACAGGGCAAAGGTAGCGAGGGTAGATAGTGAAGGAACGGTGCGGGTCTAAGAGATGATGTGCTGCTGCTGGTACGGTGGCTGGTGTGCAGCGGGCCCGTTTCTTGCTTCAGAAGCCAAGCAGAGGGCTAAGATCAGGGATCGTGCGTTTTACGACACCCTTGACGCGACCCGAGTTTGGCGCAGGTGAGAGATGGGTGAATCGACCTTTCGCCTTTGGGCATGCAGTGGTCTGGAGAAGAATCCTGGAAGTTGCTGCGCTGCCAAACAGGTTCCTCACGCCTCACACTGCCCATCACGATTCACGACACGAAGACGAATGAACCAGCGAACGGGCCGGCAATCAAAGGTGCAGCCAATCACGGCCGCAGGAGCTGCTGCACTAGGCATGTTTCAGGTCGATCAGCGCTCTTGCGGAAGGTGTCTGGCGGCAGAGCAGCGCCTTCGAGCCGCGACTCCATAGCAACAAACATGGCTGAGATCGTAATAAGTGGGTACGCCATCGTCACTGATTTGTTGACGCTCTGCAATCACGACTCCAGCGATTACCCATCCAGATGTTGTATGAGAACGATGACTTGTTCAACACCGACCGCTCTACCTGGCTAAGTCTGGCAGATGCACGTCAGGACGCACAGCGTTCGCGTTTGTGCAGCAATGATCGCCAGCCAGCACGCCAGCCACCTTTGTAGACCTCCAGGGCAGCCGAAGCGACTCTGCAAGTGGTCTCTCACGTGCTCGTCGCAGCCAAAGCATTCGCCAGACGTGTTGAAGCTCATTAACGCAGCCCTCTCGACGCGGACGTGGTGGCAGAGGTGCAACAGCCGCACTGTGTTTCACTCGTGAGAGGCAGCGGTGTTTCGAGGCTCGCACCCGCAGCGGTCTACGCGCGTTCCTCGCACGTGGGCTCCCGGTGTACGGCTGATTGATATGTTCTATGCTATGACACGTTTCGACGATCGGTATTGGAATACTCGAAGTTGTTATCGCGGTGTTCCTGCCGTGCACCTTTGGCGAGGCAGCTCTGTTGACAGCTAGTAACCGCGATCAGCGCGTCCTGCTGTGAGACGTATACATCGGTGTGGTGTTTCTCGAGTAATGCTGCACTTGCAGCGTTGCAATTCTCCGTGGAAGTGGAAAGCACTGCGGCTTTGAACCCAGAGATAAGGAGTTTTGAGCCTCTAAGCAGACATGTTCCGTGGTAGCCTGCGCGGCGACATCATTGCGCAGCAGGCTGCTTCAACGAGTTACAACCTGGCCAACAGCAGCCAGCACTCCTCCGCGGTGCAAGCCCGGCCCGAGTAGGAAAGGAGCGCCAAGTCCAGCAGGAACATCAGCGGTTTTCAGGGCTCAAGCCACAAGCTGACAGGGAGGCTCACGTTTCCCTGATCACGAAGCCTACTTGTGCCGTATCGTGCTCTATTCAGTCCCACTGCCGTCCAATGTGACCGCCCTTGACCGCTAAAGCCCTAGGCCCACTTCGCCCTGCACCCGCGGACGTCACTCGCGACCGCCTTTCGACCCTTCTCCAGATCCACTGCACTGGAGTCGGCTGCTCCCTCAGCCTGCAACCTTCACCATTCCTTTCAACGCGGGCAGCAGTCGGAGACCTGCGAACATCCCTCTCCATAACCTGAGCTCGTCCTCACGCCCCCGTGACAGCGATTCCGCTTATCTGCTCGACAACGATAAGGATAGCGCGCGGTCCTCGTTCGACACCCCGTCCTCGCTCTCCGACGACCTCTCGCTCTGGAGCGACACCGGCGATCTCGTCGACCAGCTTGCCGACCAGGAAGACCCGCTCGCCATCCGCTTGGAGAGCCACCTCCCCCCGCAGCACCGCCACAAGAAGCACGCCCGCTTCGCGTCGCAGAACAGCCTCCACGAAAAGGGCCACCGTGAACTCCGACTCGAGGACATCGAGATACCAGACCCCGGCCCACGAACTATCTCGAAGGCAGAGAAGCTCCTTGCTCGAATCATGGCACCCAACGATGGACCGTCCCGTATCCACGGGCTGCACGGGAAGAAGCTCATGTAGGCGGAGCCGCACAGCTACTGGCAACGACCGTACTGACACGGAACAGCTACTTCACCAGTGTCTTCGTCTCGTTAGGCGTGTTTCTCTTTGGCTACGACCAGGGAGTCATGTCTGGTATCATCACGTACGCCGCCCCGCATCCCTCCGTGCTGAAGCATGTCTGACCAAGCATACAGCGGTATATACTTCAAGGACTACTTCAACCAGCCCACAGCCGTCGAGCTGGGCAGCATGGTAGCTATCCTGGAAGTTGGCGCATTCATCTCATCCATCCTGGTCGGCAAGATCGGAGACATCCTCGGACGCCGTAAGACCATTCTGTACGGCTCGCTTATCTTTGTCGTTGGTGGCGCTTTCCAGACCTTCGCCAATGGCATGCCCATGATGCTCTTGGGGAGAATCGTCGCCGGTCTCGGTGTGGGAACGCTGTCTACGATAGTACCCGTGTACCAGTCTGAGATCTCACCGCCCCACAACCGTGGAAAGATGGGTTGCATCGAGTTCACCGGCAACATTGCCGGATACGCATGCAGTGTCTGGGTTGACTACTTCTGCAGCTACATCAAGAGCGACTATTCCTGGAGAATCCCGTTATTCGTGCAGTGTGTCATGGGCAGTCTACTGGCTCTGGGCAGTTTTCTAATCTGCGAGTCGCCAAGGTGCGTTGTCTTCAGCAGGTGTATGGATCATACTGACAACCAACAGATGGCTTCTAGACAATGACCATGACGAAGAGGGTATCGTAGTCATCGCTAATCTGTACGGAAAGGGTGACATCCATAACCCCAAAGCCCGCGATGAATACCGAGAGATTAAGATGAACGTGCTGCTCCAGCGACAAGAAGGTGAACGCTCGTATAGCGACATGTTTAGACGCTACTACAAGCGTGTCTTCATCGCCATGTCCGCCCAAGCCCTCGCACAACTCAACGGTATCAACGTCATCTCATACTATGCGCCGCTTGTATTCGAAGAAGCGGGTTGGTACGGTCGCCAGGCCATTCTAATGACTGGTATCAACGCGATCACATATCTCCTGTCCACAATTCCGCCGTGGTACGTCGTAGACACTCTGGGTCGTCGAAAGATCCTGCTTTCTGGAGCCTTGATGATGGTTATATCGCTGTCTGCTATCTCCTACTTCATCTTCCTGCAGGCGAGCTGGACACCGAACATGGTCGTCATCTTTGTGATGATATACAACGCGGCATTCGGATACTCATGGGGTCCCATCCCATGGCTGTACCCGCCAGAGATTCTGCCCCTCAGCATTCGTGCGAAGGGCGCCAGTCTGAGTACCGCGACTAACTGGGCCTTTAACTGGCTGGTCGGCGAAATGACACCTATATTGCAGGAAGCTATCCAGTGGCGCCTGTACCTCATTCATGCGTTCTTCTGCGCTGTTAGTTTCGTCGTTGGTAAGCTGAGTTCTTTGCAGTCTCTCAGTACCTCGCTAATTATGTCCAGTCTACTTCATCTACCCAGAGACCGCCAACGTCCGCCTCGAAGACATGAACTCGCTCTTCGGAGACGCCACAACAGTTGCAGCCACACCGCAACAGCAGGCCGAGGTGGAGTCCTTGATGAGCGGCAGCGGCCGTGGTCGTACATCCGAACGCGGCGGCTCCCGTCTCGCTGCCGAAGCTGCCATCCCTGGCCTCGACATCGAACCGCCTGATCTCGAGAACGGCAGGTCTCCTCCCAAGTCCGAGAACGGAGATGGCGTCGGCGGCTGGATCTCAAACATGGTCAAAAGAGGCAAGGGAGACAACGGCAGCGCTGGCGGGAAGTACAAGCCTGTTGGGCAGGATGAGGAGTAGACGTTTGCAACATCTCACTGATTGGCATTTACTGGACACTTTTGCATACTCTGGTCTTCGTTGCAAGCGACATGGTTTGATATCCACGAGCCAGGCTGCTCGACATGTAAGTTTTGGTTGATAGAAGGGGCGAAGCATTTTTGGGGGATAGAGGCTGGAAAGCGTAAGCATTGTACTGCTATTCTGTTCGAGACGGCGATTCGATTGTCAATAAAAGCTGTTCGGATCTCACTGTTCGGCTTCTGAACCATGGATTGTGGCGTCAAGGATTTCACTCCGAGTAATTCCATGACCCCTTTGCGAACACGAGTACGTCAGCTTTCACGTGGGAACAGAGGCCAGGTGTCAGCAAGTTCCCCCTACAGATGGCGCTAGGCAAATGCAGCTCCCCCGAACTCTGGAAACTATTTCGGGAATCTAGCAATTGATCTCCCTACCGCACCGCAGGGGCCGTCCGACGTTGCTCTTCACCGTGAGCATTTCTCGTGCTTGCATTTCCCCTGGGATCTTTCTACTCCGTCACTTTTGGAGTCTGTCGTGCTTAACAGCAGACGTGTTCTAGGTTTGTGAGACAGCCTTACCCGCGCACGGCAGCAAGTGCATCTCGCGCTACGCACCCCTCGCAGCTGCCCTCGTCCAGCCACGAATCCTCTCTTGACACTGTCTACCACGGGCACACCCAGAACGCAGGCGTATTCAACCTTCTTACACAACATGGCGACAGCGCGAACAACGGGCGCTGACGCGCAGGCGGAGGAGCTGCGGAGGAGAAACGTAGCTGGCCAGATAGCTTCGCCCGTCGTGAACACAGCTCAGATTAAGGAGAAATCCAAGGAGAAGGTGCGCGCTCTGCCAGGATCTGCCAGGATCATGACCACCACGAAGAATCGATTAGCTGACAAACTCCAGCCTTTCGAGCTCCTGGCCTTCCTCGACGAGTACGAGTTCATCTGGGCCCCGCTCATCTTCACCGCGCTCGCTTTCTTCACGCGCATGTACAAGATCGGTCTTTCGCCAATTGTCACCTGGGACGAGGCTCAGTAAGCAGCAGCTCGACTAATATTAGTGGCGCAATCTGATAGGAAACAGTTTTGGCAAATTCGGGTCCCACTACCTCAAGCGCGAGTTCTACTTCGATGTCCACCCTCCCCTCGGCAAGATGCTCGTCGGTCTCTCTGGCTATCTCGCAGGATACAACGGCTCCTTCGAGTTCAAGTCCGGCGAAACGTACCCTGAGGAGCTGAACTACACCTTCATGCGTCTGTTCAACGCTGCGTTTGGCGCTGTCTGCGTGCCTCTGGCCTATTTCACCGCGAAAGAGTTGAACTTCCGCAGGCCCACTGTCTGGTTCGTCACCTTGGCCGTTCTCTGCGAGAACTCGTACACCACCATCAGTCGCTTCATTCTCCTCGACTCTATGCTTCTCTGCTTCACCTTCACCACCGTCTTTTGCTGGTCCAAGTTCCACCGCCAGCAGCATGATCCCTTCTCTCCCGAGTGGGGACTGTGGTTGATGCTGACTGGTGTGTCAATTGGATGCGTATGCAGTGTCAAGTGGGTTGGTTTCTTCGTTACTGCTCTGGTTGGCCTCTACACCATCGAGGACCTCTGGAACAAGTTTGGCGACCTCAAGATGCCCAAGGTACGACTCCCTCGGGGACTCTATAATCTCGAAAAGCTGACGTGAGCAGATGGAACTTGTCACCCACGTCGCCTTCCGCGTTTTCAGTCTCATCCTCATTCCTCTCGCTGTCTACACCTTCTCGTTCTATCTCCATTTCTTGATCCTCGAGAACAGCGGTCCCGGCGACGCACAAATGAGCTCGCTCTTCCAGGCCAACCTCCGTGGTACTGAAGTCGGAAAGAACAGCCCGCTCGAGATCGCATACGGCTCGCGCGCCACGTTGAAGAACATGGGTTACGGAGGAGGTCTGCTCCACTCCCACGTCCAAACCTACCCTGAAGGCTCGACTCAGCAGCAGATTACCTGCTACCACCACAAGGATTCCAACAACGACTGGTTCTTCTACCCCAATCGCCACGAGGTCCCATTCGAGGCCGATGAGGAACTCCGCTATCCCGGCAACGGCGACGTCATCCGTCTCATTCACGCGCAGACCGGCCGCAACCTCCACTCCCACTCGGTCGCTGCTCCCGTTACAAAGGCCGACTACGAAGTTTCTTGCTACGGCAACACTACAGTCGGTGACACAAAGGATCACTGGGTCGTCGAAGTCGTTCGTGACGCCGCCTCGAGGGACCACTCGCGGATCCGTACTCTGACAACCGCTCTGCGCTTCAAGCACAAGGACTTGGGCTGCTACCTCCGCGCCGGCAACGTCAACCTGCCTCAGTGGGGTTTCAAGCAGATCGAGACCACTTGCGTCAAGCAGAACAACCCCCGTGATGTCTACACCCACTGGAACGTCGAGAGCCACACCAACGAGAAGCTGCCCCCTGGCAACCCCGGTGATTACAAGTCTCCTTTCTTCCAGGACTTCATCCACCTCAACGTTGCCATGATGACATCCAACAACGCCCTTGTCCCTGACCCAGATAAGCAGGACGACCTTGCTTCTGCTTTCTGGCAATGGCCCATCCTCCACGTCGGTCTCCGTATGTGCGGCTGGAACGACGACATTGTCAAGTACTTCCTCCTTGGTAACCCCTTCGTGTACTGGGGCAGTACGGCCAGTCTTGGCATCTTCGGCCTGATCGTTCTCTGGTACGTGGTCCGATGGCAGCGCGGCTACAACGACCTGAAGCAGGCCGAGATCGACCAGATCCACTACGCTGGTATCTACCCCGTCATCGGCTGGGTCCTGCACTACCTCCCCTTCATGGCCATGGGCCGCGTCACCTACGTTCACCACTACTACCCTGCGCTGTGGTTCGCCATCTTGACCATGGGTTTCTGTCTCGACTTCACAACAAGGAACCTCAATAAGCAGGTCCGCTGGGGCATCTTCGCTGTCCTGTACGCGGTCATCATCGGACTCTACTGGCTGTTCCGCGCCATCTCGTTCGGCATGGTCGGTCCCAGCAGCCAGTGGAGCCACCTCAAGTGGTTCGAGAGCTGGAGGTTCACCGACTGAACGCGTGTGGTCCGCACACGCGATGAGGTCTACGTGGTGTGGTAGACGACGAGTGTAACAATACTTTTTACTTGCGTTGCGACTTCCAAAACACATTTTTTTTGCCACACGTAGGGATCATGGATAGAGTGCGTGTGTCTCGTTAGCGACCTGGCTGGTTAGCAAGGTGTTGGTGCGGGAGAATGGGATTTAGCGTTGGAATGGGTCTCGTACGAAGTAGTGTCGTGATAATCATACCTACACCATCCGACTCTGTCTGAAAGCGAAGAGGTGCCCGTCTACGTGCTTGGCTACAGTTGTTGACGCACTGGACGAACATGCCCCCCCTCCCCCCGCAGTTGTTGCACGCAGATGTTTGTCGGAATGATGTACGTATGGGCACATTGCCACCAGGTGCGAATCTACTTCCTTCTGCATGCCAGGAGATGCGCCGTGGCTGTCGTGACCTCGGTGTGGGTCCTTTCGATCAACGTTGTGGGGCAGTCGCGTCGCGTGCAGTAGGGACGCGTCTCCTACCACTTTACGCCAACACCATTGATATCAATAAGACAATATACACGTCGAAACCCAGACAGAATGGCCGACACACTAGAAGATGTGGAGATGGAGACGCAGGATATCGAGCAGGAAACCCCGCCAGACAATGTCTTCATTGCGCCTTCAATCCACAAGGACGATGTCCTTTCTGGAAAGTCGTACTCACACTTCTCGCCCATACCGCAGCAAATCGCCGACGATATGACGACCGAATGCGTCTTGGGCGTCGATGAAGCTGGACGCGGACCTGTACTGGGTATGTGATGGAACGAAGGACCTGCCTGTTGCAACGCTCACCACGATAGGTCCCATGGTGTACGCGCTCTTCTACCTTCCCCTCCCCATCCACCACTCCCTCCTCGCCGAGACACACCACTTCGACGACTCGAAAGTCCTCACGCCAGAGGTCCGCTCAAACCTCATGCGCACCCTCTGCACGCCCGGCACCGACCTCCACGCCGCCGGTGGATGGGCTACTCGATCCCTCTCCGCACAGGACATCTCTGCCCACATGCTCTCACCCAATCAATACAACCTCAACGCACAAGCTATGGACGCAACAATCGACCTGATTGCGGGCGTTCTAGCGCGCGGCGTGAATGTCAAGGAGATCTACATCGACACAATCGGCAAGCCCGAAGTCTACCAGAAGAAGCTCGAGCGCATCTGGCCCACAATCTCCATCACCGTGGCAAAGAAGGCCGACAGCCTGTACCCCGTTGTCAGCGCTGCATCGGTCTGCGCGAAAGTCACAAGAGACGCCGCGCTCGACGTGTGCTACGAGCCGTACCTTACGCCTGAGGAAGCTGCTGCGCACGCGAGGAAAGAAGGACATGTCAAGATCGCATGGGGGTCAGGATACCCGAGCGATGCGCGAACAACCTCGTGGCTGAAGGCGAATATGGATCCTGTGTTTGGCTGGGGAAATGAGTGTAGATTTAGCTGGGGCACGGCGAAGGAGCTGCTCGAGGGGAAGAAAGCAGGCCTCACTGTTGACTGGCCGGTTGAAGACGACGGCGATGACATGCGAATGACCGACTTCTTCAGCGGGGGTGACAAGAAGGGCGACGAGCTTGTGGAGTGGTTTGGCAAGCGGGTCACGGTCGAGATGGAAGCTTTCTGAGTGCGTGATAGCACTCCCTCGAGGTACTTCTGCGAGCCCAAATGGCACCTCGCGCGGGTATCTGCAACATCAGGAAGTGACCGACCCTCAGCGAAGATGCTTTTGGACGATCTCGGTGTTCATAAAGTCTGTATTGGGCTTCGGGTTTCGGGCCTGGTCAACTCGCCTAGCCAAACCTTGGTCCCCGGGCATCGTCCAACCCCGAGATGAGCCATCCCGACCACCAAACGAGGATATCAAAGTGTCCCGGACATCACTACACGCGGCAATTTGTGTACCTGCAGCATGTACGCAAGGCTGTCCAAAGTCTCCGGTATGCAGATTGGTGGGCCATGGTCGGGGTTGGAAATATCGGCGACAATGAAGAGGGATAAGTAGCAAAGTACCGCAATGCAAGGCTGTTTCATACTTGCATTCTGCCAGCGGTCTTCTGCTCTCGACACATCAAGGCGAATCATCCACATTCTCCACCGAGACCAGTTCGCGTGCTCAACACTGGAGCCACGTCAGTCGTCACAGCCAAACAAGCAACATCGACCACCACGGACTCCCTTCGATACCTTCAACATCTCGCCCTTTACCATCTCTACCGCAAACTGTTTTCTGCTTCTGAGAAAGTATCTACTCGCACCATGCCATTCTTCACACCACCGTCTTCCAAGCACCCCTCAAAGAAACACGCCCCAGTCTTCGCGGGCCTCGACGACCCCTTCAACTTCCCCACGTCCAAAATGCAGTACAACTCGCGCACAACCTCGCCGACATGGACCACCGCCTCGACCGACTCAGGCCACGGCAGCACCGTCCCGCTGGACCCGCACGCCCACACCTCATCGCGCAACAGGAGAACCCTGCAGAAAGACGGCAGAGGTCGCTGGCGTGTGCGCGGCTACGGGGTCCAGAGTTGGGACAACGGGTGTTCTGGGAGCGAGCCACGCAAGCGAGATGCTCGTGCGAATCGGGACATGGAGATTGGTAAGGGGGATGGGCAAGTCTGGACGCCGGATCCTCGACGCACGTTCACGGGGATGTTGTGCGATGACCCGCCGAGGGAGAAGGAGAAATGGTACACGACGCGCATCTACGTCCGGGCGCTCGAGCGGCGAGAAAGAAGCGAGGGCGCGACGCAGATGCAGCGCTGCATGGCGCCTGTGCTGCGACGTCCTGCAAAGACAGGGACGGGGCTGATGAAAGGCAGAGTGGGGAGCGCACAGTGGGGGATCGAGAGTGCATTTCGCCCCCCTTCGCCGCGAGAAACCACACACAGGGGAAGAGCAAGAGATGCGTCTGCGCTCCTCCCCTCGCATCCGCTCGAACGCTCCCGCTCCCCGTCTCCACCGTCTGAGGTAGAGCGCCGGTTTCCGCTCCGCTCGCCGCGTCGTCGCTCGCTCACGCCCCTCGGTATCCTGACAAGCAGTGAGCGTCGGTCGCCGCCCGCGCCGCTCGGGATCAGCATGCGGGAGAGGAAGGGGAGTGTGCTGTATAGCTGTTTCCCTTCCGACGAGCCCGAGTCCGATCATGTCTTCGAAGCTGCGGACGAGCACGCAAGTGAGGCAGGTAACGGGGTGGACTGTGCTGGCTCGGTGTATGCATACTCGCTCTATGCGCGCTCAATCGATGCAAATGCAGGCGCGCGGTCTAGCTCGCTCTCGCTGTGCGCCTCGCTCTGTGACGAGGGAAGTGCGGTGGCTGAGAGGACCGGGGTGGTTCTTGCGCGTACGGCGCTGGTGACGAGGGCGCATAGGGTTAAGGTCAGGAGTCCCGGGTTGAAGAGGAGCGTGGACGGGGCGTAGACGTAGTCTTTTACCTGGGAGTCGTGCGGCTGCAGGACTTCTGGACCTCGGAGCACTACTGGCGCCGGGCTGGAGGTATCGATGCATGCGTTGCACATGTATATAGATTTACGGGCTCGCTGCGAGCTGTGCACTTGTGCCGCTATCAAACAGTCTTGTTCCGACTGGGTTCCATCCCTTATATCTCCCAAGTTCCAAATCTAGTACTCGGACAATCTCAGCCTCCGTCCTACGTTCCTCTTGATCACGTCACGGTCCACTGCCGGCTCGGCAGCCTGGTTCTGGCGGTTTGCGTTGAGCGCCTGGCGCAGCATGCCGGCGTCGAAGAATCCGTCTAAGAAAAGGAATCAGCAATGAAATTTGGTGTGTGGTAGCAGGAAAAACGTTGAAGTACGCGTAGTGTGGGAGCGCTACGGGGGATACTGATGCTGGGGAGGAACGGCGAATGCCGGGTCAGGAAGAGTAAAACATGGACCTCTTCGGCGTGCTGGGTGCTCGAAAAGTACGTGTCTTGAGGATGGGAGTATTCTTTCGCGGACTGCTGACAAACACAGCAGTCAAGGGTTTGAAAGGGGGCGAGTGCGGAGGTGTCGGGGGCATGGACAATGAGGGTGTGCTGGGGAGGCTTGATGTGTAATCCAAGTCGAGGGATGGAGGAGAAGGGGGGAGGGGAGTCCTACATCCACCGAGACCATCGTCGTCATCGTCATCCGCGACGCTTTCTGCGGGCGTCTGGTTCTTGCCTGCCTCGAGCAGGATGTTGCGGCCGCGGCTCTTGAAGCGGCCTGCTGTTGGCCGCGCTTCTGCTTCACGTGCACGGGAGGCCATTTTGTCGGTGCTGGTACCACGGCGCTTTAGTTGGCGAAGGAGTTTGCGCACCTCGAGGAAGTAGCTCTCGAGAGCTTCGATGTAGCGCGAGGTTTGACGGTGCTTGGAGGATGCGCAGATGGAGATTGAGCCGTCTTTGACGATGTATCCGACACCGAAACCGTCCGCTGATGTTGGACCAAATCCAAATTGCCGGAGTGAAGGGTTACCGCAGTTAGATGTGGAGAGAATTGTGGTGTTGATCTTGTCCCAGCCGCCGTCGGCGAAGAGCGAGGGCATCGAGTGCTGTACCGGTGCTGGCGGCGAACTAGCGATGCTGCCATTCTCCGACATGACGGAGTTGCGGGTTGGGGATGCAACGCCATCAGGGCTTGAAGGACGCGTTGAGTCCCATCCGTCGCTGCTGGCTGCCTCAGCGCCGTCTTCGTCAATTGCGCGCTGCCAGATGCAGTAGAGGGCGTAGAGATGGCGATCGGGTCCCTGAGCTTTAGCGCAGACCCTGGTGTTCTCGGTGTGCTTTTGGCATGCTTTGCGAAGCGCTTCGATCTTCTCGGCTGCCGGGTTCTCGCCCCAGAAGGTCGTCAAGAAGTCTACCGACTCGTCTGTGACCGAGCGGATGGCCTCTGTTCGCCCATGGTAAAACATCTTCGTCATGGCTGGCTCGTAGACGCACTCAACTCTACCGTATAGACCGTAATAGGCAGCCTGGAAAGCCATCTGAACGAAGGCATCAGGTGAGAAGCCCATTGATGTCATGAAGTTCTTGCCGTAGTGTGGGAACTCGAGGGTTGCGAACTCGTTCTGCTGGATGAGATCCGCAAGACGTGTCTCAGCGAAGCGAAGCGCTGTGCTCAGCTCTGGAACCATGTCCCACTCCAGTTTGTGTGGTGTGGTTTGAACATCACCAAAGCTGTCCGGGTCTCGTTTCGCAGGGTCGGGGCTCTGAGTTGCCCACAGGCTTGGTGCACTGCCGTTGATAGTTCGCGCAAATCGTAGGATGGTGTCTGTGTATACATCTGAGGCGAATCGTAGAACGGTGTGCCCGTCAACGCCAGTGTGTTCGAAATTGATGCCCGCACTTCCATTCTTGCACACGATAATTTGCAGCTTGTCGTACCAGCGATTCGTGCAGGTGCCGACCTGCACGCCCTTCTCGACCTTGCTAGTACCGCAGAGCATGTTCGTACATAGGTCCGCGCCGTTCTGTGGCTCTGTGTAGTCTAGACACAGGATGAACAGGGCCGAATCAACGATGTTCAGGCTGTCTGAATTGTTCGAGCCTTCTTCTCTGTGCAGAACATCTCTCAGGCCGGACCAGATCTTTCGGTTTTCTGTGCTGAGAACACCCAATGCCCCCCTTGCAGCTTCCTGGATGGGAACCTCTTGCGCATCTTCTACGATGGACTGCAGGTTCAGCGTGATGTCCTTCTCAGTCATGATGAGGTCGTTGTTGTCGTCGAGGACGTCAAACCAGTAGAATTGACCATAGCACATGACAACGATGTGCTTCGATGTAGGATCCTGTCCAATTTGACATCCATTCTCTGTGGGGATTCGTGCTGTTCCGAACAGCCTCGAGTATTGGTACATGCAAAGAGGCTGGCCTCGAATCGTGTCGGGTGGCAGTTCTTCCAGTCGTACAGCTCGAACGAACGATAGCGCCGAGACAACTAGCGAGGCCGCACGAGTGACCTGGTTGTTGCGAGCGGGCGTCGGATCATCTTCGAGAAGGAAGAAGGGATTGAGGTTGAGCACCACCGGGTTGTCAAAGTTCAAGTACGAATCGTACCCTACACAATCGTCAGAAATTGTCACCCACCCACGAGATGATGAGAGTGGTTTGGGGGTGTGGAGGACTTGCAAAACTGCTCGATGTAGTTCGATTTCCCACTCGCGTACTTCTTCAGCTTCTCCTGCAGCACAGCACCGTCCGCTTTAAGGAAGTCTTCTACCGCATGCTGGCTGTCATTGTGCTCTTTGGCCGACTGAAGTGGCTTGAGAGCGGCCAGGTACTTCTTGCATGAGGCTTCTAGCTCTGGAATAGGCAGCTTCGGAAGCTTGTCCTGAGAAGCAAATGTGATGCCCGGCTTCGAGTTTGGATTTGTGGAGTTTGCCAAAGGTGCTTTTGCTTCTGCAGAGAAAGCTTGCTGGGACTCTTTTGCTGCCTCCATCGAGCGTCCAGAACCATTGGTATTGGACATGGTGGGAGTTGCCAGGGATTCGTTTAGCGATGATGGCTGTGTAAAGGTGCGAGCTGCCATGGTAGTTTTGTCAGTCAAGCGTGAAGGGGGCAGATGGAGGTGCAGATGTTGAGTAGCCGCAAGGCACTACGATAGAAGTAGTGGCAGTCCTGAAGACAGTAGGACGGCATGAGGACAGGAGCTATCTGCAAGAAGTCGACAGAGTGTGGGCATGAGAGGTTCTTATAAAGAAATGGACGAAAGGGGATAAGCTGGGCTGAAAGGAACCGCCTGACGACTAAACATGTGAACTCGACGGACAAATTTCTCGTTACAGGTAAGGTGATCCAAGAAGCTCATGTAGCCGACCGCTGACACGGAAAATGACCCGCATGGTGATGAATGACCCGACGAGCTAAGCCTACCGAACGCCCGTGCAAGGAGATGCGACTTACTTGGTAGCGTCAAGCTATAAATGAGTTGCAGATGATGCAAACGGCCGACAAGGTTTGTCGTTCAAAGAACAGTGGCTGCTGGGTCAATGTGGTTTGTTGTGTACTTACTATTCAAAGTGGGTATGATGAACAGCGAGGACAACCAGCCGGAAATGCAGTATTATCGCGGTAAAAGTGCAGAAGAATTGGACAATCTCGGCCAGGAGGATACGGAGCTCGCATGAGGCTGCCCCGAGGCGTTGGTGTGATTACCAGCAGGGTACGCGGACGAGTGGAAGTGGTGTTTAGAGATGATGCAGCGTCATCTACCGGCTAATGGCATCACAAATCGTGGGAAGCTAGGAGCAGCAGAAGCGGCGTCGCAGCGGTTCCAGGCTACAGAAATACAGCAGCTGTTATGTCAGTTCTGCGTGATTCCCTCGAGCCAGGTGCGGTCATGGCTCACGCGCGCGGCGACGCAAACGTCGTCACTGGCTGTTGCAGTGTAAACAGGGATGCGCTGAATGGCTGCAGCTCTATGCGCGCTGTCTGGGCAGCACCCAAGTGCGGGGAGTTCGGAGGTCTCAGACTCATAGTGGGGGCAGCTTGAGCTCGGGCTGTCACGTGCGGTTCTGGAGAAACGGAAGGCACGGCCAAGTCAGGCAGTCGCGGTGGGGGTTGCTCTACACGACTTTCCCCCCTGCGCGACGCGCCCGAGTCTGGTCGAGAAAAGACTGCGGTCGTTTCCAAGGAAGCTGGCAACCAGACTGGCAGCTCCGCAGAGCCGCCCGCTCACATGACCACTGCCAGCTGCCCATGACGGACCTGCTACAGGTGCTGCCCGACTTTGAGGCGAGGCCCTTCACGCACCTGCTGCCTTCGCTCGACAAAACTCTCATCACCGTCAACGACCTGCTCACTCTTGACGCGCAGGATGTCGCCAAGCGCGCCCAATTGCCTGCCGGCGAGCTGAGGAAGCTCGTCGATGCCGTGGTGCTCGCTCTACACCAGCAGCTTGGCTTAGGCGGAGAGGCTGCTGCTGAGGATTCCTTCTCTACCGCATTGGGTAACCCGGGGGACTCGTGGAAGTGTATCAGCACGCTGGACGAGAAGCTCGACGCTGCGCTTGGGGGCGGCATACCGCCTGGTTATCTGGTGGAGGTGACTGGTGAGAGGTACTTAGTGCTGCTTGTCCTTCCAATGACATGGCTGACCATTGGTAGTGGCGCTGGCAAGACGCAGTTGCTGCTCACCCTTCTGCTCGCTGTGCAACTGCCCGCACCGCTTGGCCTCTCGAAGACGGCAGTCTACATCTCCACAGAAGCCGTACTCTCCACAACCCGTCTCGCGCAACTACTTTCGGCGCACCCGGCACTCGAGAGGCTATCCCCAGAAGAACGGCCCTCGCTGGCCAAAGTACTGGCTATTCAGACCCCAGACCTCGAGTCGCAAGAGCACATCCTGCGCTACCAGCTGCCTGTTGCCATCAAGAAGCACAACGTCGGACTTGTCATCTTGGACTCCGTTGCTGCCAACTATCGCGCCGAATTCGAGAAGAAGGGCGCCAGTAATGGCGCTGCCTCGATGGCCAAGCGCGGCACGCAGCTCGTACAGTTGGGCGCACTGCTGCGAGAGCTAGCACGCACGGAAGGCATCGCGGTAGTCGTTGCCAATCAAGTCGCCGACCGCTTCACGAAGCCGCCCTCGCCACCGAACTCGAATGTCGTCTCTCGCAATACGTCTACCAATAGCCAATGCACACGCGACAACACACCCCAGCCGTCGAACCCGGCGCAGTCCATACCAGCCTCGCAGTTCGACGACAGCGTGCTCTTGTCTCCCGACCCTCTGGTCCTTGACCATCAACAGCGCTGGTTCACTGGCTGGGGTGACATTGCGCATGAAGCGCCGCATTATCTGAAGACGCCGTCGCTGGGACTGGTCTGGACAAATCAACTGGCGTGCCGAATCGCTCTGATTAAGAAGCCCGTATTTGCAAGCAGGGGGCCTCTCATTCACGTGGGGAATGGTGATGACCAGTGGAACGAGCAGGAAGAGACCCATATCTCTAACTGGCGACGCTGGGTCAAGATCGTGTTCGCGCCATGGACATCGCCAACTGAGGGTCGAGGTCTAGAGTTCGAAATCACCAAGCAAGGAATCAAAGCCGTAGTCAAGGAAGCAAAGACATGAGACAATCGTACCAGCCCGTGCAACATTGCTGTTTGAATATGCTGGCCAACGCTGCCGTGCTCCGTGACACTAGCGTGCTTTGCGAGACGACGCCACACGAACCTCTGAACATGGTCAGCAACGACACATCTGTCAACAGTGCCTCGCAGCAGAGCCCTCGATTGAAACAATACGCATCGCACGTCTATGGCACATTAGTCACATGGAGATCTACTCAGACAGCTCGCCCGCCCATCTCCATGGCGAATGCGCTGCCGAGGTCTGTTTCCCCTCCCTGACGCGTTGGAACTTGTCAGCGAGTTAGAGATGCACCGCAATGCATGGCTCAGACGTTTGGATGGCACCGGACCTACAGTCAGCTGTGGAAGCTAGTATAGCATGGCCACTATAGCTCCACCTCGTCATCTCCCAGTCCACACCTCCGTTGACTTCGTCCTCACCACCCTGTGTAGCCACCATGTCAGCCGCCCTCCAACGCGTCTCGAACATCATCTCCCTCTCCATCTCGCATCTCACGCTCAATCCCGCCGTCACAGCCTCCCTACTGTACGTATTGACAAAGGGGCCTGATAGCCTCCGCGCAAGACTCACGGACCGCTTCGCTGTTCTCCGCGACCCCTCTCGCCATGCAACCATCGTCCGCGTCCTGAAATGGTGCCTTACCCTCGGCCTCCTCAAGACTGTAAACAAAACCCTAAACCACCTCGCGCTCAACAACTACCGCCTCAAGTCCGTGTCGGCACAATGGAATTGGGACAAGGAGATTGCTGTCGTGACAGGCGGCTGCAGCGGCATCGGGGCTTTGATCGTAAAGCGGTTGGTCAGTCGCGGCGTCACAGTCGCAATTCTGGACGTCCAGCAACTCCCCGCTGACTTTCAAGGCTGTATGAGTACATGGTCTGCGAGAGAAGGCACAAAGCTGACCTTCTGCACAGACGCGCATATCCGGTTCTACAGCTGCGACATCACCGACCCTTCGGCCGTCGCGGACGCAGCAAGCAGGATCAAGAAAGAATTGGGAAGTCCGAGTATTCTCGTCAACAATGCGGGGATACTCTCGGCGCACACGATTCTCGCTACGCCCCACGAGTATCTGCGCAAGATCTTCGATGTTAATGTGCTGAGTAACTGGACCACGGTGCAGGCGTTCCTGCCAGATATGCTTGCGCAGAACAAAGGCCATGTTGTCACGGTGGCCAGCTCAGCGAGCTATGTCAGCGTAGCGGGCATGACGGACTACTGCGCGACCAAGGGCGCGGTACTGGCGTTCCACGAAGGTACCTTCCCCCTCATCTCTAACACCTCCAATACTTGGCACTGGCGAGAGCACGATCTAATCATGCATAGGTCTAAACCAGGAGTTGAGACTGTCGTACAATGCCCCCGCCGTCCTCACAACCTCCGTCCACCCCGCCTGGGTCCGCACACCGCTCCTCGCGCCCGTGGAGCAGGAGCTCAAGAAGCGCGGCGCCGTGATCATGGAGCCGACCGACGTTGCGGACGCAGTGGCCAAGCAGGTATTTAGCTGTCGCGGTGCGCAGGTATTCCTACCCGGGACCGCGGGCAAGATTGCGTGGATTCGCGCGCTGCCGAACTGGGTGCAGGAGAGAGTTCGGACGGGGGTTTCGAGGACGATTACCGAGAGTGTGGAGATTGGGGGGATGTAGATGGTGGAGATGATGTAAGGGTACTCACGGGCGACAATGCAGAAGACTATATGGAAGTCGGGGATCAGGACTGCTTCCGCATCGCCCTAGAATTAGTCGGTATGAGAATCGAGGATGATACAGATCGCTCAGCACAACCAACAGTTAAGAAGAAGAAGAGGGTGTACAAGATTAGCTGAGAGATAAGCAATCCTACCTCTCCACACGTAGAGAGCGCCAGAATGGAGCTAAGGGTAATGTCTTTCTACTACAGTGCTCTGCCCCTACCTCTCTTCTCTTGCAAGGCAATGTATCAGAATCTCCTGAAAGAGAGCTCCAATCTAACTCTACAAAGTACGAAGGCTGCAGAGAGACCTAATGAGGCAAGCGCTGTCGAATCTCTCCCATTACCTACTTCATACTTCGTAATGGGGTATGCTCCTACCCTGCAATCCCATCATCGGCGCCTCTCTCCGCCCACTCCTCATTAGCCAGTCCAGCAATTTGATAGCAGGTCCCGGACTTGTACATCTGGTGTGGAATACACGCGCACTCTTTCCACATTGCTCCCGAGTACGACTATCGACATCCAGATATGATTCAACGCCATCCACGAAGCTTGAACCAGCTTCGTCTCACCCTAGATACGAGATGGCGCGGAGCTCTAAGTCGTGACTGCTTATCTGTAGCGTAGCATTTGCGGCGTCGTTCTGTGTGCGCGACTACGCCTCCTCTCATGTCGCGGATCAAGCACCGTGGAGCGGTTTGGGAGCTATGAGGCTGCCGCTAAGGATGGCCGAGGTATATTGCTTGTTCTCTGTTCTGTTGCTTTCATCTCCCTGGACTTTTCGATATTTTTCGTTGTATCCACCTTGTTGGTTCTCCGAGATTGAGTTGCATTGAGAAGCATGTCCACCACGGTCAAGGTAGCAGTCACGCAGCACGAGCCCGTGTGGTTCGATCTCCAGGCTACGGCCGACAAGACGCGTTGCTTGATCGAGGAGGCAGCGAGTAATGGCGCGAAACTCGTTGCATTTCCTGAGGTCTGGATCATGGGATATCCAGTGTGGATATGGTGAGTTGGAGTTGGTATACCCTTTTCCTACTCCCTGCTTCGTCTCCAGAATCTGTCTCGCCTCGTCTAGACATGCTCACGACCCCAGGGCGCGCCCTATCGACCCTCCGCTAGCGACCAAATACATCAAAAACTCCCTCTCCTACGACTCTCCAAAGATGGCACAGATCTGCGCCGCCACCGCAGAAGCCCGCATCGAAATTGATTGTAGCGATTTTGGTCGGCAACGACTAAGTTCGAGTTTCTTGGATCGTACCATGAAAGGAGTGCTTTTGATAAAGATGCTCAACTCCAATTGGCAAATGTCCAGATGTTTGCAGGCCCCTCCACGACGTGTTGTGCGAAACGAAGGGCCTCTATGAGATTGTAATCATCACCTGAAGCTCGAACACCAAAAAAGACCACTTCTGCGAAATTAGTAATGCTTCTTTTCAGATCGCGTCGACGATCATCTCCAATATTCAGTCTTACTGTGGAGCCGTGACGGCTCGAGGCTGATTGATGCCGCTTGCCCTCATTCGGCCGTAGCGCCGGTCGAGCTAACACACCCGTTGACAGCATGTCGACCATTGACTTTGCACTGCACAGTTTGCAGCTCCGTTCTGCCATCAAAAGCTCGCCTGAAGCCATCCCGCGCATCAGAGCATCTCATTTGTCTCCTTGTTTCGTTTCTTGAGCGGCCCAGGCCCACCCACACGCGAATTTTGGGCAGAGTAAAGTGAGTGCGAGTCGACGTCTTCAGCGCGTCATTGGCGCAGCACGACGCCTTTACCTTGGCCCTACTAATGCGCACACAGATCGCCCACGTCGCCTTCACCATGGCCGATCTGCAGGAGCTCCTTCAACGGCTCAATGGCGGCGGTGCTTCTGGTGGCAACCACCAACAGCTCCCGTCCAGCCAGCAACAGCACCCTCACTACCAGCAACCCTCGGTCTCTTCGCCCATCTTCTCGCCCGCACCGGGTGGACCCGCGCCTCACCATCCGTCGCACATCCTGTCGCCCAACATGTCGTCTGCGAACACGCCCGCGCCCGAACACGGCGCCGGGCCTGTGTCGCAGCAGACGCCGCAGCAGCAGTCGGCCAACCTGCTGAGCCTGCTGCGCTTCAACCAGCCCGCTCTCGGCCAGCGCAGCGTCTCGCAGCAGCCCTCGCCGCAGCAGGCAGCCCTCGTCCCGGCCCACGGCCGCACTGTCTCGGCCTCGGACTTTGTCGCTGGCTTCATGGGCAACCGGTCGGACTCGCAGGGCGCTGTCCCCGCGGTGCCGTCTGGCGTGCAGTCTCCGCCCGCCCCCGTCGCCGCTGAGAACCCCCAGGATCTGCTGCTGCGTCTGCTGAACCACCCCAAGCCCCCTCAGTCGCCCGCCCGTTCGTCGCGCGCCTCTCCTGCCGCCTTTTCGCCGCCAGTCTTCTCCCACATGCCTGAGACGGCTGTGGACGCGCACGCGCAGGATCTGGCCGACGCAGCGCAGGAGAAGCTCGCCGCCGAGCCCGCGGGTAATGCTGCGGCGCACTTCTTCGCCAACGATGCTCGTGCCCCTGAGCCTGCTTCGCTCGCGCCCAAGTTCACCTACGTCAATCCCTTCGACCAGCTCGCCGCCGCCAGCCCCCGCAACCGCACGCCCGTCGCCGAGCCTTCGCGCGCCCCACCGAAGATGCAAATCCTCCAGCCCAAGCACGTCCTGCAGGCTACTGCCGCCGAGCAGGCTCTCGCCCACTCACACGAAACTGTGGCTGAGGCTGTCAGCGATCTCGGCGAGCAGGTCAACCAGCAGATCGAGGAGGCGCTCGCCGAAGCCGAGGGCAAGTCTGCTGCTCAGATGGAGCAGGAGCTCAGCAACGTCACGGCCGACGAGGTCAAGGAGATTGAGGAGACCATGGTCGATATCGCTACCGAGATCACCAAGGAGCTCGAGCAGGAGAGCAACAAGCGGGAGTTGGAGCAAGCTGTACCCATGCCTCTTGCCGCTGCCTTGCAGCAGGTCGCTGCCGAGGTGGCTGACGCTGATGTTGTCGAGAACTGGGAGACTGCTGCGGCCGAGGAGAGTGTCGCAAAGGGTGAGGACCAGACGGTAACAGTCTACCGATTCCCGATGCGTGCCTTCGCCTCCATCACTGTCCAGGACATGCCGCCTCGACGAGTCTTCTTCCAGCCCGAGTTGCTCATGGATATTGCCAGAATCAAGAAGGACTTTGACCAGATCGACCGTTCGCTGGTCTCCGCCAGCAAACACTTCATTGTTTACACGCTTACCAAGAAGGGTGGGTTCCGCATCATTCGCCAGGACAACGGCGAATACCGCCAGGTCTTCGAGAACCACCAGGAACGCATCTTCAACATCGCCATCTGCAACGGGGGCGATGACGCTCAGCAGTCTCTCGAGAGCATTCTTGGCATTGGTGTCAACGGCACTGTCTTCTGGACCTCCCTTGACCCCGCTCGGGAGGATCAGTTCGGGGAGAACCTTGACTCTCAGGGTCTTTTGCTCCCGCCATCGCCTTCCCAGGACGATAATACATCTGGCGGTCAGCTGAAGACCCGCGCCAAGCCATCTTCGCGTCATCCTGAGTTCTTTGCCGTCGGCCGCGGCAAGTCTATCCACATCGTCTTCCCTCGCGTTGCTGCAAGCTACGTCCGCCAGAAGTCCCGCATCTGCCACACCGAAAAGTATCTCAAGGAGCGATCCCTCAAGATCCTCACTGGGAAGGCCGGCAAGGATTTCACCTTCAGCGAGGATGACACTGTCATAGTTTCTCTCGACAAGGCCGGACGCATGCGTTTCTGGGACATTCGCACTCTTACCGTCCCTGAACTCGGCATTCCTGGCAGCGCGCCCAAGACTGTTGAGGTCTCGGACACCCTGCTCGAGTTCCACACCACTACACCAAACGCCAAGTCGTGGCCTACGTCAGTCTTCTTTTTCGACAAAGACAAGCCGTATACTAAGGGTATTGCGCTGCGCTACGTCATGGTCGGCATGAAGCAGAACCACTCCTTCCAGCTGTGGGACCTTGGTCTCGGCAAGGCTGTCCAGGAGATCAACCTTCCCCACGGTAACGAATCCGATGCCATCTGCAGCGTCTCGTTCCACCCCAAGACTGGCATCATGGCTGTTGCTCACCCCACGCGCAATTCGATCTTCTTTGTGCACGTCTCCTGCCCCAGGTACAACTTGCCTCTCCTGAGCCAGGCTGAATACATCTCTCGCCTCGCAAACAAGGGTGCACTGCCCCCTGTGAACGCAACGGCTATCATGACTAGTATTACTGAGTACTCGTTTGCTTCCAAGGGTCAGATCAGGAGCCTCCACATGCTCAACGAGCCCGCTGGGCCCGTTGATGCTGACGATTCTGACAACGCCGCCTTATTCGAGCTGTATGTCATGCACTCCAAGGGTGTCTGCGTCCTGCGCATCCGCCGTAGCGATTTGGGATGGAAGAAGGAGATTGGCGAGCCTCTGAACCCGAAGGAGGCTGAACAGGAGGGTATCATTACCATCTCCCAACTCAAGCCTCCTGCTCCTGTCACTGCTACTGGTGACGAGTCTTCCACCGCTGGTGACGTGCCCACAGCTCCCAGGTCTGTATCTGACCGCTCTGTCCGCGAGAGCACGAAGAAGGAGAACAGCACCGCTTCGAGACAGTCAATGACGCCGGAGGCTGCGATGCGCGCCTCCACTCTTGTTAAGGTTGAGAGCAAGCAGGACGCTGCTCGCGCCGCGATTATCAACGGCGGTGCTGCCGACAAGCCCGAAAAGAAGAAGAAGAAGCGCACCGCAGCCGAGACTGCCTCTCAGGCTTCAACCTCCACTCGTGCTGCTCCCTCGTCTTACGCGCAAATTGCTCAGGCACCGGCCCTAGCCAAGTCACCTGCGCCTGAACCGACCCCGGCGTCTGCTCCTACTCCCAAAACTGCACCAGCTGCCGTGCCCGCGACCGCAGTGGCCTCCGATACTGAGGTCCCCGAGTGGGCTAAGCAGCTCATGGGCAAGTACATGCAGCAGTCCGCTCCTGCGCCTGCTGCAGCCGCAGCACCAGCTGAGTTCGACGAGAAGAAGCTTGAGCAGGTCGTCTCATCTGAGATCACCAAGGGCTTCTCGCGCGAGTTGGACGTTATGTACAAGCGCTTCGATGAGGACAAGCGTGTCATGAACGCTGCCAACGGAGCCAAGCAGGAGGCCATTCTCCGTCTTGTGTCCAGCACTTTGACCGAGAACGTTGAGGGCGTCATCCGTAAGATGGTTGACGAGAACATTCGCAATGTTCTGCTCCCTGAAGTTCTCGCGCAGACATCCTCAACTCTCGAGCAGAGCATCGGTAGCAACCTCAAGACCGCCCTTGGTCCTCAGCTGTCTAAGGAGATTCCAGATGCCGTGTCTCGCGCTCTGAAGGCTCCTCAAATTTTCCAGACTCTCTCTGATCAGGTCGCCAAGAAGGTCTCCAGTGGCTTCGAGCCTATTGTCGTTGCGTCTGTCGGATCTGTCGTTACTCCCGCCATTGCCAAACTCACCAACATGATTGAGCAGCAGATCGGCGAGCAGCTCCGCCAATCCCAAGTTCAGCGACTCGAGGACGCAGCCAAGATCACTCAGCTCACCGATACCGTGCACACCTGCTTGGACACCATTCAAACGATGCTCGCCACCCAGACCGAGCTCCAGGCTCAGATTGCTAAGCTGCAGCAGTCCATCGCCCAGGCACCCTCTCAGGCACCCTCTCAGGCGCCTACACCCAGGAGGGAAGTGGCACCTCCCAAGCACAAGACTCCTGAGGAGTTGGAGATCGAGTCGATCACCAGGCTCCTGACCGAAGGCAATTACGAGCAAGGTACCATGCAGTGGCTCCAGTCGCCGCGCACTGATGAGCTCTTCGACGCCATCTTCGTTCGTTGCAACCCGGGCTACCTGAGGCAAGTTAGTCCCTTGCTCGTCTTGTCGACCGGCGCAGTCGTTTCTGAGCCGCTCGACAACAACCTGGAGCAACGCCTGGCCTGGCTGGATGCTGTTCTACAGAGCGTCAATCCCCACGTAAGTCACTTGCCCACATTCTTGTACGATCGCATGCTGACCAATCACAGGACAACGAGATTCGCGACATTGTCCCCAAGATTATGGAGGTGATGATTCAGCGCTTGACTGCCAAATACATCGAGCTTAACGAGACGACACCTGGTACCCCTCTTCTTCGCCGCATCTCGGCTCTCGTCAGCCGTTGCAACGATATGACCCGTGCTACGCGTGGTTGAGAAACAGTGACATGACATGGACCGTGTAGGTGAAGATGTGATCTTGCGCTGGAACGCCTTGATCTTGTTCAGCCTCCACCGTTCACCGTCCGGCACTCTCTCACCCGTAGCGCATGCGTCATGCAAGTCACACGGTCTCTTTCATTAGGTGTATGGAGTCCGCATTCATTTTCGAGCTATTACTAGCGAGCGCAAGGTCATGTGCAGATAGATGGCATTGGCAGGCATTGGTCCATCATCGGCATTTACACGGTTTGCGAGTCGGCGTCAAGGGTACATGGAGCTGGAATGCCCATGGTCTTCATGGCGTCTATGATCGACTTGTGGCATTTGTGCGGGATGGCTGCATGGCTGGATGGGTGTCTGAGCAGCAGCTTCGAGCTGGTTTAGCGAAGAGATCTGGCATGTGCATGGCATAATTGAGCGACGTAGTACTGTAATGACTCACAATTGGCTTTCACGATTTCTCCCTCCCGTCCTCGAAGTCTTGTTTTTCTTCTCACATCTACGTCTGCCACTGTGCCCTCAACGACTGATTGAGAGCAGCCTACCTACACATTACGTCCCAGCGCCGCCTCTCCCTCGGCAAATTTCCTCTTCTCCTCCAACGTCACCTGCTGTAGCGCAGGATGATCAGCAACCGTCCCTTCCCTCGCATCCGCCGCCTCAACAGGAACATGGTCCCGAACCACAAGCCACGTAGGATACACACTCAGCAGCAGCAACGCCGTGGTTACGCCCAACGGCACGCGCCCGCCCTCCCACTTCCGCGTATTCAGCCCAAACGCAACGGCCTGCCCGAAGCTCTCCTGGCCCCTCAGCACGCCCGCAAACCGGCTCAGCTCGGCCATGTCGTCCGTCTTGGTCGCGAGCAGGTAATACAGCCAGTTCTGCAGCGCCTGGCGGGCAAAGTCCCACAGCATCAGCACGCACAAGGCCTGCGCGAAGCCCGCGTCGGCCCAGTCGAACTCGGGCCGCGTGCGCGTGTACTTCTCCTGCATGGCCCAGCCGTACGCCCACGCGACGGCGTGCAGGCCGACGACGTAGAAGAAGGACCAGGTGATGCGGGTCTTGACGCGCAGGCGGCGGGCGTCGAGGAAGGTGCTGATGAGCAGCGAGGACAGCAGGGTGGCGGCGTTGGATGCGAGGCCGATGAGGGCGCGGGCGCGCACGCCGAAGTAGTACGCTTTGAAGTTTGAGCTGTACTGGTTGAAGTAGGCGGCGTAGAAGACGGGGAGCAGGAGCAGGACGTCCCTGCGCGTGCTGACGCGCCAGAGGGCTTTGAACTCAGCCTTGAACGAGGTTGAGCGTTGCATTGTCACGCGGCTGCCGTCGGAGCGCTGGACTTTGTGCGGAGGGCTGAGCGCCAGCGCGAGCGGGCAGGCCACGCACTGCAGCGCGATGAAGACGAGGTACACCTGGTACCCGACTTTGCCCTTCTTCTTGGCGGCGGCGCTGTGGTTCAGCGCGAGGACGATGGCGCCGCCGACCAGGGGCCCGCCCGTGCGGAACCACAGCCAGATGTTCATGTACTTGCCTCGCTTGCCGGGCTCGGGGTAGCCGAGTGCGACTGCGCCTTCGCTGACCCAGAACAGACCCGCGGAGATACCGCAGCACACTGCGCCGACGAGGACGAGCCAGACGTTGCCGTAGCGATTGTTAGCGTACAGGCCGGCGGAGTAGATGGGGTAGCCGATAGCGCCCAGGAACAGCGTATTAGCGAAGCCGATGCGGTTTGCGATTGGGCCGCCGAAGAGGCAGAAGAAGCCCATGATGCCGAAGACGAGCGCGTTGGCGGCGTTAACGAGGTACGGGTCGAGTGCTCCTCCGGCCCCAAGGTCGTTCATGGCGTTCCATAGACCGGGCGCGAGGAAGCCCACGCCGCCAATGACGCAAGCATTGAAGAGCGTGCCGTAGTACCATTTGCGCGTGGAGTCGTCAATCGATGGCGAGTCTGAGATGGGGAGAGAGACATCTTCAATTGAAGGTGCCTTGGCGGAGTCATGTGTCGCCATTACGACTAGACGATGCCTCGATGAACGGTCGCGAGACAGGATACGCACGTCCATGAGACACAGCGAGCGTCGCTGTCTTTATATCTTCCACACACATGCGGCATGGTAGCATAATCGTTACATTTTGCCATGCCAAGATGAAGGATTCAGAATTGGTACTTCGACATACAGAAAGGCCCATTCTTTCGAAGATGTTGACGATGTCGACATCGCAGGGTTGTGATTTCGCAAGCAAAGCGGCGGCAGCTTGTACGTTCACGGTAGGAGTTCCACTTATATCCGCGCTGCTACACCAAGAGTGGAAGGTAGTCCTGCACGAAGTGCGTGTCCTCGCAAACCCATCAGTCCGGCGTGGTGTCGTGATAGTCGCGATACTCCAGAGGCTTGATCTCAAAGCCAAAGAGTTCTCGTTTCGGCTTGGTTCTTCCGATAACGTGCTGTTGCTGTTGGGTAAGGGGATTTCAGTGGTCGCTTCTAATAACTCGAGGTGCTCACCGAACTTCACACACACTACACCCTGATCTTTGACTTTGTTCAATTCTGACGCCTATCTACATGGCTCCAAGCTCTGCGGCCAGGCCATATCTAGTATCTACAGTCTCGGTCCAAGTCACGACAGGTAGTTGTTGGCCTTGAGCCATTCCCTAACGACAGCCTCGTCCCTCTTAGCGTACTTCGCGTAGCTCCTAATGGTATCGTCGATGACCTCGAGACCCTTGTCGTAACCGCGAGTGTCCTTGTTCTTGAAGAAAGCCGCTATGTCGTCCGCGATCTTGTCATCAGCGAACTTGTTCAGGCCGAAGCGCAAGAAGCGCTCGAGAACAACGAGGTTACCCGACAGAGCAGGGTAAACAGTCTGGTCCCAGTTATCACGGACGTACTTCCATACTTCAGGACGGACCTTGGAGTTGTTGGCCAGCGCAATGGTACCGGAATGCTTGTCTTGGGTGGCGACCTTGTCCGAGAAGATGAACTTCAGGAAGTCCTGAGCAAGTTCGGGTGTCTGGACGCGGCCCAGAGAGACTAAGCAGATCTCCTTGCCATCGATTGATGTTGTCGAGAGGTACTCCTTCTGGACAGCCTTGTAGGCGGACTCTCCACCGTTCTTGACCGCAATGCCGAAAACGGCGCGGCGGAGCGAGGGGTGGATGGCCCACTTGTCAGACCCAGAAGTGTAGGCCTCGAAGCGCTTCAAGGCCTCATCGACCGTCGCCTTGTGGCCGACCAGACCAGCAGACAGGATGAGCGATGCGCGAAGCTGACCAGTGAGGAAGCCTTCGCCATCCTTGAACTCCCAGCCGACCTTCTCGACTGCAGATGTGATGAGCTTGAGGTGGTACTTCCTCAGAGCGTCGCTGACATCATCGCTGCCAGAGAGAACGCTGCGTACGTTGCCGATGTTGGTGAGAATCTGCGACCAGACTAAGTAGTCCGACTCGTCCTGGAATTTCTCCACGAGCGCAAGCAGGCCAGCGGTAGAGCCAAACCCAGCGATAGAGTTGGCGTAAGCATCTCCAATAATGCCAATCTTGTCCTGCACTGAGAGCTCGTGGCGAGACTCTCCTAGCTTTACAAGGCGCTCAGGTGGGTAGTTGGTCCTGTAGAATCCAGTGAGGTTCTTGTTGAGCTGGTAGAAGCCATCATCGACATTGCGGATGGTCTCTTCCTTCTGCGTCAATGCACCCATCTCGTGGGCAGATGCTGTCGAAGGAGAAGAGCCGGCGTGCAGGCCCAACGGAATCCACCACACTGTCGAATCTTCCTCAGGCTTGACATCACCGGCCAGCAGGAAACGCTGTTGGCGAATGCCGATCTGGCCAGGCTCTTCAGCTACGGTAACAACAGGGAAACCGATCTTGCGGACCCAGAAGTCCATAAAGCTACTGACGTCCTGGCCAGAAGCCTTGCTTAGGGCGGACCACAGGTCGTTCGTTGTGGCGTTCGAGTACTGGTGAGCCTTCAGGTAGTCGGCAACACCCTGGAGGAACACCTTCTCACCAAGATGAGCGCTCAGCATGCGGATGACAGAGCTGCCCTTCAGGTAACTGATGTGATCGAAGATCTGGTCGACCTCAAGACCATCGTACACCGGGACCTCGATAGGATGGGAAGTGCGAAGCGCATCGAGTGCGAAAGCTTGTTGCACAGAATCAGTCTACACACGTTGTCAGCCATCTTGGAGCAATAGTACCTCGTGCTCTTGAACGTACGACGAACTGGCCCCACACATTCCAATCTAGATGATATTAGCCGTGCCTTATTCTGGCTTATTGGAGACTTACCAGGGTACAAGTGGTCAATGGCAAACCATCCAACCCAGGTGGCGAAACCCTCATTAAGCCAAAGCTCGCTCCACCAATCCATTGTGACCAGGTTGCCGAACCATTGGTGAGCGAGCTCGTGAGCAACAACGTATGCCACTCTGTTGCGATAGCTGTCTGCTGAGGTCTCGGGATCAAAGAGTAGTGCAGTGGTACTGAGGTTGATATTAGCCTTCTCTCCGTCCAGCATCTCAGCTTTAGCACTAACCGGTAGGTGATGAGGCCCCAGTTCTCCATAGCGCCGTGTGACTAGCATTCCAGGTCAGCTCAACATTCATAACATAAGAGTCAGGGGTACGTATAATTGGCTGGTCAATCAGCACAAAAACACGTACACCAATGGTGAGCACTCACGAATTCGTGGACAGCGAGTAAATCGACCTTGGGAAGCGGGTAGTCGACCTGGAAGACCTCCGAGAAGTAGTCAACGATCTTGTGGCAGTTATCCAGCGCGAACTCTCCCTGCTTCTTCAGTCCTCGGGTAGTGTAGACCCTGACAGGAATGCTCTTGCCGTTGTACTTTCGCTCGGTGAAAGCCTCGACATACTCGAAATCACCAATGGCCCAGGCCAACAGGTATGTCGACATGATGGGTGTGGTCTCGAAGACAACCGTGTGGAAGCCATCGCGCTTGCTCTCCTTTGTCTCCTTCTCTGGCATGTTGCTGAGAGCGACCTGGTCTTTCGGAACCTCGATCTCAACGTCGAAAGTAGCCTTGAGGTTAGGCTCGTCGAAGCAGGGGAAGGCTCGGCGGGCGTCGCATGCCTCGAACTGGGTGCTGAACATGTAGTGGAACTCGTCGTCCTTTGCAACGGAAGCTGGGACTTCACCCTTGGGCGTGTACTTGGAGCGGTAGAAACCAGCCATGATCTGTGTAGCTGTCAGCGGTTCCTCTGGCAGTCATAGGGAAATATTATCGTACGTTGTTGATAGTTCCCTCGAACTTGACCTCCAGAGTCGCATCGCCCGAGTAGTTGATCTTCTCTCCGAAGTCAAGTGTAACGCGCTGGCGCTTCTCATCGTAGGATATATGGTTCGCTGGCTTGGTGGCATCACCGGCCTTCAGCTCAGCGCTGTGGACCTTGAGCTGGTGGGCATTGAGCACCAGCTCAGAGAAGCCATCGTCCTTTACGATCTTGGTCTTGATGTTGACAGTGCCCTTGTAACCGAACTTGCCGCCGAACTCGATATCGTAGAGAGAGATGGCGTAATGAGAGGGTTTGGCCCTGAAGGAGCTGCTATTAGCTTCGTGATGCTCGAAGTAGCCAGTGTCACGTACCACGAGGGGAGGATGTCGCGATCTGAGGCCATGTTTGTGAAGCTACTAGTGACTTCGCTCTGGCAGAACCGTTTCTGAACACTCAATGCAGCTGGTTGCGCAACTGCAAGTCTCGGCCTTTGCACACGTGAGGTGAGATGAAGCTCTGTAGCTCGTGTGGTTGAGCTTGAGAAACGCTTAGCAGCGGCTGCAGTGCTACTCAGCGAAGTGAGGTAGTTTTTACGGCAAGAGACTGGTCTAGGCGAAATCTTAATCCAGAGATTTGGGCGAGAGCTAAGTCTCGAGACGTGAATAAGAGACGCCAGCTTTAAAGAAGGAAGGAGCGAACGGAGTGAACGCGGCGGTGCAGGTGGGGAAGAATGGTGCCGCATGCCACCGCTCGCTCGGGAAGGTGGTGCTCGACGCGGGAGCCGCTCTGTTCAGAGAACGTCCAGGTCCGCAGCGATAGAGTTCGATAAAGATATGATGATACCGCACAAACTGAGACCTCGATGGCAACTTTCACACAGCAACATATTTCTACGCTTGATTGAGAGCCTCCAAGTCATGTAATAACTGCTCTCAACGCGCGATGGTACGCGCTGCGGGGCCTCGGATATTCTGCTCACAGCTTAGCGCGGGGCTCTTCTGGATAGCATCAGGTAACGAGATAAGAGTACGAGTAAAGGTGGGAAAATACTGCCTGTGGATAGTAAAAAGAAACTTTACGTAGGCTTATCGATACCAGCCCAGAGTACATCGACCGGAACGCAAAGCTACTGGTGCAGTATATGTTCAGTATGAGCTCAAAAGCGCCTGTGATCATGAATGATTAGCACTACACAACTCCGATTCGGCACCATGAGTGTATAGATCGCTTGATCTATAGGCCATGCTATGTTCTCGCTTAAGTCTTGAAGATAGTAGACAACGTGACGCCATGCAAATGCCACAAAGCCGAGCGCCTCCCATGCAATAATGCAGTGTCATTATAACAGGCTCCAATACAGCAAGACTTTCGGAGCGCCGTAGATGCCGTTGCTCCTCGTCCGTCCTATGCTCTCCTTGTGTTCCTAGATCCGGATCAAGACGTCCAGACACTGTATCCTCCACTCCTTCTTCCCCAGCAGCCCCTTAACCCACTCATTCATTGCGCCCGGACTCGCCTTCCCTCTTACTCCGTCGACTGCGCCCTTGACGACCTCCTGTGCCGTGTTCGCAGCCGCCTGCGCGAGCACGCTGGCTGTCTCCATGAGCGGCGTTGTCTCGTTCAGCGCCAGCCCGGCTGTGTCGGGGAGCGGCGGATCGAACCAGGGCGTGTGGAAGTCGAACAGCGCAACGACGAGGATGAAGAGGAGTAACGAGCAGTAGACGCAGGGCCGGTTGAGGAAGTATGTTGCGGAGATGAAGAGGACCAGGTAGACGGGCGATGCATTTGTGCGTAGCCTGAGAGGATTAGTACGAGACCTTTGCTAACAGACGATATCCAACTTACAGAAAGAAGAGCACGGGTATCCAGCTGCGAAGACAGAACATTGTAGAGTCGTGGGCGGAAATGCGCGGGCAGTGAGTCTTCAAAGGACGATCACAGCCACGATAAGATTGGGACCCGTGAGCGCGCAGCTCAGAAGTGAAACAGCGAGTGAACGTGTATTAATACGAGTGATACGGCGCGAAGAAAGGAAACGTGGGGAAGGCGAGTGACGTGCGATAATGTTGTCTCAGGGTCGCCTGGCAGGCGCAATCGTTGAGGCTGATTGACACGTGCGGCGCGCCACGGCGGACTTCCTCTGGGTGACGCGCGATTGGCCTATCAACGCTGCATGCAATGCGCAACAATGATTTGTTGACAGTGTTCTGCTTTGATAAATCTGCAATGCGATGGTACATAACGCTACATAGCTGCAGTGAACCATTGCCAGCCACCGACCGTCCTGCCCATGTCCGTTCATACTCCTCAGTTCATGCAATTCGTACAACAGCTACCCAGGCTCGTGCCGTCCTTCTGAGTCCGGACCAAGATAGCCTTCCCAAACGCCAATAGTCCAATATCAAAGTACACAAAGCTTGCGCGCGCCAATCGTCGGCGTCCGAATCGAAAATTCAGGTGTTGGCCAAGTCTCGCGGAGCTTCTAAACAGGGAGGTTGAACTTCTTCCCCTGGACGACCCTAGCGTGTGTCAACATTGCATCGCAAGCACGATATCGCAGATTCTTACTTTGTATAGTAGATGTAGAAGAAATCAGAGTACAGGATTGTCTGAACAATACCAGCAATGACCGCAATTGGGTCGTAGAAGCGCGGCACCTCAAAGAAGTACCTGTAGATCCAATTGGGGATGTACAGAGCGCGGTAAGCACCGAGCGCAAACAAGTAGTGCGTTGTAATCGTCTCGGCTTCACCGGTCCTTTGTAGCATGAAGAGCTGTGGCAGGATAGCAACCGATTCAAGCCAGATGGAGAATGCCCACATGATCTGCGCACCTCGTCAGCTTCCTATCATACCCTTTTTCTTATTTCAACTCACTTCCGTCAATGTGTACTTGTACGGGAACAGCACCGCCAGCACCGTGCTGAAAGCCAGCAGGTATTGTACTTTGAACGTATCGAGGTTCGGGTCGTGGGTAGGCTTAAAGTCGTTGAGCATGAGGTATACGGTATACGCAGAGGTGCTGATAAAGACGATCTTGAAGATGGTATTGTACAGCGCATGCGGGTCGTAGAAGGTCCAGAGGAGGTCGATGTAGCGACTGAGGTAAACAATCAAGTACAGGAACTGCGACTTGAAGGAGATACCTGCCGCGCTCTGTTCGGCTTGTCAGGTTTCACATAGACTGCATCTCGAATCCATTGAACGTACACTGGAGGTCTTCATCTTGTGCAAAAGTATCAGGATTGACAGTAGATGGGACAGGTCCCCTACACGACCCTTGTTAGTATCGCAAACTCGAGGATGTGAGCTTTAAGCTTACCCAACAGCCTGAAGAGGTTCATCATGACGATGCACCCTTGGCTGATTTACGATTTGTGGTGAAGTGCAGCTACTCGAGCGTCGTTGAGGACTGGACGTGTGCGCGACGTTGAATAAAATGAACACGTTTGGGGCATCTGCAAGGCATGGATTGGGGAGCTGATCCCTGTCAGTGCCAAGAAAAGAAACAGCCCCCCGAGTCCCTGTCACGGGAGATCAGACGTCACTGCCGCAGCACCGGACTAGGAAGGTCGCGAAAACCTTCTTGATAAAAAGAGGCTTGCTGCAGACACGTCTCTAATGCACCCAAGGAAACTTGAATTCTGTGGGCGGCACATGCTCATTGACAGGTTACAGCGCCGTCAGACACTCCCGCGGACTTTGGAAGCCCTCGATTGCAAACCCAAGATCATGCAACGACATGGCATATCTACTGGGCTGGAAAGACATCTTGCGTCCCATTCGTGATGGCTATCGTCATCTGTTTCCATCGCCAGACACGGGTCCAACACCAGAGGAACGTCAAAAGCAACGTGCTCTCGATCGGCTGAAAGGGTTCACCTACTTTGACACCTTCGAGCAGCTGGAGGCGTGGACCGACGCAGACACCGATCCATTACAGCGAGCCAACACGCCTTTGTTGGTGCGTTCGGGTAGAGAAGGCGAAGACCTAGGCAAAGCCAATGTCCTACTGTGCCACGACTACGCCGGCAACTACCACGACCATGAAGGCACGTCGAGCGTCGGTCTGGACGAGGAGAAGTATACGTGTGAGTATCTGCAGTACATCGATACTCTTATATACTTCTCGCACAAGCTTGTATGCATTCCGCCACCCACCTGGACCAACACTTTGCACCGCAATGGAGTAAAGGCGCTTGGCACAATACTCATTGAGCCGCAAACGCCAGACTCAGAGAAGTTGTTGCAGCATGGTGCTGATGGCCTATCCTTCCCACTAGCTACAAAGCTCGCCAAGATTGTTGAGCACCACGGGTTTGATGGCTGGCTGGTGAATATCGAGAAGTCGTTCCCAACTGCAAGCTGGGATGCAAACGTCCTAGCAGCCTTTCTTCAACAACTGAAGTCGGAACTTGGAGCCGGGAAACAGCTCATCTGGTGAGCTGCACACATTTGCTTTACGGGTCTTTTTAACCTCCTAACAGGTACGATGCTTTGACTATCTCTAACAAAATATCCTATCAGAACGCTCTCAACGGACTCAATCTACCCTTCGTGAAGGCTTGTGGCAGTATCCTGGTAAACTACTGTTGGAAAGAAAATGACGCTGCAGACTCACTGCGCCAGGCCCTTCAAGCAAGTCTGCCCCCACATCAGATCAACTTTGGGATCGACGTATGGGCACAGAACACGACCAAGCTAGCGCACCCGCGCGTTACTTATCCTGAGTATGGGGGTGGCGGTACCAACACTGGCGTGGCAGTCGCGAAGCTTGCGGAACTAGGGCTCTCGGCTGGGATCTTCGCACCGGCCTGGACGTTCGAGCACTTCCCCGGTCATGGAAGGGACATGGAGGCCACAGTGTGGGATGGAGAGAACCTTCCAGATGATATTGACTGTGCGTGTGGCGATTGTGGTAAGCGACATCGACCGAATAAAACAGCACCCATCACCAGCTTTGCAAAGGCACACAACGCTGGTTCCAAGACGTTCTTCTTTACGGACTTCCGTCGGGCTTTCGGCACGCACAGCGATGAGGAAGAAGATATCTTGTACGGTGGGTCCCCTCTGCACGCGCAGCTTGGCTCGCAGTCAGCCCTGCCTTTGAGGACCGAATCGATAGGTATGCTGAGCCCGCTACATCACAAGATTGAGGATGTCTCAGGTCGATCGCAGCTTGTCATTGAAGCTCGCAACTTAGCTCCACTGGCAGTCAAGAAGGATCTGTCACCCACAGATCACAGCTGGGGTATACCGCTCTTTAGGCTCGACATGCCCATAGACGGGTCGCTGCGACTGCGGATATCCTATCGAGATCTCTCTGAACGACCTCAAGGCGTATGCTTCTATCTCAAAGCCTCTTGTCGAGCTACCGAAGAGGAAGCACGCCGCACTGGTTATCCGGCTGGCTACTCCCACAAGATATACAATCTTGCGAGATACGACTATCCAAAGGCAGACCATCTTCTTGACGTTGAACTCAAGATCAACAACCAGTACATACCTGCGAATTTGCGTCTAGAGGAGCTTGGGTTCTGGTCGCACGCTACCAACGCTGGAACCGGTATCAGACTTGCCGAAATCGACTACATCTGCATCCAACCCACCTCAGCATATCCGATTTCCTTAAGACCATTCGTGTACCAAGGCGGCTACTTTCAAGACATCTCATCTCGCAATCGTTCACCGGACAGTCCACCGCATCACGCCCTCTTCGACATTCGAAAGGAGTCTCGTGGTGAAGGAGACATGCAGCATGTGAGACTTTGCTGGAGTCACACTTCCAGCGAGCCAATTGAGGGAATGCCATACAGCGACATTACCGGCGCGTTCTCGCATTTTGTGGTCGAGGTTGACGATCTGAGCTTGGGGAGAGCATATGCGGCAGAACATATACTTCCTGCATTGCTCGTGGAGGAGCTAGCTGGACGCGAGGTGGCTGTGCGAGTCCACGGCATTGGATTTGACGGGCAGGAGGTTGCTGGCGCAAGTCTTTTGGTGCAATTCTGATGGGACCCCGTAGACTGGTTTGAAGCGGCATTTGCATTTAGAAGTCGCAGCCAAGTGATCGACAGCTATACCGGCTCCACTTCCTGCCTATAACACATTCACGCGTTTGATCGCAGTTCGGCTCGTCACTCGTCGTCGTCACAAATTAGTCATTGCAGTACTGTCAGACCTGACACACTTCATGCGCAACCAGGGGTTCAGCCCTACCTGAAACGTGGGACCGACAGCCGTGGTGCAGCACTCGTCAGCCGAATCCAACCAGCTCGGAAACGTCAACCGTGGCGGCCACTCACAAGCCCACTGTGTAGGGGTTTTGACCTGGGCTCCCAAGTTGCCGAAGATTGCATTGCTGGTGCAAGCCTTGAGGTGGGCAAATTTAGAACGGCGGCAAATGTATAGGTGTACTCAGGCGCTCTTAACGACTCGATTCTTCTCTCTTTGCTCCGACCCACTTGCTTTCGGACTTCGCTCTTTTAACACTTCTGCTGGTTTTCCAAGATCTACTGCGGACTCCCAGGCGCTCATTATCATCACGAAGAGGCGACCAAAAGCATCTACAGCAACAGCGGCATTCGCCATCACGATGGTCAACATCAACCCTATGCACCCCGTGCGCGGCCTGCAAGCCATCTTCGCCATTATCGTCCTAGGACTCATGGCCTACGGTCCGCGCTGATTCTTCCCAACACAGCTTCCACGCTAACACCGAGTCCCAGTCTCTTCATGGTGGGCGTCACACTGGCGCCAATCCTCCCCCGCGCAAATTTCCTTTCTCCTCTTCACCTCCGTCTGGTCGCTCACCACACTGCTCCCCATCTTCCTCATTCCGCTGAAATTCGCACACCTGCTCTCGAGTGCCGGGTTCAGGTGGGGTCTAGTGGCGCTCGATGCGCTGAGTATGCTATTCTGGTTCGCGGGATTCATTGCGTTGGCAGTGTTCCTGAACGGGAGGATTTGTTTTGGGCAGGTGTGTGATGTTGCGCGCGCGGGAGCGGTGTTTGGTGGTCTCAGTTGGGCGATTGCTGCGGGTGCGTTGGCATATGGGACTTATCTTGCTGTGACGAATGAGCGGAGGAGGGTGCCGGCGGTGCAGAGGCCGGATGTTGCTATGCATCAGGGTGTTTGATAACGGTGCAGTGAACGGAAAGGAATGGATCTAATGAGGAATGACCACATTCAGAATAGAAATGTTGAGGCGATCATCAGGTATGATCTGGCGTTTAATTCAGCGTGAGGGTTTCTGGTGTCAATGAACCATGTTTTCGTATGGAGTTCATGTAGTAATGCATTCGTCGTTCAGAGCTGTATTATTACCATGCGCAGCACTATTAAGAGGGCTGCTCTACCTGTCAGGCGCAGCTTCGGTGACTCGAGGATATCAGGAATATGCTGTAGCTCTCCTGAAAATTATTATAGTTTTGATGATTACGATAAGTCATCCGGCTCAACACGAAATAGCTCAATGAGCCATGCTCCGTTGGCAACGTGCTCCTTCACAAGTGAACCTCTACCCGAGCTCCGTGTGCGTGCAGTGTACTGGCCAGGTGGTGGCGGAGCTTGGATCTTGTGCATTTATCTGATCATGTCGTCCCGTTACCTTCCGAGAGCAGATATTTTCCGTGCTCCGCATCGGCGGTCGAGACGACGGTCGTAGCACATACCTTCTCCCATGTCGATGAGATTCAAACTTGCGGGGAGTTGCACCCGCGCCCTGAAGTAGTTCTAGAGATTCGTCAGCTGAGGATCCACGGCAGCGCAATCAACCTGAGGCAGATATCGCTGCCTTAATATGCCATTGAATGCCTCGTGAAGCCGTTGTGAAACCGAGAGGGGTCATGAGGCTGCTGAAACAGTTCTTGCCGCGGACGTTGCCGTTCAGCGCATGTCATGCAGTTTTCTTTTGACGTCTGAGGACTCAATACCATCCAAAATCAATGGAGGGTCTTCAAGTGGGACAGAGAAGACTGAAATGCAGTGTTTGGTGGAGAGAGCATGTAGAAGGTCTTGGAGTCGTTCATTGATATTACTTACTTTGGTTAGCGCTGAAAATAGTGCCTGAAACCGAACTCGTGGCGATTCGTTTTGACCGTGCTTGATCTCCACTTCTGCAACACATGTGCGCTCCCAAAATTACCTTACGGCACAATCGGACTCGCACCTTGTACTTCGTATGAGCTGTCCGTGCTATGTCACTGTGTCGTCTTGACGCTCGATTGGTAGGAGCCTAACATGTCGCCTGTTTCAATTGCCACGAGACGTCGGAAAATGGCGATCCGCCTATCAAGTACACAAACAGCAAGAGGCTTTGACAATGACCTGTACATCCACAAACGGCAAGAGAAACATTCGTGGCGATTGGCACGGTTCTTGGCGGGGTAGATCCGTTCCCAAATTCAACGAACTGGCCGCAGGGGCCGCGAGGGGGCGGTTTGGCCATAGGTAGGTCTAGTACACTTGTTGATAGGGTGTGATACCGCCTGTGGCCAGACTGCTGCGTACGAAACAAAATGCTTTGATTTCCTCACGGTTATGTGAAAACATCCCCTCTTCTCCTCTCTCGCGGTCGCACACTATCTCGGTGTTCCGTTATTTTCGCTACTCACGACCTGATCCTTTGACCCCACTCGACACATTCGACACATTTGACACGACGCAAATCAATATGCCGAAGACTGCGGTCTTCACCACAATCACCCCGCTGCCAGCGGGGATCACGCGCAAGAGTGTGCTTGACATGTACAAGGATCATCTTGCGATGATTGATCTGAACCCGTTGGTAGTCGAACGCTACAAGTGCAAGCCTCCGACGTACGCCCCAACCTCAGAGTATTATGCAACATGGTACACGATCAAAGGTATGCATCGCAGGTAGCTTCTAATATCGTCCGTTCGCTAACAGCGTGAAGATAAGGTCTCATATTTGCCTGGAGGTCTGGCGACAGGCTCGGTGTCATATCATGCGGTATTTCACGATTTTCCTGATAGTCTTGAAACTCACGTCTACGCGCCGCTTGGTCTTGATATCCGAGGCAAGTGGAGCATAGGCGGGTCACTACCTGGAGAGCCAAAGGAACACTCGGAACCCGGACTCAAGGTCCCTCGCTCAGGGCTCTATATCCGCGAGGAGGTCAAAATGACATGTTCCAAGCTGCTAATGGGCTTTGTCAAGAGAACCTTTAAAGATTCGCATTCACAACTTGTTGAGAAGCTTGTCGAAAGGGCGCATATACTGGAGTCAAACGCAGCGAACGAACGACTGCAGGCACTGCGAAACGTCGAGCCACGGGAACGAATGGGCCACGGCGACATATTCATCGCACCGCCACCAGACTACCAGTTTGACAAGTTCGGACCACCCCCATACAAAGCACAAGCTTCGCCTCGCTTCTTGCCACATTCGCGAAGTCAGAGCGCCAGCCCAATTCTCACACCAGGTCTTTCGCCGTCGTCTTCCGTGACTGAGCGTAGTGCATCAGTTGCGAGCTTGCCTGCACAGTCAGACCGCCCGTCCTCTTCGCATTCAGTACTGAGTCGGAAAGTAGCTTCCGTGCCTGAACAGGGTCTCTATCTATTGCCCGCGACTACATACGATGGTGGGCTGTCTTCGAGCTTCAATCGTCCGATATCACTTTACCCTGGTAGCACATCTCACCCGCCGTCAAATCGCGTGGTGTCTATATACTACGAGACAATGGTAGACGAAGGGCCGTCAGACGACGAGTCTGATGATGGACCTGGGCCTACTTCGAGCCACGTTGTTAGCCCACCACACATCTCTGTAGTACGCCCCATTTCTTTCAACTTTGCTTTCGATCAAAGGTCCTTTGGACCTAAGACTCCTACTCCAAACGAGGATCTATTGGCGGACATAGATGCCGCCATTGATGACAGTTACATCTACTCCTCTACAGATGCACAATATGACGCGCTGCCTACACCAAACGCACTCAAAGCAGCTGTTTTGAACGACACGCTCCCTGCTACGACTTATGAAACACTCCCCTCGACGACATACACGACCCTTCCTTCGACAACATATGCGGTATCGCCCACTTCCTCTTTCGATACCCTCCCTTCGACCACATACAAACCAGAGCCAGCGCGAATGTCTGACACTCTGCCTTCGACCACATACATACCTGAGCCATATCTACCATCGGCGGCATATGCACAAAATCACGAGAGGAAAGACTCGGTTATACCGTATCATGCATATTCGGATCTGCCACCGACGCCGCTGCCCAAGGACGAGAAGTACCTCAAGCCATCGGTGGTAGCTTTCTAGTCAAGTGTTGATTGTGTGACTCGGAAACGGTATCAAGTTTCACCACTTTTACCACCTTTTTTATCAAGGATTATTCTTGTGTTCTTTCATTTTGCTGATGTTTCGTATACCCGCATCCGCATCCTTATAGCGTCTCAATGTTCTTTAGCGTAGCGTTTCATGTATTTTGTACGATAGCTGCATCCACAAAAGTACCATAGGGGTTCTCGAGGAGTAAATTTATAACCCATCCCAAGTCCAAGCTCACGCGTCGTCTCAAAGCTGTGCAGTATGTGATGTCTCACGGAATGACTCTGTTGGTATATGTCAGCATCTACAGCAAACCTGTTGCGCGCAATGTAATGTTAGCTTTCAACACTATCCGCACGAAGCCTTCAAATCGACGAATCATTTGTAGATTACAGCTAACAAGGCAAGAAGACAGGCAGGCTCTTGCAAGGTTGAGACTTGTCCGGGGAGGGATTCACACATCATCCACAGAGGCGACCAATTTATAAAGGCCTTCGATCGGTGAAAGCGCTACCAAACCGAATACCGAAAGCATGATGCCTGGAGCAGTACTGCAAAAGTATTGCGATTTCTCTAAGGTGATTACTGCAAACAATGAGATATGCCGGCTCCAAGTCTGGTGGCCTGGGAAAAGAGGGAGGTCTCTTACGTTGGCTAACAGGAACTATGCAATTCATAAGATCTTCGCATGACTACAGTTGATGCTGTGTTCCAATCGGCTTTGCATCGCAGATTTGGGGTACCTCCACAATGTCGGTTAGTATACCGCCCACAAGAATACAACGTAGATCTATGAGGGATTGGACCGCATCTCCTCTTGCATCACTCAAGAATGTCCTTGCTCTTACAACATTGCGACTTCTGTAATCTCCAATGAACAATGCTCCACCGGTGGTAACCAGATTTTGACTGCAAATTTCATGTCCGTCAGTCACAGCAGCCCTTCATCCAAGTCCAAGTTTTTTTCCTTTTTGCAGTGCTTTTGGTACCATCGAGGCGCTTGTGCCTGCCGGACCTGATGGTGGAGTTGTGAAGTGGGTGGTCCTCTGGCTACGTCGGACCTGCGACAGCGGCGAGCCGCGTGGGATATTTTTGTATTCGATATCGGAGAGATAAGTCAATTAATCTCATCAATGTAATCTGTCCGAGATTCCAGCCTTTTACCACGCTGTGGCGGTTCTGGTTGCTATTGCGTAGGAGTGTTCGTGGCTGACACTGCTCGCCGAGACCTCGCGCAAGAACACAAAAAAATACCACGAGCGCAGATATAGACCGTGTTTCAATCGATTCATGGGTATTCTATAAGAATCTAATCTCATTCTTTATTGCCTACAGGCTCTTGATACGCGCCACTGAAGAACACATAAAGGAAGGACCCTCAACCCTTCCTACTAGGCGCTCCCCGCATGTCACTCATTTGCGACATAACTAGACTACGGGCACCGGATCTATACCCGCTCTACTAACTACTGCTTTGCATCATCGACGCTGCAGCCGCTCGCTCACAAAGCGATATCGCCACATCGCTTGGATGACCCCGAAGAAGCAATCTTGAGATGTCATCTGGCAGTAAAGCCATCGGCCTGTCGGCGTCGAAAATCTCGCCACTACTGAAGTCAGACACTACGTGCAGCACAAGCAGTTCGGTTGCACGCTCTTCCAGAGCGGTTAGCCTGGTTGGTAGTCCGCGATCTGCGAGGCTGTCAAGCGAGAGTACTCAATGGGCATCTACGGACAGCAAGGTGCAGACTAGCCAATGGCGTCAAACCAAGGCTACAAATGTATTACTATATAGCCTCAGGTTTGTCCGCGAAGTTGCGCGCGTTTTGCGACCTCCATATCTTCTCTCACCTCGATGTTCGTCCTGTCGCGGCCATGCGCCTGGTTCAATCCAAACGACAGGGCTAGCGCCTTCCAGCCTAGCTCACTAGCCGCACACCTGCCGCTGCGGGCGATATTTTCTCTGCCCTGCTGCCCCTCGCTCTCTCACAAACCCTCCACTTCGAAGCAAACATCCCAATTTTTCTCCTTCGAACCCTTCCTTACCACAAAACTTAAGAGTGAGTCGGCGTATGTCCGCACCAGAAGCGCGCAATTTGCGCGTTTGACTCAAATTTTCTAACATTCCTCAGGTTCATCTCACATCACAAACAATGGATTACCAAGCTCCTGCTCCTGCTGCCGGTGGCCGTGGCTGCTACAACTGTAAGAACCCAAAATTTCGCCTCTAAACATGAAAGTCGCCCTCTCGAGATATTTGTCGCCTCGCACTCGAGTGTCCCAGCAAACTTCACAGCAAACTGCTGAGAGCAAGTTCGGTTTGCTGGAGGTGGGGTAGCGACAATTTCGAGAGATTCAATGCGCGACAACAAGATCTTTACCTTGATTTGTTGCCAGATCCCTTCTACGCACACAGTCGTACAGACACAAAACATAGGCTAACATGTTTTTAGGCGGTGATAACTCCCACCGCGCTGCCGAGTGCCCTACTAAGGGTACCCCGACTTGCTACAACTGCGGCGAGAAGGGCCACGTTAGCCGCGAGTGCACCTCTCCCCAGGCCGAGAAGACCTGCTACCGTTGCGGTGGCACCGGCCACATCAGCCGTGAGTGCACACAGGCTGGTGGTGCCCCCGGCGGTCGCGCCGGTGGCCAGGAGTGCTACAAGTGCGGCCAGCAGGGCCACATCGCCCGCAACTGCTCCCAGGGCGGTAGCTCCTACGGTGGCGGCTACGGCGGCGGCCGTGGTGGCTTCGGCGGCCAGGGCGCCCAAGGCGGTCAGGGCGGATACGGGGGTGCTCGCCAGACCACCTGCTACTCCTGCGGCGGTTTCGGTCACATGAGCCGTGACTGCACCCAGGGCCAGAAGTGCTACAACTGCGGCGAGGTCGGTCACCTGTCCCGCGACTGCCCCCAGGAGACCTCCTCTGAGCGTGTCTGCTACCGCTGCAAGCAGCCCGGCCACGTTCAGTCTGCCTGCCCCAACTAAACGCTTCGGATGAGCTTCGTCGATTACCCTGATCTGGAGTGAGCTTTGATGCAGCCGATCGCGACATGTGCGATGCGGCTGGCATGTTCGATTGTTAGAGATTCCACCGCCATGATTCACGAGTCATCGACACGATTACGATTTCCTTCTCTGTACATTTTCTCATTCTGCGGCTGGCTGCCGTTTTTCGACGCTTACACGAAAAGCATATCATCGCCCGGCATGATTGGACTTGGCTCTTTTTCGCATTTGACCGAACTTCAAGAGGGTTGCCTACGGAAAAGTCTTGATTCAGGAAGATTTTGCATTGGTGAATACAATGTGGGTGGAGAGGAGAGCGGATTCTTCGACAGACAGCAAGGAATGGGAGTAGTGATGGTCCCGCGAACGAATACGACTATGAGAAAGGAGGTTGCTGCTGTCCAGCGAGTGTGTCTCGGACTTTGGTGATTGCCGAAGTTCGAAGATGTATCTGCTGGATGGTAAATAGACCTTGCTACCATTATCCCTCTGGGATGTCCCAACACTTCAGTGCACTACTCTGCTGTGATTCGCAATTCATTTGAGATAGGACATCAGCTTTTACTTGATATGCACTAATTACTGATCTGTCATCTCGACCGAACGTCTGAATGTTGTTCGTGATGTCTTGGCACACTAGTCTGCTTTCGCCTCACCCGAGCGCATCCAAACAAACGGTCAACGCTCTCGACCCTACAACCTCTAACACGCGTCACGCAGCAGTCCGAGGCGCCTTTGACTTCGACAAACCGTACTCCAAAACATGGCGCCTCAAAGAAAGCGCGACAACCGCGAGAATGCGTTCTTCAACGTTGGTGTGCAGGGAAGGTAAATAAACAAACACTTGATATCATGTGCGTGCGACTGACAACCGGTACAGAAAGACCGGTATCACTCTTGAAGAACGCGCCCGCGACGAACACGGTATTGAAGCTATCTCGGGCATCTTCTCATCGCCAGCGAAGTCCCCACCGAAGCGTGGAAGCACAGTGACAGGGTCGGAATCCATGGATATCCAAGAAAGTACGTGACATCGCTCTATTCAGTTGCGCGCCTATAGGTCGACGGGTATGGTAAGTTTGCGCTAACATTCGGTCACACAGGTTCGATACCAGCTATCATCACATCTGCTGCGATCTTACGCAATGACCGCACTCGCCTGCCACCACCGAAATCGCGATCGCCTATGAAAACTGCCCTTGGGTCATCTCCGCGCCGACGATCGTCCATGGCACCGCGCGGCAGTTCGATCGGTCTGTCGAGCCCCACCCGCGCAACCTCACATCCAGCGGTAGCCAGGCGGCTAGATTTCGAAGTGGAGGAGGAGGAGGAGGAGGAGGAGGAGGATGAAAGTCTGCAAGAGACACCGGCGCTCAGTGGCTCAGGACAGCGCCGTGGGAAGCGCAATGATATCTATGCATTGGAGCGCTCGCCCAGTCGGCCGCACAGCGCCATTATGGAGGAGAGCGAGTTGCAGGAGCAGATCACGGCAAACAACGACGAAGACGAGGAGCTACCAGTCATGACCGAGGTCGAGCAAAGTTTCGTTGCGCAAATCGGGGACGACACGATGACTGGCGCCGACGCAGTCGAATCGTTCTCGGAGGGGGAGACCCAGGAGGACACCCAGGTGGAAGAGGAGGTCGTGCCAGAACCAGTGAAGGAGCCAGCGAAACAACGAGGGAGGAAGCGCAAAAGTGATCAGGCAGCGGCGGTCGAAGAGGAGAGCCCGAAACCAACAAAGGCACGCAAACGTGGGCCACCTGCAGCGCAAGCGCCTGAGCCAGCGAAAAAAGGCAAGAAGACCGCGCCTGCGCCTGCTGCTCCTGCACGTCGCTCGAAGCGCGTGTCTGACATCACCGAACAAGAGCCCAGTATCTTCGAGGCATCAACGCTTGACGATTATGCCGTTGCTGAACCATCCGAGGTGGTAGACGAGGTACATGTAGCTCCAAAGCGCCGCGGGCGGCCGCCGAAGGGCCAGAACGAAGCCGAAGCTGAGCCGGCGGCTTCAGTCAAAACAACGAAGAAGGCTGCAGCAAAGGACGCGGCGAAAGACAAGTCAGAACCAATGTTCAAGAAGCCCGGTAGACCAGCAGCGAAGCCAAAGGAGAAGCTGGCACCAAAGAGCAAGGAGAATGCGAGAACCTCAGACGGCGTGGCCGAGGACGAAGCTGGACGGCCAGTGGACGCATACGGTAACCCTCTTAGCAAGGCGGATATCGAGCAGATGTCCACAACATCAGTTGGGTCACGATACGGCCGAGGGCGCCACCTTTCTGTCTTCCGCGAGATGGAACCTAAGGCTATTGCACGAGTTGGACGAACAGGCAGACATCGTGTTGCGCCGATCGACTTCTGGAAGAACGACAGGATCAACTACAACCGTGACGGCAGCATGCAAACGATTGTCAAAGCGCCATCACCCGAGCCGATACAAAGGACCTCGACGTACTACAAGAAGGGCAAGAAGAAGGGCCTGGCTGTTGCAGAAGAGGAAGAAGTAGAACTCGACCCTTGGGAAGAAGACGACGGCTTCCTGACAGGAAACTACAAGGACTTCGATCCCACCAACGAGTTCACCTCCCCTGGGCTCGTGGAAGGCGTTATCGCCTGGTCAGACAAGGCCATCAAGCCGGAACCTGTAGGAGACGGCTCATTCCAGTACGCTAGGATAGGCGGCAGCGGCCCTGCGGGCTTCTTCAACTGGGGCATGATCGAGCTGCGTGCGGATCAGATGAAGCGCTCCAAGAACTCGCGGAAAATGCACATGGTCTTCAATGTCCACTCTGGCGCTGTCGAGGTCAAGGTGCACGAGAATGAGTTTACAGTGCATAGGGGTGGGATGTGGCAGGTTCCGAGAGGCGAGTGCCGTGTGCATGTCCTTTGGTTCGGAATTGAAGCTAATCTCCTGCAGGCAATACATACAGCATCAAGAACGTCGGCAGTACGACGGCAAGAATCTTCTTCGCGCAAGCTCGCGAGTCGTTCGCGGATGAAGAGTAGGCCGCGACATACAAGTATCACGCGCGTCGCGTTCATTAGGTCCAGCGAAGATCGTGTTTGCAGCTACACATCGTGGATTTGGGGCTCTCACGACATGCATCTTTCGAATGAGATTGTTGTTCTCCACATCCTCCCATCTACGTGCCCCCCTCCCCCTCCCAATCTGCAAACTCCCATACCCCTATGCCCACATCTACTTCTTCGCCGTCCTTCACCGCTCCTGACTCCCGTCTTCAAAAGGCAATTCTCGCGGCGACATGAAACAGTGTCGGGAACTGCGCCCATCTTGTGTGGTTTGGCGTCGCATACATCTGCAAGCAAACCTGTGAGCATGTCTGCAAGCCATCGATGTCACCTTCGCAGCAGCCTGCGGGCAGAGAACCCGCGACACAGACACAACGTTCGGCAGGCAGCAGCAGCGGAGCCGGACCGGGATATGCGTTGTTCGCTGTTGTGCTACACTGGACGAGAACGGGTCGCATGGTGGAGGTAGGCGCAGTGCACATCCTTAATGCTGGCGAGACCTATGCAATCTGCAGTGGCGCAGGATGCTTGTATACGATACAAACCCAAGACACGGGTTGTGACGATGGATGGTTTGAGCCAGTAGTTCCTCAATAGCATGGCGTCCACAAAGCCCAATAGCCGGCCTAAAGAGGCGTCACAGCGGCAGTACGCCTAAAGGAGTGTGAAAGCGACAGCAAGCCTAAGGAAGTGGCTGCGCGCCCAAAAGTGACAGCTCGCCTCAGGCGTTCATGCGCCTGAGGCATCGTGCAACACAGCTCCCGCTTCCGCACTGTGATGGTGGTGACACGGCGTCTGTGACGCAGAGATTGCGATCAGAACACGGCAGATGCAACGCGTTGACGCTGTCAGCGGTATGCGAGACGCTGTGCCTCGCGACTAGCCAGGCTGGTAGGGAGACATGCATGCAAATACGTTGCTGAACATTGTTGACAGGGCCCGGCGGCCACGTTGGGGGTGCTGCCGTTTCCCCAGACGTTGTGTAACAGTGATGCGTGCAGCGATTCGTCGAGTCTCAAAGCAGATGGCCTGTTTGGGAAAATGAGGCACGACATGTGAGTAGCCAGGTAGCCGCACATTGCACCTGCAGGCGCGCAGCTGCCGTGTGGCGCAGGACTGTGAACTAATATTGCACGAACGCTTCTGGGGGTTCTGCGAGACAAGCACAGCGTGCTATTCTTGTCAGTGCAAACTCCACTTGTTGCTGCGCTCTGCCGGGCTCCACTGGAGTGCAGGCGAGCATTAAGCGGTGTGGAGCGGTGTAGATGCCAGCGGTTCGAGACAGATGTTGTCCGGTGAAGACAAGACTTGGAGGGCGTCCTCTCCAGGTTGAAGAGCTTCGGTAAGGCGGTTTGGAGGTCTGGAAGGTTCTTGTACTGCTCGGAGAACTGTGATGAAGGCCGGAGCTAGACATGCACGATCTGGATCATGTAGGATGTTGTGAATTAAAGGCGGCTAGGTGGCGAGGTTCGCGAGAAGCGGTCTGTGATTTTAGGTAGCGGTGTGTAGAGGCGAATCGTTGTCGAATGGATACTTCGAGATGTGGAATCTTGACACGAGCTGGTCTGCGAGACAACTATGACTCTTTACGGGCACCGAGATGTCTATTACGTCTCGTCAGCAAGCTCGAAGATGTGGTTTTGCTTACTGTCATGGCCGGCTCGAGTGAACACTCGTTCTCACGTGCACAAACACCCGAAAAGGCAGCACCCAGGCGCGAACCGTCACAACACATGCATGAGTTTGCGACAAAATCTGCACTCGTATGCCGCCTTGTCCGCGGATCCACATATCCGAAAGCGTTCATTGGCAGCAGAGAAGACTCAGCTGCACAATCTCCAGAACTGCAAAACATACGGTCACGATCTCCACACGTACCGGAAAACGCTCAGTTCCTCGTGCACAAGGCGTTCGGTTTCAACTTTCATGCATTCTAGCATCGGCATCTTCCGGGCGTCTTGTCGGCGGTCAACCGAGTCATGTAAAACAGCGACGGACTGAGTTTCGGTGGTTTAGCGGTCATTTGGTACGAATCAAGAGCTGCGATCCACCAAACGCATCATCGCCGCGTGGTGTCTTTTCTGGAGATTCACTAGATGGATTTGGTTGCTTCAAGACTTGATGCTGGGTGTGCCGTTCCGTTGACCTCGGTATTGCGTGATCTCGAAGATCTTGCCGGATTGCCTGTCGATAGTGTATACCCGCAGTGGACCCTGGGACATACGGTTTGAGAGCGGCTTCTGTCGGTGAGGCTGGCGAACTGTTTCCTTTTGCAGCACGGTCGTCGTGTCGAAGATTGAAGACGAACAGGTGCAAGCGAGTCGCCCACGAGCATGTAGCGTTGAGCTCGTGCTGCTTGGGCTCGCCACCATGCGAACACCTCGATCGCCAAGCCAAGCCGCGTTGACAGCGACCATCGTTTCCTGGAATCAATGCTCGTTTCCACATTGTCGTATTGTCGTGCAAGGCGAATCGCTGCTTCTGTCACGTCAGCGCACCTACCCTCTTATCCCGGCGCACGGTAGACGACGATCGAAGGCTTGTGGAATACTTTTGGCCTTCTTCTCCGTTGCTAGCTCGGTGTCAGCGCTCGTTTGGGCAGGAAGAAAGTTGAAAGGGTTGCATCGTGATCCATGGTTCTCAGGTCATCAGGGATAGTAGTTCGTGGTGTGTGCCAGATAACGGCGGTGTTTCGCCCGAGGCAGCGATCCCGGCAGATCGAGCAAAGGACATTGCAGGGCGGCCAGGCCTCATCGGACAGATGACACTGCGACAAGGCGGCCTGGCACAAGACCGTGTATCAGATGTCATGATTCGTGTTGGCGAACAGGTGGTGCACGGGAAGCCCTTCTCGAAGAAAGTTGATCGCCGGAGACAGTGCGTTTGACCATGCATGTTTGAACATGTTCGCAGCCATGCAACCCCGGAATAAGGATTCAATTCGGAGAATAGGCCCGGTAAGGACTCGTTCGTGTCAGCTGTCGCCGGCTTTTCTTTTGGCCCTGCTAGAGCCAGCATGAACGTCAATGCCGAATATCTGCCAGGATGAGCACCCGTTCGCTGCCGCGAAGAGCGGCAGGCGAGATTCGACGCATGACTCTTCGAACACAACAAGTGGTCAATAATGGGCACCGGAGCATGGCCGTCAGCGAGGAGAGTCGCAGCAGGGATGGCCCCAAAACACCTCTTGATGCCATAGTTCCAGCCTTACACCTAACGTTCGAGGGAATATTCTCGAACGTAAGCTCGAGTGCTCTACTCGCCGCACCATGGCATCGATAGGACCGAACTGCGAGCGCCGAACACCCATGTAATTTCGTTTCTGCGGAGCCAGGCAACGACACAAACCGGTCTGCGCTGTCATGTTGGCACGCGGAAATGGCCAAAGGATGTTGGGCGCAGGCGAAGTTCATGCAGAATTCCACGTGAGTCAAAGACGGCTGATTGTGAGGTGTGTGGCTGTGCGAACAGCTCAGCAACCACACCAGAAATAATTCAGCTCTAAGGAATTGACAGCGCGGCTTGCAGATAGACACGTAGTCGGAAGTTCACCGACAAACTGCAAGCCTCTCGTTAGTACGTCATCACAAGCGATCATCTGGGGTAAATGAGGCTTCCAAGCGAGTCGCAAAAGAACCCGCTGTACACCGCCACGAGCTCAGACATGGGTTTGCTTGCTTGGGCAGCAGCAAAGTTGCAAGTTCGGGAGGTCGGTAGAGGGGGACTGGATTCGGAGATGAAAGAAGCTGGTATTCTATGCTGGTGTCTCTGCGCTGGCGCAGCGCGATGCAATGACGCAGAGACGCTTCGCTATGCTCAAGAAACCGACAGGCTGATGCTTGGTTGAAAGTACAATGTAGGTATCCTCGCCACGCTATGCCGCAACCGTTTGTGAGAAATGCTGATGAAGTTGAGTTGTGGAATGAGAAATTCTTTGAATCCAAGACCCAAATGCCCAATCGTAACCGCCAGATATGTGTTTAAACATGCAAGAACAGGCGAATAATGATTCTGACCCAAGAAATTCCAACGCTATGATGTTTGAACCAAAGCAGTATAAGATGAAAGGACGACCGAAGCGAAGAGCAAACCTTACCATGCTAAATGCCACAACCATTGCCGCTGAAGAATGTGTGCGAAACCATCTTGACCCATCTATGCTCCCATGATGTTGTTTTCATTTCGATGTGTGTATTGCAATGTCTTGAAACGTCAGAATGCGGTGCAGACAAGCTGCAAGCGTACCGTAACACCAACTCTAGTCGGTGCCAGGCCGCCCATGTATACGTAGAATGATGTACTAGGCCTTGCAGAGCGTGGCTCGAGAGCAGTCTCTGCGACCGTAGATCAAGTGACTACAGGCTCAAGGAGCGACAGGGACAGGCGGCGAAGGCAGTGCAGTGGTCGCCGGCCGCTCGAAGTCTCCAGACTCGCGTTTGAAACTCTTGATGCTTCCCGTTGCACTGCGCTGCGACTGTCTGTCTGGACTCTTGCCCCCCTGGCTGCATGTGTCTAAATCTGATGGGGTTGGACCCGTAGTACCACCTTCCCACCGCTTCTGGTACGGCTCTATATAGCTGAACCCCTCGCGCTTGATGTCTGACTGGATACTTGGCGCAGGAGCTGTCCTTGCTCCACTGACCAAGTCTTCCGCAGAAGCTGGATGGATTTGTGGTAGAGGCTGGCTGAGTTGTGGCGGGACGCTGGATCTCGACAGTGTGTTTGCGCGTCGGCGGCTGAAGGAGTCGTTCCTGCGTCGGCCTTGGCTCGATCCGCTGTCGGTGCGCTGGTGGAAGGCGTGAATCGGTCCTTGTTGGTGGGGCTGGGCAGTGACCTGATATTGCTGTGCAGGTACTGGGGGAGGAGTAGGCATCAACGGCGCGGCGTTTGCGGGAGTGAAGCCGTGCGAGGTAGGGGTCGGTGCTTGTGCGGGCACAGCGTTGCTCTGCGAAGGGGAGCCGTTCGATGTCGCGGAAGGATGAAGCTGGAAAACTGGAGCGTTCGCACGTGCGCTCATCTCTTGCTCTCCTAGTTGCCAGTGCATGGATTCGGCCGATCGCCAAGGGATACCCATCTCAGTGGCCACCTTCTGCCACATCTGATCCTTGAAGCTAGAACGTCGTTAGTACACAATCAAGAACACGATGCCGTCATCTGGAAGACAGCACAGCAACACAATGAATCTCGTTGATGGATGGACAAGTGACCAAAATTCCAGGTGTAGCGCGGTGTACGTACCGAGCGTAAAGTCGCGCAAGCTTGTTCTTCTTCTCCTCGTCCCAGATAGCTCGCTTCTCCAGGTAGTTCTGGTAGCGTAGTCGACAGGAGATGGAGCTTCTTCCAGGAAGACGCTTCGCAATGTCGTCCCACTTCATGCCTTGGCCTCGCAGTTCGATGGTGAGATTATCTTCTTCTGGCGTCCATTTCGACTGCTTCTTGGCGGGGCTCTCATCCGCAAGGGGCGTTTGGGAAGCTTGTCGCTTTATGACCTGGTGAGGAGGCGATCGATTTGAGCCAGGTGGACCATGGTGACCAGGACCGGGGCCAGGGGGTCCAGTGTACAATGGGCGAAACTGAGGATGAGAGGAGGGGTCTGGGTGTCGCTGGAGCTCGGAGATAGCTGGTAGAACAGGCCCGCCCAGCATCGTTGCTGATGCCGAAGGAGCTGACGTTCGCGCCGGAGCTGGGTAGCCTGGGGTTGGACCGTATGGTGATGATATTACGTACGAGGGTGACCCATTAGCATACGCGGGTGATGCAACATGTGCGGGAGATGTAGTGTAAGCCGAAGGAGCTGCTGTGTATGTTCTTGCCGCAGCGGAGTTGGAAACCACTGAGAGTGGGCTCTTCTTGCTTGCGGGTGATTCGGAGCCACGGGGCTCGAGGAGGAGGTTGATATCCATGCTTTGAGAAGGTACTGGCTTACGGCAAGGCCATGTACTGGGGGACTGGCTCGATCAGGTTGAGTTCGCCAATCTCAAGCTCAGTGACTGCAGGAGCTCGCGAGACTGCTAGAGGAATGCAAGATGATCACCTGACGACGATCGATGCTTTCTTTTAGACCGGGCCTTGTTGCAGTCCTGGCAGAGATGAGCTCTTCGATGAAAAGCAGGGCTGATGATTAGGGAAGGTGGCAGTGCTGAGGCAGCAATGGGGCGTTTCTGCTGGATCGGCGGTCAATCCGGGTGGGGTATCCAGTCGTATCAGCGAGATCGTCTAGGTGTCGGAATACCACAATGGCGAGATGAAATGTCGGAGGATTGCTGACTGTCGATGAAGGTGAAGCTGAGTCTGTTGTGAGGTGACAAGACTCTAGATGGAGCTAGATATGCCGATGTAGGCTAAGGTGACCAGTGGTGAGGTACCCACGAAGATACAAGTCCTTACTGGTCGCTCAAGTCGGGCTACTGAGCAGAGGATCCAGGTCGATTGGGCAGGGGCGTGAAACAGGCCGACCAATGGGTCCGAGAATGACAATCGCGCTTAGCCACCGGTTTTGCAGAGCAGTTAATGGTGAAAAAAAACCGTCGAGGTGCAAAATGCATGCAGGCCGGCGAGAGTGGAGGATAGGTCAGTAGGGTCGAAGTACCAGGGTAGGCATGGATGTTTGAGTAGAGGGAGTTAGCGTCGAGTGTAATACGAAGACATGCATCCCTTGGGCTCAGAGCCGCCTCACTGCCCATAGCGGTAGGGATCCGGGGGCCTGGGATTAAGATGTACGTTTCTGACTTGACACTGACTACTTTGGCGCTATCCGTTGGCTTTGGCGGCGCCACTTCGACCCACAGACCACATCGAGCCTGCACTGATGATCTGAGGAAGCATGTCTGCCGGGGTTCTAGCGAGTATCAAAAGAAATGATTTGAACGGCAATCTGCAAACGCAAGTGTAACGAAAAAGCAGATCCTGTCCCTCCGGTCGAGCGTGGATAAAGGCGGTGACGTACCCCTACTTCGACGACAACGCATCTGAAGATCTAGTTCATGTTCCCCTCGTCACTGATTCTAGCCTTACTCGTAGGCTTGAGCCCGAACCATGCCCTTCTTCGTCAGGCCTCAATGCGCACCGAGACTGCAGCGTCTGTAGCGCTGGCAACAACAGGGGAGCTCTCACGATCACCAGAGCATAATGGAACGGGTCGCCAGGAAGGGGCAGCGAATCAGGCATAAGATGGCGGTGAACATACTCAGGGATGTCGGACGTCAAAGTCAAGGGCCACGTCCGGAAATGCAGAAGCGCGATGACCTGGCGCCGCGAACAAGATCTGCAAGCATCCTTCGTCCGCCCTACGGTAATCTGGCACGCCAGAGGCCGCGGTAGCAAACGCATGTTAGCATCGCGAACGCTGACCTCATTCTGGCGGTGCAGCTGCTGATGTATTTGTGCTAACAGGGTGAAAGGGGTTGAACACTTGCTTTTGCTGTTCATGCTCGCTAAAGCACTCCATAATGGGTGTCCATGTCCATCATGTCAACGGTTGGCGTCACTTCGGACCAGACAAGCGGTGAACTGCGATGAACTGCCGAGTGATGGCCGTAACATTTAGCTTTCGATGGCGTTCTAAGATGCTGCACATGTTTGGAGTCTTTGTGTAGCTCCGGGCCAGGCCGTTACGAGGCTAGGCTGACTTTGTCGACCTGTACTACCGCGCCCACGTGAGACATGCCTCAGGCGAACTGCGGCGCAGCAAGCTCTGTGCTGTCCTGCACAGTCCACGTTATTGTGCCTAAGCCTGGTGTTGTCAGGCTTTGTCGAGCCAGCTCTGATACTTTCGCTGTAGCCAGTCTCTAGCGGCATTTATAGTTGGACGTGCCGCTTGGCCGAGTACTACACCACACAGTGCAGGCAGTCGAGGCTTCGTAATGATGGACATGGCGGTGAGTGCTGCCCGAAGCCGACGTTTGATGAATCAGTTCGAAGTGGCAGGGCTGCCGGACCCAAAAGGCCGAGGTGCATTAGCCCGGTTTGAGTGAACAAGTGTTCCGTGCGCTCTCCACGCCTGATGAATAAGAGGGCTGGCGGCGAAGCGCGCCTTGACATGATGAAAGGACCCCCCACAGTGCGTTTTACAATTTGTCTGCGGCATGACAACCAGACTCTTCCCAGACCCCGGCCGTAGCTGCGCCGTCTCGACAGCATCGACTGCTGAATTAGGAGCCACTTTCACGGGCGGTTGCTTGCGTGTCACACAGCCCTCGCACTCAGTGCCTGACTGGCTGTCGAACGCTTCGGCTGCTTGACCTAATGCAGATGAGAAGCATTGCCAGTTGGCGGCCATCCAGCGGAACAATCCATCAAGCTGAGCACGAAGCAGTGTGGGCACTCTGGCGCAGTCTTGGATTCCGGTATTTTTGGAGTTGGCTGTCATCTGGAGACGGAGCGGTGAAGGCTCTCTTTGATTGGCCAGAGGACCGGCGAATCCAGTAAAGCAGGTGTTCGCGGCGAGTTTATGTTCGACTCAGGTCCACCACACACACCGGACAATGGCGGCAACAGACCATCGCGAGCAGTGGGTCAAAGGAAGAGCAGCTTGTCGTTAGCAGCAACTGCATCGGACTTGGCTGACGAGCGGATGGTTTCGGGCGAGCACCCTGTGAAGCTCGAGCTGCTGCTGGCCTAAAACAAGCTCCTCAGGCGTCAAGGGCGAAACACGCCACGGTCGGCGATTTCGACACGTAAAGGATGTTATCAACGCTTCATGAAACCGACTTTACTATTTCCTCGATGAACCAAGCCACGAAAAGCAGCGCGTGGGGTAAGCAGGGTGGCGTTGTTGTTGCAACTCCCGTCTGAATGTCACCACCGACTTTCACCCACATCTAACGCGAACTACAAGCTTGGCACTCGCTTAGCGTTCCTTTTGCATTCGATGCGGCTGATGTGTAACCTGTGTGTAAAGACGGATGTACATTGTCTCGTAGATTGTTCTTCGAGAGTGAGCTCGCCGACATTGTTAGCCGCGATTTGCGGAGATGTACGTGGGCTGAAGCGTGCTTGCCCACTTCGTGACAGCAGGTGCTGCGTTGGCGACAGAACCGCGCTTGCCTTTTGATATTTCTACCGCTGCTGGCGCTGCAGCTACTGCACTCCCACCTCCACGCCAGCAAACCGAAACCACATCGTGACCTGACGCCTGCCTACCCCACTAGTTTGTCACTGTCCGCCTCCCACGATCCAATATGTCACTCCAAAGCGCGGCGGATGTGCCGCTTCTCATCAGTTCACCCAACTCATCCTCTGAACGCCGCATATCGCCGTCGTGGAGCATTGCCCACCTGAAGAGCCGACTGGAACCGATTACTGGAGTGCCAGCAAGCAGTCAACAACTGTCTCTTCGAGTTGGCTCCCAAGATGCTGTACCAATCAGCGCCGTAGATGAGGAACAAACGTGCCTGGCGCAGTTCCCTCTGCAGCCCTATGCTGAGATAGCTGTAAGTGTGTTCATCTCCGTTTCTCCTGTTCTCAGCAATGCCAGCTGTGGTTTTCCGTTCTCTCCGGCCAACAATTATTGGCCTCTCTCCAGCTGCCACATATCACTTGTCTCAGTGCAGCTGCGCGGACGTTCCTCATGCGCTAGTCGATATGCTGCTTCAGGCCGCTATTTGCTGGCCCGGCCATATACCTGAGGCTTGTTACGAACATCTCTTGCCTGCATGGAACGCATGCCCCCACCTTGCCCCTCATCAGCCTCGAAATAAGCCGTAGTTCACTGCATTGTCACGCCGCGAGTCGGCTAGAACGTGGGGTGCCATTGGCAACAACCATCTCACGTCTGTCGTTGCTTTTTCGCCCTGAGCCATTTCCATCGAGACGCTGTCTCGTTTGTATCAGGGCTATACCCTAACGACTTTCTTCAACATTTCGCGTCAACGAGTTGCTACAGATAGGCGTGTAATGTACTAATGCACAGCTCTAGGTTGTCGATACGCGGCCACCGGCGGCCCGAACAGATTTCTCGGATCTATCCGCTGTCGACAAATATGTGATGCCTGCGGCCGAGTACGAGACTCGGACTGATAGTGTGCTTGCCTGGAAAAGAGCCCAGAAGCTCGGTCGCTTTGATCCAGACGCGCCCAGCATAGAGCAGCAGAAGATTCTCGCTTCTGAACGTGAAGTAGAGGAGAGAGGTAAGCAGTACATTCCTATTATGTTTTACACCTTGTCCACACGCACCTTTCTGCCCACTCGCGGCACTTTGCGCGTTTGCAGAAGCGACTATGCACTGCTTTCATGGGGATACAGCCGTCTAGCATCACGGACAAGTATCAAGCACCTCCTTCCTCAGGTAATGAAACAGAGGTTCAACGTCATTCTCAACGCCCAAATGACTCCTCCACACTGTTGAAAGACACGCGATGTCTCATCCTTCAATCTCTCGCGCAGACGCAGCAGGCGAAAAAACGCCGTCAAGCCCAATGAGGCTTCATAACGACAGGCACGCCGTTAATGTCACAAGAGAATTCCCTTTTCAAGCGCCTTGCATGCCCACCCGGCTTGAGATCACACACAGAATGGTGCAGGAAGTACCGCGAAGCGCATCCACCAATGCTGAGTCCTTTCTCTGGACACTGTCAGACTTCGAGATTTGCACCCAGAATGGAGATCCGTCAGCGAGGAATCCCGCTTCCAAGATCGCGTTGTATCATCCGCTCTGCCGGGACCAATCGCCGACGTCAGCAACGCCTTATCCTGGACTTGCCAACATTACTTGTCATCTACATTGGCGCCACACATCCTCTCTACTTCAGTCCGTACAAGGTCTTGGACGTGTAATAGAGTCAAAAGCGTGCCGAACTGGGCGTCCTCTGCCTTGGTGCACGGGTGGCGTAGCAAGCACGGTCAGAGTCTCATCAACAAGCGTCATGTCTCTGCGGCCTCGTCAACGTCCTTAGGCCCCAGTGGTACTTGAACTTTGCAAACGAATGTCGTTTGGGGCAGCAAGTTAAGCGCAAACCCTGCCGTGGCCCGCACCCCCGTCCGCTCAGCAGCCTCACTAGAGATATCGCATGTACGCGCAACCGGTGTGAACGATGCACATGCGACCTGTCACACTCAGTCAAGCAACGAACGACTGCTCGTGTGTTCGAAGCGCCTGATTTAACGTCCCGTACCCTGCAGCGCCTTTGCCTATGCACATCCTCGCCACGTTACTAGCACTCATCATTTACATCACCATCATCATCGCAGAACTAGCCGTTAACTCATAGACAGGTCTTGTTGTGGGCGGCCGCATCCGCCTGCTCCCTGAGTCTGATGCACGAAGAGGCACAGTGAGCTACACCGGTCTCGTCCCGGAGATCCCTGGCATTGGAGCTTGGGTGGGCGTCACGCTCGACGAACCGACTGGCAAGAACGACGGAAGTGTCAAGGGCAAGCGATACTTTGAGTGCGGTAGCAACTGCGGCGTGTTTGTCAGGCCGGAGCGCTGCGAGGCGGGAGACTTCCCCGTCTTGGACGAGTTCGATGAGAATCTCGAAGAGCTGTGAGTGGCACACCGTGGTCTGAGCGAGGGGTCGAACTCCAAGGGACAGGCAGAGTCAAGGTCGTTTGTGAGAGCCCGCCCGCACTTGAAAGTCGTCTGTCCTCAAACATCGACTCGAGTCACACAAAGAGCATAGTCCCTCGCGTTACCGTCTCCCATACCAACGCACGCGGACTTTGAGACACTAGTGGTGTTACCACAAGCCTGTAGATTCTAAGGGTGGCCTTCCGTCGGCAGAGCGTGGGACACGTGCGAGAGCGTTGCGTTGCGTCGTTGCAAGTAGAATGTAATCGTAGCTGCCTCCACCTTGTATTCACCACTTCAACCACCACGGCCACGCAATTACGAACGCACACTCACCATGCCGCCCGATCTTGTACCTCGCAGCACTTACAGAGGGGAGGCTTCGAGAGCAACACCCGCGTCATCGGTCTCGTGAAACTCGTCCATGGTTAGGTCAGTTGGCAGCATCGCGAACGGCGGGCAGTGGCGCTTGAAACCCGTACGACGCGGGCTTGAGCTCTGAAGGGTCGGTGCAGCGCGTGATACCCGGCGCTGTCTTGTCGTGAGCATGTCTGCATTGGCATCTGCATCAGGACCAGCTTCAGCGTAGACGCCGTGGTGCAGAGCACGCAAACACCACACACCACCCACCACCAAAACCATCGAATCAAGCGAACAACTCGCCAAGAGTATCTATCCTCTACCTCTACCTGCCGACAGAACACCATCCATCGTGCCAACAGACCATCATCTATAACCCACCCTCATCCTCATCCGCTCCCTGCTCAACGCCCTCATCCCCTTCCCATCAAACATCGCCTCAGCATCCCCATTCTCCTCACCCCGCCCATCACGGGCACCATCCGTATCACTCCCGCTATCGCTATCGCTGTCCTCGCGGTGCGACGCAATAACGAGCTGCTCGAGCACGGCGTGGATATCCGTGCGCTCCTTTCTGCGACGGAATCTGCTGGACGAAGCGGTCCAGGACCGACGCTTCAGCGGCACAGAGTGCGATCGATCGGGGGCGCGAGTAACCTTTGCGTACGGCCGGGGCTCTCTCTTGCGCGAGCTGCGCCTTGGGCCCGCGATCCAGCGCGCGCGCTCATCCTCGCCACCGCTCCAATCGACTTGAGCTGTCGCACGGTCAATAAGCACGCTCCGCGGGCAGACGACACGGGAAAGAGTTTGCGAGGAGGGATTGGAACATCACCAACCCTCGCCTTCGCCCCCCAGCCACTCGTCCTCGCCCTCCAACGCGCCCGCCCAATCCATCTTCTCGAGCTCGAGCCGGAAGAAATCCAGATCCTGCATGAGCACGCCGGGCCGCGCGCCCAGACTCTCCGGGTAGCGTTTGAGATGATACCAATGCGTCAGGCTCCTCAGCGCCTGCTCGAGCGGCACGCTCTCATCGACCTCGGCATCGACATCGCTCCCCGCGAGCCAGTCGTCTCGCAGCTCCGGTCTGCAGTGAAGATACACGGCGGTGATGACGCGCATGTTGCTCTGGCGCCACTTGCGGCCGCAGTACGGGACCTGGTTCTTGAACAGTTTCAACGTGTAGAGGCGCAGCTGCGGCTGCGGGACCTTGAGACTTTTGCGCAGGAACTGGCTGCTCTTGTAGCTGACGAGCATCAGGTTGCGGTGCGCCTTGTTCTTACACATCTTCTGCATGATGCGCATGTAATTTATGCTGGTGAAGAAGGCGCGCCACGAGTACGTCGTGATGGGCTCCGAAGGGAGCTCGCTGGTCGGGAAGCCGAGCTCGTCGACTTCGGGCGGCTGCGGGAGCGAGGACATGAACGGCTCGGCGCCGCTGTCGGTGGAATCGTTGCGTGTGAGGCGGATGGGCGGAGGCGCGGCGTCGTCCGAGTCCGAGTCGTGCTCGAGACTGGCTTCGGAGGTGGTGGTGTCTTCTGGGGGCTTGTTGCGCGAGTGCGATCTGCAGAAGTTGAAGAAACTGGATCGTTAGCAAAGTATGACAGCAGAAGTTAGCAAACGTACTTGAGCTCCTCCTGCTCGCTCTTGAAGTTGACAATCTTCTCAATCTCCTGCAGCTGCAGCAGCTTGAGGATCAGAGGGACGTAGCTCGAGTCGACGAGCAGCTGCGCGATGTACTCGAACTTCAGTATGTGCGAAACCTTGAACCACTTCAGGATCAGCATGAGCGTGCCCGTCACCGCCTTGTCCAGAACCTCCTGAGTGCGCATGGCATCCAGTTCCTCATTTGTCGCGGGCGTGTTGCTGTGGCCATTGACACCATTCGTCTCAGGCCTCTGCGAGGAGGCTCCGTTGACGTTGTCGTTGTACTGGAAGCCGCTCTGCAGCCCATTCGCGCCGCTCGACTGTGTGACAAGAGCGGTGACGTGTGCCAGGATCGCCTTGATCAGCACGATGATCAGCGACTGCAAGCTGGACAGCGACTTTTGGTAAAAGTCCTCAACCAGACCCATTCTCTCCTCGATGCTCCCGGCAGCCGGCTTCTCCTTGGCAGGCGCGTCGTTTTTGGGCTCGAGCGAGAGCTCGTCAACGTCAGGATTGTCGTCTGGGCCGGACCAGCCACGTTCGTACTTCATAAACGCCACGCGCTCCTCCCACAGCTGCTTCATGGCGCGTGTGGCCTTCATGCGCTTTGCAAACAGCTCGGCCGCTTCGAGGATGGAGGCTGGGATATCGGAGCCCTCCCACTTGCGTCCAACGAGCATGTCCTGCAGGTCCGTGGATCCCTTGCCCCCGAGGTTGTTGCTGGACTCGTCGAGCGGCGGGTACAGGAAGGGAAACATCTGGTTCGTCTGGTAGTTCTGCTTCTTGCCGCCTTTGCCACCGGGCCCTGCTGGTGAGGGCGGGGGCGAAGGCGCAGGTGTCGCAATGTGCACAGGTTGGTGCAGGATGGAGGTGGTGTTTCCATTCGTGTCCCCGAGACCCGATCCAAAGACATGGTTGCCCGCGACTTTGTTGGGGTGGTTGCGCAACGGCGGGAGGATGGAGTTGTTCTCGGGCTCGAGAGGGAACAAGGGCGCGGGCGGGTTGTACGCTGGGTACTTGGAGCTGATCTCCTGGCGGAAGAGGTGGTAATCGAGCGGCGAGGCGGTGATGATGGGCTGCCCTCGGTCGTCCTCTGCATCCAAGTCCTGATCCTTGAAGGACTTTTTTGCCTTGTCGGCTTCCGCCAGACCGCCAAAGCAGACCAGCATTGCCTTCCACAGGAGCAGCGCAACTTTGCTGAGCGGGAGGTTGATCGACTCGTCCCAACGCAGTTTCGAGATGATGTCGATGAGCAGCATGAGGAGCCCTGGTTCCTTGAGGTCGAGCACTGCGCTTCTGAGACCCAGACCGTCTCCCTTCTTCTCCTGGTAGCGTGCGACTTCCAGCACGACGTAGACGGCAGTCATGGCGCACCAGACCTCGCGGCGCTCCGCCTCTTTGCTTTCATGCTGTTCGTCCTCGGAGATGAGGCCGCAGGCACGCATGCAAGACGTGCGCAGGACGTCGACCAGCGTCTGCACGCCGCCGCAGTCGGCCAGCAGCCTGACATTGCGCTGGATCCAGTCGACCTGGCGCGCTGATTTGTCGAAGGCATTGGACCGCTTCTCGTCAAGACCGTGGCCGTCCTTTTCATACGCATTGGACCGCTCCTCGTCAAGACCGTGGCCGTCCTCATAGTCGTTGGGTCGCTCCTCATCAAGACCCCTTACCTCCCTTTCCAAACCAGCAGTCTCATCCCAGCACCCCAGCAGCACATACACCAAAGCCTCCAACCCCCTCAGCCTGTCGTCAAGCAACCCCGTCGCAACACCATCCAGCAACCCCTTCACAAACTCTGCATGCCGTCGCAGCCCAGCGCCCTCCCAGCCCCTCTGCTCAAAGCGACCCCACTCCACCGCAAAGCTTGCCCGCGCATGCAGAAGCATAGCCTGCTCCTCAACCGCGTACGAAAACCACTCCTCGAGCTCCTCCTCAAGACTCGCCGCGTCATCGTACACAAACGCGTACGGCTGCGGCTCTGCCCTGGGCAGGCCGGAGAGTGGCTGTGCGAGGCCCAGCGCGTCGGCGGGCGCATCGGGCGGCGGCTGCTGTGGCGGCGCGGGAGGCGGTAGGTGCAGCGGCGGCTGGGTCGGGGGCTGCTGCGTCGGCGTTGGGACGGAGACTCCTCGCGCGAGGCTGGGGCGTGTGGGCAGCGCGGGCGGGGCGTCAGGTGTGCGCATGTCTGCGGGTTCGGCTTCGATGACGGGCTCGACGGGCACGGCGTTCTCCATATCGACGGGCACGGTGTTCTGCATATCGACGGTCACGGGATTTTCCATATCGACGGGCTCGGTGTTCTCCATATCGACGGGCTCGGTGTTCTCCATATCGACGGGCTCGGTGTTCTCCATGGCGACGAGGGCCGTGTGGGTGTGTAGTGTTTGGCCGCGGGAGTTGGTGCGGTGGCCGGGGATGTGATTGTGCCCTCCGCTGTGGGGGACACTTCAGCGGCGACCCATGGTCAAACGTTCCTGGCGCGAAAGAGCGACTGCGGGCGATCTGGACGAGGAGAGTGCCATCAAGGGGAAGCGTGCCAGAGGGAGGTGCTGGTCATATGTGGGGCAGGGCAGGCTGGCCAATGAGGCTGCAACGAGCACCCTCGCAGAGCGTCGACTTCACCGTAATGATGTAATGGGGTGAATCACTGCAGGCAGACAGAATGGACATGATGAGATGGCTGTTGCGGAGCCGGAATACTCGTCGAGCTACGGCCCTGGTGCGCCAGCTATAATATGCAGCCACGGCGAAAGAAGAACACCCCCATAGCCTCTACAGCCGCACCTTCTACCAAGTACAGCCGCAACGCTCTTGCACCTGCATCGCAAATGACCGCCCCATGCTGCGTCCACCACGTATGGCCCACATCTCGTGATAAGCGTCGCTGATATTGAGCAACGCCGGAGGTGAATCGAACAACGCCGAATGAATCGAGCAACGCCGAGTGAATCGAACGCCGGAAATGAATCGAACAAGGAAAATACCTGAACATCGTATACTGATAGCCAACGACCCAGTAACAACGCAGCATCACAAACACGACAGGCGAACAGCGCAGTGCACTGGCCCGCGAGATTCCTCCAAACTTGCAGCGGATCAGAGTCAGCTTGGCCCCGTCGGCTCGCCATTGTTTTCTCGCTCCTTGATCTCCTCGGGCACGAGGCCTGCGTTCTCGCACGCACGTTTGTAAATCTGAGCCTCTTCCCACGCTCGCTGGCACTCGGCCTTGAACTTGTCGCAGCTGGCGCTGAGCTCCGTGATGGCTTGCTCCGTCAACAGCTTCTCGAGCGTCCACTTTTCAATGTTCTGCTGCTCGTTCTCCTTCAACTGCGTGATGAACTGCACTGCGCGCTGCAGGATCGAGCCCTTGTTCTTCTCGCAGCCAGGCACAATCTTTGCAAGCTCGTTGATGCCTTCGTTGATGGTTTCGCGCCGGCGGCGTTCGACTTGACATCGTTAGCGATACAGAAGCAATGCCGTCTGCGTCCTTCTCACCTTCTTTGTGATTATCTCGCCTGACTTTGTGCCACTCATCAGACCCAACCTGCGGCTTATGTGACGCACTCTGGGGCGGCGAGTCGCTGTTGGCAGGCTGGCCAGGACGGCCTGTCTGTGTCGCAGCCTTCAGGGCTTCGAGGCTAAAGTCCTGCATGCTCGACTGCTGCTGATGGTCGCCCATGTTGAACGAGTTGTCGCCGCCTGTGCCTTGTGTCTGGAACTGCAGCTCTGTCGCCTGTGGCACCGTCATCTGGTGATATGCCAGAGCAGCTGCAGCCGTGTCGCCCACGCTCGATGAGTTGCCCCCGTTCTGGTTGCCCATGTCGAAGTGGTGCAGGTCGTCGTTGGCACCGGCGTTGTGTGCGGCGAGGTGGAAAGCCGTGTCCTGGTCGGTCAAGTCGGTGCTGCCCATGTTGGGAGCAGCTCGGCCCATGCCCTGGTCGCGTGTGTCGCGCTTACGTTTGTTCGAGTGGAGGTCCTGGCCCAGCTTGGCGTCAGTGTGGTAGCCGGCGATGTCTGCCATGTTCGCAGTGGTGTGCGTAGAGGGGTGGGGGAGGAGGAAGCCGTCAGGCAGCCAGGTTGAGCTCAGGCAGTCAGTTAGAGCTCAGACAGTCAGTCAGAGCTCAGGCAGTCAGTCAGAGATCAGGCAGTCAGTTAGAGCTCAGGCAGTCGGGTAGAGCTCAGGCAGTCGGGCAGAGCTCGCAGGCGTCTCGAGGATCGAGCTGCGTAGGCTGTCGGCTGGGATGGAGGGGCACACGGATGCGACTGACAGCGGAAGGGCTGTGGTGCACGTAGAACTGCGGGGCAGCTGCACCTTCGAACCGTCGGCGTTCTAGCAATCGCAGGCTACAGAATCGCACCGTGAGGCCTGGGGAACGACAAATGTTAGCACGGGCGCGGGCAGGGGGGGGGAGAATGTCAAGCATCAACGCAACACAGCGTCCAGCAAAGCAGACGAGGCGGCGCGCTGATTGCCTGTCGCCGTGGCACGACCGAGCTGTCACTCTCGAAAAGGGGCCCGTTGCATCGTGCGAATGTGCGGACGTCGCGCAGTGCACAAGGCCGTCGTGCTTCGCTTCGACGTCGTGGATGCGCGCGCCGAGCAGCACCGGGACGCGGCGCAACAACAACACGCCAGCGAGCTGCGGGAGACAGCCACGACGCCCGCCGTCCTGTCGCGAGCATCGCAGGCGGATCGCATGTCCCCTCGCGTACTCGCGCGCTTGTGTTGCTGCGCAGCGCGATGCGACGTCCAGGCCAAGAGGCGCGACCGACGTGCAAGATATGTGGGACGGGGACTTACCTGAGCAATGTTGAAGTTCGTGCCCGCCGCGGATACACGTGAGGGCTTGGATGGTCAGTATGGATCAGCTGTCTTGGGCTCCAACATGAACCTGCAAACTTGAGGAACGGGGAAAGCGATCGGTTTTGCAAGATCGCAGGCGTAGAGGAGGGTGCCTTACTGTGATAGTCGCGTCCAGGCCGCTGAGAATACGCTTGTATGGCGAAAGAGGGTGCGTCGAGGGTGGAGGTCACATGAGAGGGTCACGGGCGCTGGGAGCTCTTATGGCTTCACCAAAATGCCGAGAGGAAACGCGCTAAGAGCCGACGAATCAAACGCTCGCCAACCGCCATGCCAGGCTTCTCCACCTCCCAGCCGCTGCCGCTCGAGCAACCTCCGCTCATCAAGCCGGGCACTTGCACCGACGTCTGGCAAGCACTCTTGATAAAAGGTGACTCGTTCTCTGCTCAGTGTGCTGTAGAAATGCCGCTTCCCGCCCGGCAGTGAGGCGTCGTCCCCGCGAACCGCTGCCAGAACCCCCCGTGATGCCGCAGCTGCTCCACCACACGAACTGCACGATGCGCACCATCATGTCTTATCTCAAACAGAGCGCCTCACCGTCTGCTCCCCACACTGCATTAATCTGCCGTTTGTATTGCACAGATGACACCCTTGCACACTGCCGCGCTCATCAGGCAATCACCAGACAAGACACATGATGCTGGCATGTGACACACACCTCCCCCACATTCTCTTCCGACTTGCAGTCGCCTGGTCTCTGTGTAACGTGATCGATCTGTGGCTTCTTGGCATAGGGCTGAGACGTCAGGACTGCTAGCCTGTGATTTCTCAACTTGATGCTACTCATACTGTACATGATTCCAACACGTCCGTATCACTACTCCTCAAGGCCTCACAATAGCCGGGAAGAAGAAGATGGTCAAGGTGACCAGCAGTGGAAGCGTATTGGCCATCTGCCTCGCCATGATGCGGTAGAAGCGACCCCTTGGGAACGGCCCGCAGACAGGCCCTCGATAGTCATGATGCCCCATGGCCTTCTGCTGGTCTGAAACCGCCTCCAGGCCCTCGGGTATACCCACCGCAAACAGTCCAAGAGAAGCAGCCAGCAGCGACAGCCAGAGAGTTGCGTATAATCGAGCCGGAAGCATGTACCGGTTCGTGCGGATGCCGTCTCGTGTGCTTGTCCACGTGCGATGGATCAGTGTGTGGATCGGGACGCCGCCGATGCAGCCGTAGTACCAGGGCTTCATTTTGGGCTGCGGAAGCCCCAGCTGCAGAGACAGTCAGTATAGAAACGGAGTCCGAGACAGCAGAGACAGGCACCTCAAGATCAGGGAATACTGGCTGCGTCATCCTCCACTCCTCAATCATTGCCGCAGTGGCTGCGACAGCCTCGTCGTAGGGTAGGTCTGCAACTGGAGACCCAACTGGAGGTGGCGGCGGTACGCTCGGTGCGCGACCGAATCCTCGCCTGATCTTATCCCAGATGGCGGGCATGTTGACCTGCTGTCGCGCAGGTTTGTCCAAGCGTTGGAATAGGTTGTGGACGCCGGCGTCAATGATGCAGCACGCGGCGGTGACGCATCGAGTGTGTGATGGAGACGGCACGCGAATGTCCGATTGGAAAGATTGGTATCAAGATGCAGGAATCGTGGTGTGAGGCCTGGACGAGGAGGCAGTGACGTCGTCCTTTGGAGTGGAAGTAGCGGTCGTGGTGCTGATAACGACCCGTCCTGACGGTACACGCACCACCTCAAGAAAGGGGCCGCTCTCATCCGCGCATCGTCACAATTCGCAATGATGATACTGCATGAAGTGGGAATCAAATTCAGAGGCTGAGCTCACTCGTCTCGGAACATCCATCTCCCGCCCGTCTTGTGTGCCTCAAGCCAGCGATCCTGTACGGCCTTCACCTCCAATTCCTTCGCTCGACCTCTATCGATCTCTCGTTCTTGTGTGGAGGGGAAGTCCACACGCCAGAAGCCAGGCGGTGTCCGGCGTCGCTCGTAGGCCTCTCGATGTTTGCCACTGTCCTTTGCCATCTTCTTTGTACGTGCTTGCAGAACTAACTCAGCGCGCTCGTCTGAGGACATCTGCGTCGATATGATCGTGTTGTAGGCGTCGCCAAGGTACTCCTCAAGCAGAGCCTCTTCGTCCGCTGTAGGAAGAGGGCCCAAGGCCTCGGCTAGTCGGCGAAAGTGGGAGCCACAGCATTGTTCATTAGTGCAGCCTGGGAGACACAAACGATCTCCCCTCTTTCGGACCGTTTCCGAAAAGGCATAAGTGTAGCCGTTGTTGTACGCTGGATTTGGCTTGAAGTCGTGAGCCTTGAGCTCCTGGACCGGCTTGTCGCGAAGACGAGACTGCCCGACAGGCGGGGATGGATTGCTTCTTCGTGGAGCAGGCCGCTTGTCAGGAGCGCGCATGCTCCAGACTGGTCGATCATCAGGTATGATCTCGCTTCGCTGGTCCGAACGAGCGTTGACTGCAGACCTCCGGGACCCACCAGGACCTGACGGCGTTGGGACAGCTCGAAGTGCACTCTTTGGAGGCGACTGCGTCTGCTCTGGCTTTACGAGCGGCGATGAAGTAGTTGTTGTACGCTGCAGACGATTCGTAGGTGTTTGGGGGTCCTTCATAGCCCGCATCCTCTGAAGACGCGCTCGAGCGGCACTTGGAGGTAGTCTCAGCTCGTTCTCATCTACGGGCGGCGGCGCTTCACCAGACTCTGCGAGTATACCATGCTCGAGACGCCTATTTGCAGCTTGCTTCGTGCGCTTGTTTGAGTTGCGTTCCGTGGTTTGTGCGACAGTATTTGGGTCGAGTGGCTGGAGTATGTGCTGATCCGCCACGTGTGGTCCTGTAGGCTCGCTGAGCGCCCGCAATTCGTCAGCAGCCATCTGAAGCTTGGCTCGAACATTGGACATCTGGTCTCTTTCCATATGCTCTTTCTGCAGCTCCTCGTGCCTCGCAGCTTGTGAGAATGGCGCACTTCCAGATCGTTGATGCAAGATTGTACCGGTCGTGTTGGAGTGAAAAGAAGGCTTTCTCTGCAAAGCCCTGACTGCTTCGGCGCCATGGGGTGTTGCATCATCCAAGTCAATCGTTTCCGTACGTGTGAGGATATGAGTGCCAGGTGGGGGACTGCTTACTGGCTCGTCCTTGATACGATGGGGCTTGGCTGGAGTTCCGTCCGAAGATCGACCAGTGTAGACTTCCAACCTTGATTGCTGGCCTCGCTTGCGTTTGAGTGACCGCTCTGAAACGACTTGCGGCCAGTCGTCTTCGTCGTTGACAATTTGGGTTCGTCGATTCGCTTGATCAGCGACTTCATCGACTGTAGTCTGGCTAGAGCTTGGTACTGCGTCGGCCTCAACATGGGATCGGCAAGTTCTGTTGAGCCTAGTGTTCAGCGAAGGTAAGTCGTGTGTTGCGCCTTCATGTCCGTGAAAGCTCGCAGCTGGAGGAACTCTCGGCGTGACTGATGCACTGGTCGACAGGTCTTCGCCTTCATGCGGCAATTCCGCAGCCTCAGCTTCTGCATCCGCAAGTATAATACCGGGGGCAGGGGATGATCGTCCTCGAGCGGCATATTGTAGAGGCGTTTGCGTAGTACTGGCAGATCCTGGGCTCGAGGGCATGTGGGGTGACGCCTCGTCGCTGTGAGGAACGGCCAATAATCTCGATGGAGTTTCGTCGGCTGTCGCAGCAGCCTTTCGTCGCTGCTTTGGCTTCACCCGGTCTGCGTACTGCTGCCATGCACGTACACTTTCTTTCATGTCCCTGTTCTTCTGCATGACAGCGTTGTTCTTTCTTTCGAGGTACTTGATCTTCTGAGAAAGATCTTGATACTTTTTGCTCAACTCCTCGTACTTCTCGGCGAGACCGCGGTGTTGCTCCTCTGGCACGTCCGTAGCAGTGTCCTTGAGAGCTGTTGACGGTGCTACACTCTCAGCCCTTTGCCGCAGTTCATTCTCCAATCTTTTGTTCTCCTCCATGATTTTTGCATTTCTGACAATCTGCTCGTTGATATGATTGAACAAAAGATGCTGGTTTTCGTCTCCTATGGACGCTGATTAGTCGAGGAATTTGTTAATATCACTCATACTTACTCCTTTCCAGCTCATTCTGGTGTCCTTCCTCTCCTGACGCGTCGTTAGCCACTTTATACGCGTATAGTGCATGCAAATTCGTACTCTTCTTCCACTCTTTCTCGCAATCGGGCGCGATGACCTCATCGTAAACACGAGACCACAGGCCTCTGTTCTTCTCAACCCAAACCGTGAAGTCCGCCATAGTCAACGAATCATAGTCAGACGAAAAAGGTCGCTTAGGTGAAAGATGCCTTCCAAAGTATTCGGTGCTAAGGATGTCTGGTGCCAGGCGGCAACGTCGAAAAACGCGCTAATTCAACGCGCAGTCACGCGGCGACAAACCTATCGATAACGCACCCCACATCTTCCCGAGGCACGCTGCACCTTTGCCACAACACATCATCTTGTTATGAAGAGGTTCCGAGAGGAAGCAGATGGAGCCGATCATCCAGCGAAGGTGCGGCGCGTGATCAAGGCCGACAGGCTATCAAAGTTGAGCGACGAGTTGCTGGTGCGCGTTTTGTCGTTCCTGCCAGTATCGTCCCTCTTGACTTCCCAGAGGTACATAAACCGAAGTAACGTTAGAGCATCCATGTTGACAGGGCAGGATCTCGAAGAAGTACAGCCGCCTTGCAGTCGACTCTGAGCTTTGGAAAGCCGCCTACTATCGAACGTTCGTCCTCCCCCGCGCATCCCGCATCCCCGGCATCAAGAGCCCCGGCGCACACGACCGCTTGCACTACTCTTCAAGATTGTCGAGATGGCTGGACGACGGCGCGTTAGTCAAGAGTGGCGCGAATACCAAGTGGAAGCAGCAATATCGCTTGCGCCACAACTGGTCGCAGGGGAAATGCGCCGTCAGTGAGATTGTAGTCTCTGAACGGCCCCCAGAACCGCCCTTACTGGTCATGCTGTCGAATAGCACAATCTTCGCGGCAGACTCAATAGGCGGACTGAGAGCGTGGGGCGTGAAAGATGGGCGCGAATTGCTTGCATCAACACCGTTCAGTGCGACTGCGACAGACATCCTGCAACCGCCCGTGGCCATGGCTATCGATTCGAATGAAGCAAACGAGGGGTGCGAAAGAGTCGTTCTAGGCTTCGAAGATGGGTCATTCTCTATATATGAACTACGGCGGAGCTCAAAACAGTTTGACATTCTGTTCACCCACCCACCTTCATCGAACGGAATGCTGTCGGCCCTGGCCATGTCTTCGCCGTATCTTCTCACTATGACAGAAGATCACCTTCTATCGCTGTACACGTTCGAAGAAGAGCAGAGACAGTCCGCACATCTGAACCCTCCGAGGCTTCTATACTCGTTGCGGTCTCACACAGCCTGGCCTCCCGTATCTCTGTCCTTGCGCACAACAGCGACAAGCATGACAGCCGCAATCGCATATTCACTACCTACATATCTATCCGGCTGGACAGTCGGCGTCCAGGAGCTGAATCTCTCGCACAAGGGCGAGCTGCTTGGGTCACGACTAGCGACAGCAGCTGATGAGCACTCCTTCACGCTCTCAAACTACCTACCACTGTCTTCACCATCGACTCGCTCATCCTCTCCACCGTCCGGCACACCCCGCGAGCCTCCAGCCGTGGCTGCTCCGAGCAACTCCAAACCAACCTCCATGTCCTATTCGCATCCATACCTACTGGTAGCCCACCCAGACAACACCCTGTCTCTCTATCTCGTCAAGTCTACTGCATCCACCCTATCCATCGGTCCGGGTAACCGCCTTTGGGGCCATACATCTTCAATTTCAGGCGCACACGTTGGCATGCGCGGTAAGGCCGTGTCTGTCAGCAGACTTGGTGATGAATTACGAGTCTGGGATCTAGAAGGCGGGACGGCCTCACTTGCAAATCGGCGGCGATTCAGAAACGGCGAATTGAGCGTCAGGGTACAGCCATCGAAGATTATGGATGATGCTCAGGACGCTCAAGATGCCGAGAGTGAACGAAACATTGGACTGAAGTCTGCGCTTGAACAGAGCTTCGACGACTCGAGTGTAAACCGAGGCTGGGTCGGCTTCGACGAGCAGAACGTCATCGTGCTAAAGCAGAGGAGTGAAGGGAGCCAGGCCCTAGTCGTATATGACTTCACATAGACGCATCTCACATAGTAATGAAGAACAATAATGTTCGTGTTCATGGGCTGCTTGCATTGCCACGCTGCAGGATGCTCGAGCAAGGCGCATAGGCCGCCGGTTCAGACGCCGATGTGCCCAGAGTCGTGTTGACATAACCCACCATAATTTGACGTCCTCTCGCGACAATACCAGAACAGACTCGACCAAATCCTTGGGGGCTCAAGCTAACTTCCACTCTCACAACTTCATGTCCAGTAACCATCTTCCTGGTCCATCCATGCTACAGTCGGTTGCTGAAGATGGACTCGCGAAGAATTTCGCACCAATCACACCTCAAGACTTCCGGCTGACTTCCGCGTTGGCCACTGCATTGAGAAATGCGGGCCGTCCTTCCTGGTTCAGGGACTCGATACCCCGAACTTTGCGACGCCACGACCCGCGTGAGCTGCGGTTTTGCGGGGATGAGCCGCCGGACGTACATCATGTCGGCGTCTGCTTCTCGGCCGTCGAGCGATTCCGTCTGTCTTACTCTCCTCTTGCTTTTTCTCGATCTTCGTGCAGTCTGCTGAGTGTTATCGACTTCGAGCGTTTCCGGTCCCTCTCCACATTCGAAATCGTACATTGGAAGCACACAACATGGCGAAGGTGTTTGACTATGCGGAAGGTTGGTGACCGCTTTTTCGGAAGCAATTGTAATGAGACTGACAGCGTGGCAGTCTCGAAACATAACACTGCAGAGAGCTGCTGGGTGGTCCTCTACGGAGACGTCTACGATGTAACACGCTTCATCCCCGAACATCCGGGCGGCAGCAAGGTCATCCTGCAGCTTGCCGGCAGCGACGCAACAGAAGAGTACGACCCAATTCACCCACCAGGCTTACTCGAAGAGAACCTCAAGCCCGAAGACAAGCTCGGTAAGATCAACCCCGACTCGCTGCCGAAGGAAGAGAAGACACCCGTGGAGACAGGTGAAGTCGAGGATGACGGGCCGGTGGACCTGGAGAGCATCCTCAACATCGATGAGATTGAGGAGGTTGCGACGAAGAAAATCCCTTACAAGGGCTGGGCATACTACTACTCCGCCTCAGATGACCTCACATCGAAAACCTTCAACGGTGCTGTGTATCGCCAGATCCTCCTCCGACCCCGTGTCTTCGTCGACTGCACATCCTGCGACACATCGACATCCTTCCTCGGCCACAAGGTCAAGCTTCCTATCTACGTCTCTCCCGCAGCAATGGCACGTCTTGCCCACCAAGACGGCGAATGGGGCATCGCGCAAGCCTGCGAGAAATTCGGCGCCATGCAGGTAATCTCGCAAAACGCCTCCATGACCCCAGAGCAAATCATCGCCGACGCAAAGTCCGGACAAGTCTTCGGCTGGCAACTCTACGTGCAGAACGAGCGCGCAAAGAGCGAGGCAATCCTCGCCCGCATGAACAACCTCGACCCCATCAAGTTCATCTGCCTGACGCTCGATGCTCCCGTGCCGGGCAAGCGCGAGCACGACGAGCGTAGCAAGAACGTCGGCTCCAACCTGTCTGTCCGCGCAGCCGTGCAGGAAGACCAGAGCGTCAGCAAGACCTCGACGGAGGCGAAGACGCCAAAACTCGCAGGTGTGGGGCAGAGTCTGTTCTGGGGTACCGCAGCAGACCTGACATGGCGCTCCACCCTGCCGTGGCTTGCGAAACACACAAACAAGCCCATCGTGCTCAAGGGTATCCAGACACATGAGGATGCGTACTTGGCGTCGTGTTACGCGCCGCAGGTCAAGGCGATTATTCTGTCGAATCATGGTGGCAGAGCGCTGGATACCGCGCCGCCTGCGGTGCATACGCTGCTGGAGATCAGGAAGTATTGCCCCGAGGTCTTTGATCGTATCGAGGTTTGGGTCGACGGGGGTATCAAGCGCGGCACAGATGTTGTCAAGGCGCTGTGCTTGGGCGCGAGAGGTGTTGGCGTTGGGCGTGCGGCGCTGTTTGGGTTGGGCGCTGGTGGCCAGGAGGGCGTTGAGCGCGTGCTTGAGAGTAAGTCGAACATTCCGACTGCGAAGGAACATCGCTGACATTGAGTAGTCCTCAAAGCGGAGACGGAGACATGCATGCGCCTGCTCGGCGTCGAGAGCGTCGATCAGCTTGGGCCTCACCTTATCAACACAAGAGCCGTCGAGCGCGACATCTACGACGGGCCATCATTCGCACGAGGCGCCGTTGAGAGCACAGCACGGAATCCCGTACCCATCAAAGCGAAGCTGTAATTAGTTGTTTCGATATCTCAAAGCGTACATGACAAAATAATAGATCACCACAGATTAGGTGACGGTAGGTGTAACTTGGGATGAAGACAACTTGCGCAAACACATGAACTTAACTAGACCACTTCTTCTACTTTCAAACATTCTCTACCGTCTTCGACTTCTCCGAGGTAATTAATTAGTCTCATGTATATACTCCATGGTACATACTTAGACTCATAACACTGCCAACCTCCATGATCATCACCACCAGCTTCGACAATCTGGTCTTCACCACCACCATCATACACCCCAGCATGAACGAGCTCAACATCTACGAAGCACTCTGCGCTCCCCTCTTCGCCTATATTGCACCCACCGCATCGCCGTCACGAAGTCCTCCGGCGAGCTCGTCCACATTTCTTTCCGCGACCTCATATCAAAGGTCGTGTACAACATCACCCCGTCCGACTCGCAAGTCCAAGGCGCACTCCTCTCCGGCCCTCTAAAGAACGTCAAGAACCTCGCCATCATGACAAAGCACTGGAATCTCTCCTCCGCGACGGCCATCTTCCCGCCGCAGGGCGGCTCCAACAACATAGACATTGCGCCGCGTTCGCGCAGTGCTGCGCACGTATTGCCTACCATCTCCGACACGTTCGATACGCCGCTGCTACATCCTGCAGGCTGGACTCCGCGGTTCACCTACGGTACTCTTGTGATTCATTTTATGTGGAAAGATTTCGAGTCGATTATGTAATATAGTGAAAGACGTAAGATTGTATGTGTAGTTGAGCGACATATATGTCAGTCACCAGTGTGCTACTTGCGAGTCGCCACGTCGGTGTGAGGTAGGTCCCGGCGAAGCACAGAAGCAATGAATGTATGTGAATGAATTTGATCAAAAGCAGTTGACAAAGGGGTACGGGGAAATCTCAGAGAGGAATTACACAAGCACGTTCGATGAAGCTGTGGCTGAACTACAACGACGAAACAAAGCACGAACGAAAAGTCTTTTACTAGGTAGGAGATAGTCAGTGTTCTACGACTATTAAAAGCTTGGCGGCCAACTTTGCTGATGAATGCAACTCACCATTGCTCCTGTTAAAAATCATTTTGGACCATCGCTCATTGTAGTAGGTGCACGGATGCTAACCTACAACGGGACGTAGGGATATGCTCGATCGTGTAAAGTTCCCGCCCTTGGATTCAGAATTCCCAACCATCATTAAGGAGCAGTTGTATTGAGCTTTGGAGACCATTTCATGTTAATAGACATGAGAAGTCGGGGCAACGTTTTTAGAAGGAGGGGCAGCGTTTTAAGGAGGGGTTGAAGAAGGAAGGAGGAATCCAGCCCCACGTGCAGTCGCGTCTGACTAGCGCGGAGCGGCGCGTCATCGTGGGCATTGTATCTCGAGACCACCGCAACAACAATGGCCGACGTCTGGAGCGGAGACATCCTGCTCTCAGATGGCGAGTCTATCAGAGGTAATGACGCGTTTTTGAACGCTTGTACAATGCCAACAACAGGCAGATATCGGCTTTTCCACCCCGCATGATACCTCTGCCCCAGCGATATCCGCGACGACTATACGCTTCCTCTCGACTGTCGACACCGCGAAGATACCCTTATACCTCGCCGTAGGGCCCAGCTATGACGTCTGGACGACTAGCGAAGCTTCAGAGGCATGGTTTGAGTCAACGTTGCTCAGTCTGCCCACAACAGCTGCTTCAAACAATGGCGTCCAAAATTGGTGGACGCTGGCGAGAGCGCAGTCACCGATTGGCGTCCTAGTCCAAGTGGAGAGCCAAGGAATTGAGATATCGAAGCCCAAGGTAACGGAGATCCTCATCTATGGAACGATTGCTGCTGTACCAGGCGAAGGTCTGCCAACACCACCCTCTTCATAAGACGCCCCTAACGCTCAGCTAGGGCTCTTGCCTGAGCTACGCGTACATGCACTCCCACTATCGTCCGGTCTCTTGCATGGCAAAATATACTCCTCGGGCCTCCCGCCTTCGCCAGTGCTGAGCACCGCCGACGAGACTGCTGAGATCGAAGCTCAGTACCTGGCCCCATTGTACGAATATCAACCCGCTCCAAAGTCACCTAAGCGCAAACGAGATCTGTTTGAAGAGGCAACATTGGCGAGGAGGAAGGCCAAAGGCAAAGGTGGAGTAGGTGTGGCAGCAGCAGCAGCTCGAGCAACTGAGTCGCAACGTCCGTACGCCCACCGCAAGTCCATCTCAATCGAACTGAAGGCATCTCCCTTCCCAGAGTCTCGGCCTTCGTCTGCCCATGGCGCTCTGCCTCGTCTGACGTCTCGTCAGCTATCTCGATCTCATAGCATTAATTCTGATATTAGACCGCTCAGTCGGAGGGATACAACAGACGGGCCTGAGAGACGCTCGCACCTGTCACGGGTAGATACGATCTCTTTACAGCCTGAAGAACCAACCACAGAATCGAGGAACAAGGAAGCGCTCACAAAGGTCGTGATGGCGGCGATGCGCATGCACGGATTACAACAAAGAAAGAGGGTGAAGTCTCGTCGCGCCTCGACGGCTCCTGGTTTCGAGGAAAGTCAACCTGCATTCGAGGAGCTGACCGCAGAGGATGCTGCGAAAGACGAGGAGTACAAGCAAATCTACCACCAAACGTACAAAGGTGCTGTGTTGGCTTTGGTTCGTACCACGTTCAGGTCCCCCTGTTCTTCGTTGACAACATTCCAGAGACAACACATGACGGAAAAACCGCTGCACGCTCAGCCAGACCGAATGCGTGACCTCGTCGAGCAATTTCTCGCCCTATTCCTCAACGATCCACTCGCACAACCATTACGGTCTGACGAACCGACCAATCCAGCAACGACACCCGGTCTCAGGCAAGCCGGCATATTCGGGTCGTCTCACCACGCCAGTCCCTTTGATTTGCCCAGTGGTATGAGGCGGCCACCCATGGTGAGAGCTCAGACAGACGGTCAGGTCTACACTGGCTCCCCAATCAGCAAGAGAAAGTCCAACGCCCACAAGCTCGACAATGTGTGACAATTCCAAGACCAATGGTCTCCCTATGACAGCGACTGAATACAGACGCGTCTGGAGCGCTAGCAGGAGTTTTGTGACCCAGGACACGTACTTTGTGGTATGACACCAGAGCGAGTCCCGAAGGGCTGAGCGAACCACTGCGCGAGCCCTGGCGCCTGATTGTCATCGATACGATGCATCTGCGGAACCGCCGACATGATGTATCGTCTCCCGCATCATGCCCTTGTTGATCGAGATGTAAGCCCAGCCTCATCATTGCGCAGTCCGACATTCAGAGGACAAATCCTACATTGAACGACCTTACTTTTCTATGGAAGTAACGACGTTGCATCGTGACTTGAAGGATCTCACTGTTGTCCACGTCCGCGATCGACTATAAGGAGCAGCCAATCCCTGTCGAATTCCACACTCCAGCAAACATTTCGCGTGTTTGCCATCTGTTCAAGCATCGACTCCATCATCCGCTTTCTCGTCCCTCCAAGCACCGCTATGCTTCCGAAAGCATTTGCAATTGCGCTCCTTGCCGCTACTGGCATCGCGGCACCCTACCCTAACGAGACGGCCCCGTATTCCTGGACTGTGCAGAAATTCAATGGCACCTGTTCAGCCGCAGCCTGCTGGGCATGGGGCTTCAGCATCTCAGGTGCAGCTGGTCGATCTGGCCAGCCTGCTTTCGAAACAGATGGCTGCAGTATCGACAGCAGGGTCGATGGACATCAGCAATGCAGGGGCATAGAAGTCGACGTGCCTGGCGGAGTGGCTGTTCAGATTGACAGCGCAAGTATCATCGGTGGTCTGTTGACTGTGCAATATACTTTTCAGCAGTAAGTGCGCTTCCTGAAGAAACGACAGGATCTGATGTTTGAACAGGGGACCCATCAGATACACGTACTATGGCAATCACTCGGTTACGCGACGCGGCGATGGCGTTCAGCCCGATTTTCTCCAACCTACCGAATTTCTCATTGTCCCGCACGCGGCTTCTGCGATCGGCATGAGGGGAAGGGATTGATTACAATACTCTTAAAGGTCATGATCTGGAGGAGCAAGGGATACGCGTCCTATGGTGCAGGTGAACGTAAATTATCGCGTCGTTTACCATTTGTCGTTTATCTACCACATCCTTTACGTTATCTTCACTGTTTAGAATTCGATTCAATGAGTCAATAAACCTCGCCTCGTCGACCCTGTCCCCAGCCATGGTTCTTTTGTCTAAAAGACTGCCGAGGTATACCACCAAAGAATATGCCCTGCAGGCAAGGACTTCGTGCCGGTCAATTCTTGAGCTATGAACAGTGCGTGTACACTTACACCCAGCCGTGGAAGATGCGCTGATATTGTCACAGAATCTACACGTCACCACTGCTCACCCACCATAATGCAAAAACCCCTCGAAGCATTGCCGCTGTGGCTCATCTATAGAACGACCACCCTCTGCCTCCGACCTCCAAAATGCCCTGGAGCTGCCATCCCAGAACAAGACGAAGCTGACCCACGAACATGAACCCTATCTCGTGGTCATGACGGTGGTTCGCCTGGACAACGCGGTACATGCTTCTCAGGATCGGAGCGAAACGATGCCAAAGCTCATCCTCGAAAAGCGCATCGTCAGGAAAATGAAAGACGCGACAAGCGTACTGAATGCACTCTATGAGCGTTGGGTCTGTGATATCTGCACCGCTCTTGTCGACCTGGAGTCTCAGAAACCATGCTACGCATTGGATGAAGCTGGATGCGTCCCAAGGATCCGTGATATCCTGCAGTCTGTCCACGAGTATTATTCTTTCATGATACTCTTCCCCTTCCTCGATGGTCAATGTGTGCCGTTCTTCTTCGACCTGCTGTTCTGCATCGGCGTTGATATACTCACGGTCTACAGCGAGAACGTGCTCGTCGTCCTCGCCAGGGCTGTCGTCGTGACCAGGTCTCTCGCTGTGGCTACTTTCTTCTACCTCGTCGACCTCTTCGTCTTCTTCGTCGCTGCTGAGGCTAATAAAGACTACGTTCCTCGGATCGATACCGACATTCCCGTGCTCCTGTAAATCGAAGGCCTCGAAGTTGCTCGTCCATGCCGAATTCACTGTCACCATCGTCACTGATGGTTTTTTTGCGATACAGTTGGCGGCGACAGGTCGGACACTTGTTTGCGTTATTGTTATGACTGAGGAGCCATCGTTGCAGGCAAGCAGCGCTGAAGACGTGGCTGCAGCTGTTCAGAGCCGTGAAGCGCACGGGGTAGTGCATAAGGCTGTTCCTGAAGATTTCGTGGCAGATGGCGCAGGTGTCGGGCTCGATGCCCTGCATGAGGAACTGCTCTCGAGAGGGGATAACTGTCGCCGGCATTGTGGATGTGTTGTGAGTGTCTCTTATGTATAGATGCGTGATTCGAAAGAATCGGATGAATGAGGTGTTGTTGGGGTATCGTTCGAGACGTTGCGGCGTTTCTGGTAAGTTATACTTCAGGGTCGCCTTCACCGCCAACGCGAATATTAGCCACCAAGTCCAGGGGTCTCTCGAGTAAAATCTCTGCACGGCACATCTAGATGGACAAACCACTGTGCAAGATTCGTTCCATTCATGCTGAGACATATATCACACTCAAACCTCAGTCACACGGTAGTATTCGTTTAGCCATAGCTCCTGAAAAATCGCCTTCAATCATACTCGCCGAGCTCACATTGATATCTGCTGTTCTTTTCGGCTTTAATTCATTTTTGACTATCTGCATAGCTAGTCAAGGCTCCCCTCAGTCGACCCAATCGACAGTTCACTTAGGGCTCTCGGTCTGCCACCCTCCGGCCTAAGCCATTCTAGGGACCCAGATTCGCCGCAATTCTCTCTGACAAACTTCTCTTCTTGACGACCTGCCTCATTCTAGGCATTAAATTACGCATATGTCGCTACTGAGGACTAGGACAGCAATGATAATAAATTAGATGAAGTGCTCATGCGTATTTACAGATTACGATATACATGAAATGGGTAGAGCTCGCGTTCGGGAGTCTGTCCCAACAGATTCACGAGGTGTGCTGCGTATCAAAAGGCCTAGTCTGGATGTGCCAGGTCTTCGACATCGCCAGGGAAGTCTATTTACCTGAGAAATTATAGTAAAGGAACTCCCGCTCGCTGTAGTCTTCAGCTTCATCTTCCTCGACGAGGAAGAGAAGAAGATACCGCGACCGCGCTTTCTTCATGTGCCAGTCTTCGAACAGCACTGAATACTCCGGGCCGGACCCAGTCTCCATATTCAATCGTTAGAAGGATATATTGTCGCGGTATATATACCCAACAGTTCACGGAGTGAGAGATGTCTTTGCTCCGATATATTCATATCCTCTGTCATATCCTGGAGCGCATATTCTACGCTGTCGCGGATGTCATCATCATCACTGTACATGAGATCTCAGGCAAAGGACTCCATGATGAACTTTGTTAACGTGAACGAAATGTTTACGCTTGTAGAAATGTCGAAAGTTCTAAGGATGATGTTGCTGTGTCGGCGCCTTTGACCTTGCTGGTTGTCCTGGCCCACTTGTGTTGTCACAGGATGATCGCCAAAATGTCCACCATCCCCGTCATCATCTGAGTCGTTGCCCGAATAGAAGAGGTGGGTACGGCAAATTGGGCACTTATTTGCTGATTCACGCCCGCCCTGACAGCCACTGTTTGATGCAGACCGATCCAAACACGTGGTGGCAGCCATGTGTCCCTGACAGGCTAGCCAGAAGATGCTCGTCGTCGAATGGCGAGAAGTAGATGCTGCAGGTGTCGCTTTCGTGTACATGGGTGGCGATGTAATCTTCTCCTGAAGGCAGGTCACTGCTAGCCATGTGAGTGGTTGAGTTGTATGGTGTAGACTTGAGTTGGTGGATTTGCGAGAGAGGTTATGAGCCGTATTGCAGGCGAGCGCCGGTGAAAAATCGATGTGCCATCCATCAAGAGACCCTTTAACCAGCTCATTACCGCCGTTATGTCTCACACCCGAGTTCGTTTGTTGCAACGGAATAGTCCAGGTTCATTTTCCCAAGCTGTTTCATACTAGATGCGTGGCTGGCAGAAATGCTAGGTAATGACTGTGGACCATTGCGAAGACAACGTCTCAGAATATTGAGCTTACATGTCGAGAGCATAATATCGTCCGGAGCCTGTAAGGGCACGACAAGAAACTGCCCAGACATCGTACGTACCCTGCCTGGGCCTGCCGCATGAAGGAACTGACTCCGGAGAGGAGAGGACAACAAGGTGCTCCGCGTTATATAGGCAGTCCTTTCCCACGAGGCAGGTTGGTCGCTTTTCAGCCTCGTCGTTTCTTCATCTCATTGATCATCTTTCCTCGAGCGCTTCGTCGGATGTTCTGAACGTTCGCAAACGTAGTGGTACGCTTTCCAATTATACTGAGAGATGGGCTCTCGCTTACGCAACCAGCGCTCCTCCATTGAGTCTGCCGTGCCTGCGGCGAGTGACATGCGGCAGTAACGAGCACGACATCGATGGCCTGAGCATTGAAACCACACGCAGTATGGAACCACATATTAGTTCCTGGATGGAAAAGATGGAATGAACGGTCGTTGTGAGCGCCGCTGATACCGGTATCGATGGCGGTGCGACACACAATCGCCTTCCAACGGCCGAAGAGCCGCGTTCTTGCAGCGCTCCACATCGCACCTTCCCGAACGGTGCTCATCCGGCCTCCTTGGCAACCTCCTCTCTCCTCTCTCCGCGAGCAGATTCCTTCCAATCGCACATATGAGTCTTTCGCAACGCTCGCAATCCCACGCCACTATCGCGCATGCCCAGCCGTTGCCCAGAAAGCCTGTCGCAACGAAGCAGGCATTGGCGGGGCTTGTGCTCACCAGCTTCTTGATCAAGCCTGGAGAGTGGAGACTCTGGCGAATGATAAGAGTTGAGTGATAATGAGATGCTTGGCAAGCGGCGAGGTGGGTGCGACTGCAGGCGATTGCAGGTGATTGTAGCGGACCTGGATGCTGGAAACAGGTCTGCGGTTTCCTGTGTAACGGGTGGAGGTTGGCAATGCGCGGGAGCAGGGTTACGCAGGCACGTCAGGGCGTATGGTGTAATGGCGAATTATAAAGCTTACGAGCTCCTCAGTCGTCCGGAGGCACAGCCGCTGCTTTATTCTTACAGCTTCGTTGCTAGAGATACAAGATCATTGTCAATATGAAGGTCACAGTTGCGCTCGCTGTTCTCGCCGCTGCTGCGTCGGCGACCACAGAACTCAGGGAACGTCAAGATGGACACAACGACAAGCCCTGCAAGAAGAGGCCTGATGTCGCTTCGGTAAGCTATGAGTGCTTCACATCACTACTGAGTTGAGCTGACAATTTTGCAGAGGAAGCTGGAAGCCGACATCACCTCGAAGAAGCTGCTGAGGGGCGCTCAGCAACTTCAGGACTTTGCCTACAGCTACCCGGACCGTAACAGGATTATGGGCGGCAAGGCTCACAATGACACCGTCAACTGGCTGAAGAAGGAACTCGAGTCCACCTCATACTACGATGTCACCCTTCAGCCGTTCTCCAACTATGTCATGTTGAACGGCACGATCAACACCTTCACCATCGGAGGTAAGGCCATCAACGCCACCCTCTTCGAGTACTCGAACTCCACTACTGGCCTTGTTACTGCGCCTTTGGTAGTTGTGAGCAACTTGGGTTGTGAAGCATCTGATTACCCGGCCACTCTGGCCGGCAATATCGCTCTCATCTCGCGTGGTAGCTGCGACTTCGGCTTGAAGTCCGCTCTCGCCGGTGGTGCAGGCGCTGTCGGTGCTGTTGTATACAACAACGTTGCTGGTACCGTTTCTGCCACCCTCGGCCCCCCTCCTCGCGAGGAAGGTCCCTACGTTGCAACGGTCGGCATCACTCAGGCAGACGGTCAGGCCTACGTTTCCCAAATCCAGGGCGGTGCCAACGTGACCGCCTCTTTGGACGTCTTGACTGATGTCCAGATCATCACCACCAACAACGTCTTGGCGACTAGCAAGTGTGGCGACAAGAACAACCAGCTCGCTCTGGGTGCTCATACTGACTCTGTCGGCGCTGGACCTGGAATCAACGACGATGGCAGTGGCACCGTTGGTATCCTCAACGTTGCCAAGGCACTTGCTAAGTACAACGTCAACAACGCTGTCACCTTCGGCTTCTGGTCTGGAGAGGAGTCTGGTCTTCTTGGATCGACCTACTTCGTCGAGAGCCTCACTTCTGAAGAGTCCCTCAAGATCCGTGCCTACCTCAACTTCGACATGATTGCCTCGCCCAACTATGTTCACCAGATCTACGACGGTGACGGCAGCGCTTATGGCCTCACTGGACCTGATGGTAGCGGAGATATCGAGGAGTTCTTCGAGAAGTACTTCGTCCGCGTTGGCGTTCCCTCCAACGCCACTGAGTTCAACGGCCGCTCAGACTACGGTCCGTTCCTCGATGCCAATATCCCTGCCGGAGGAACCACCACTGGTGCTGACGAGGTCAAGACTGAAGAGGAGCAGAAGATTTGGGGTGGTGTTGCTGGCGAGATCCTCGACCAGAACTACCACCAGGCTGCCGACACTGTCGACAACCTCAACCAGGAGGCTTGGTTGTTGCACGTCCGCGGTATTGCTGCCGCTGTTGCTAAGTACGCCACCTCGTGGGAGGGTTTCCCAGCTCGCACACCCGTCGGTAACACCACTACTAAGAGGAGTGTGTCTGAGGTCCGCAAGACCGTGGCTGGCGTCAAGCGCTCGCTGAAGATGTACTAAAAGCCGTGCAAACGCCTTCACGATAATGTATAGATGATAATGCATGCATGCATGCAGCACATTGGCTGTGTGACCTACCTTGACCATTGCTCACCTTCTTGTCGTCAAACTGTCTCTGACAATGCAGAATCGAAGAATCGAAGCCCACTTAGAACTCAACTTGGTAAAATCCATTAGTCTTGCACGGCATCTGTCTCGGTCACAGTGCATCGTTGACTTGAACTTCCACCGTACGGCCCATTTCCATCACGACATGATCAATGACACGGCGTCTCCACAAAATGTCACATCTCGCCCTTGCATGCCCCTCGAGTTCGCCTTGCCAGCACTGACAGTCAGCACTGACATACAGAAATAAGGTTTGCGCTCTGAGCAAGACTTGCCACGTTCGCTCGCTTGCCAGCCAGCGCACGTTGCGGGCGTTCGCAATGCGCTGTCATGGGTGACGGGCGCCTGCAGCGGTCATCCGATGACGGATAGCCTTCTCGAAGCATTTCCGCAGCGGCGCCGGACACTGCAGAAGGAGACGTGAGGCGAGTTCGAATTTTGCTCAAACACCTCGTTTCGACACGCGGAGATGCTGTGCAGCGCTTCTCAGGCTCGCAGTCCCGACGCAGCGTCACTGTCACCAATCAATATCAGGCCTTTCATCTCCGTGAGAGCGTACTGCTGGCGCCGTCGGAATCAATTTTCGTGCTGGCGGGTGCTGTTCCGCTGGAGTGAGGGCGGGCTGAGACGGCGGCAGCCGATTCGCAGTGCGGGGAAACAGGAAAGCGAATGGCTGAACCCCTCGACCTGAAACACGGCGGGTGCGGCCTAGCGCGGTCTGTTTCGAGATAGCGGTGTGGAATTGCAGATGCTGTTCCTAGCCTAACCGCGTCTGCCATGATAGCCGTGGATTGCGCAAGAGCAGGCCATGGGACTTTGTTGCCCTGTGTGCCCAAGAACCGGGAGAAGCACAGTATCGTGACCGTTTCTTGAGGAAGGTCGGTGGAATGTTGCTGGTCTGCTGAGCGTCGGGATATCACGAGACCAGCCCACTTAGTTTTGGCCGTTCACCGCTTCCGGAAAGTGATGCTTGCTAGAGATCAACTCATCAGAAGGATCAACAAACATGCTTGAACTTCGGGGGTTTTTCCAGAACGGTTGCGCACAGTGCAGCGGCCGTCAATGCTGGGCATAACAGCTGCGTTTCTGCGCTTTGCCCCTCACTTATAGTCGTTGGAGATGGGGATCATGAATTGAACAAGAGGGGAGTACTCCATCGCTAAAGTATCTCCCACGGTAGTGGACGGCATGTGTCGGCGTTTAGAACGAGCAAAGCCGCCTCGCTGCTCGCACTCCCGCCGTGGAAGTGAACAATAGTGCTGCCACTCCCCTGCTTTTCAGTCATGAACGCGGAGTGATTGGCTGCACTGTGTGACGATGGATATGGAGCTGCTGCCGAATGACGTGTGAGCCTCGCCGCAAGCCCGTCATTTGGCGGTGCTCAATATCCCTGGGAGGGGCCCAGAGGCCTGGAAGCTGCTTGTCATCTTTGAGCACTACTGTTACCGAGTAGATTGGGCAGCCAGTGGGTCGCTTGGAATAGAAGTTTCCCTAATGATGGGCCGAGGCGCAGCGAACTGACAGTGGCACGGTGGCTAGCAGAAGGCTGAAAGATGGTGCTGAGCTCCAACGCAGCTGGGAAGGGATGAAGAATGAGAAAAGCTGGAGAAATCACAGCAAGTGCATGTTTATGTAGATCAGCGTGATCGAAGCAGCGCTCGAGGTCAGGGCACGGGTCGCCCTGAAGCAGTGTGCGGATTCCCGCGAGTGCCAGTAGCGCGTATGCATGGCGCCTTCCCAAAGAGCCCAGGGTCCACGCCTGCCATCTGAACTTCGCTGCAGGAAGGTCGCTCCTTCTTCTCTACTCACGACAGCTTGTATCGTACTCGAGGACTGACAGGCGTCACATCTTGACGCTCCCTTCTGTCGGTCCCTTCTCAAAGCTGCGCATATCCAGATTTGGCTGGTCGGGCGCATAGATCAGGCCTCACCCCGTGCCTCTAGGATACCACTGAGCCCTCACCACCGACTTCTGCTGGTTGACGACAATCCCCGTTCGCGTCCGCACAACAAAGGCCACCGAGGCCACCGGCCCTGTGTACGAGTACGAGTAACTTGACCGTGTATGTTGCGCCCCTGTCTGCACATGGCCACGCTGTTGTGTGCGCTGTCCGGAGGGCAGGCGCGCATTGCGCAGCTGCAGCACCCCTCCCTCACCGCCCTCAACCCCACACTCGAGCTGCGAGGGACAAATATGCTGACCATGGTGCAGTGTATTTCTAGTTGAACATGGCCTTCTCTTCCGGCTTTGGTGACCGTGGCGGCCTTCGCTCTCCTCGCGAGGAGCAGTCATCGTTTGCTGCTCTCGGCCTCACTTCTCCGCTGCGCAGCACCTTTGGCTCCCAGGCTGCTGCCTCCAATGCTGGCGATGTGCGCGGCCAGCTGCACCGACGCTTCACTACGAACAACATACCGACACTGAACACGCCATTGTCGCCAATCGGCCAGCAGCGCAGGCAAGCTGCTGAGCCTCAGGAATTCACAACTGCGGTACGTAGCGGATCCCTGTCACCGTGGAACTAGAGCATGGCTGTGCGAACATGTGCCATGTGCCAGTTTTTGCTCGCATATGCAAGTTGTGCAACTAGGGACCGAGCTCTGTTCGGTACCAGACAATACGAAGTGAATAAGGAACAATTGCTGACGACCCTGATAACAGACGTATCACAAGCTTCAAGTGGTAAGCAACTCTCATTCACTCCGACCTAGCTATTGTCTCTCACCTTGATTTGCGCTATTTCCCCATGTTTGCCAAGATTGTTTGATAAACATCACCTCGCGCTTTTTTACGTGTCCTTCTCCGCCCACTTTCAACAACGCCCAGTATTGCTACCATTGTCCCTTGTATTTCCCTGTTTCTCTCGGAGATTCAGATCTACCCGTTTACCCATCTCCTCTTTCATATTTCTCTACCTACCTCCACGATCACGCTCGTGACATTGTTGCCTCAGAAGCACACGCCAGTCAACCGCGTGACTGTGCTGACCGATTGTTAGCTCGAAAAGAAGAAGCTTGAGTACGAATATTTGAAGGAACAGCGTAGACGCTTTGAGGCTGAAATGGAGCTCATCGATCTGCAGTCTCGACGTGGCGAAGAGGAGATTCATCGCCTGTCTTCTGAAGTCCGTCTAAACAAGCCCGCACAAAGCCAGCCTACAACTCCGCCTGAGTACAGCGACAACGGGTTCCCAAACGCCTTCTCACGACCGAACCGCTTCAGCATGTCTAGTATCCAACAGCCCTCCACCAGGATCACTCCTCGTGGCAGCCGTGCCAACTCGCAGGTCACCTCACCTCCGTCATCCTCGTTCTTCAGCAACAACGGCCTGCCTTCCCAGTCTGTGCCTGGAACTCGCCGCAACTCCGATGAGGAGCATGATGACTTCGATAACGACGATTTTACTCCTCTGAGCCCAGCCTCCAGAAAGTAAGGAAACCTCTTTTACTTGCTACCTTTGCGTTGGTGACGTGGGGCTTGTGCCACCAAGCCCCACAACCACATTCCCACATTCCAATGCGTGAAGCCACACACACGTTCACGAACTGATTGAGCTGCTACAGGAACAACCGCATGTCGATGCCCGTGACTGGTCTTGACCTTCGTGGCCGTGACAACCTCCCAGACCTTGCATCCGTTCTGGGTCATATCGACACCACTGGCTATCTGTTCGGCGAGGAGGACAAGGAACACAACCCGGCTGCCTCTCCAGACCACAAGGCCTATCTCCAGATGAGTAACACGAACGATAAGTTCCCCATCCTTGTCCGTCGTGGCGACGCAGGTAATGGTACGAGCCTCTCTGCCTCTTCCGCTGCGCTTGATTTAGCCCTTTCACAATCCTCTGGTCCGGAGCCCCAGTCTGGTTGGCCGCATTACCGTACCCATCGTCAGGCTCAACAGTCGCTTCCTGCTAACACGCTCCGTAAAGGCTCGCACTCGCAGGCTGAGGACTATGAGAATGGCACTGCCAATGGCCAGACTACTCCCAAGAACAACCGCCAGTCCGTCGAGTTCAACTTCACCAGCCCTCTCCGGTCCGACAACCAGCGCTCCAGCTTTGCTAGCCCCAACAGCGGCATGCCGAAGTTGACTCAGTCATTCTCCACCAGCAACGTTCCCACACTGAAGAACGGAAATGGAGTCAATGGCACTGGTGCGAACGGCAACATCAATGCGCACGCTGAGCAGCACTTTAACCAGCACAATGTCAACCTCGGTCGCATCCCTCCTCACGCAGTCTCCCATCGACACAGCCGTGAGTTGTCGACCGGCTTCAAGGAGCAGGAGTACCGCCCCATCTCGTCCGGCCTGCATGCGAGTGCTGCTCCGTTCGGTCCTGCCATCACCTCCGCAGCTCCGGTCAACAGCAACGTCGGCAGCACAGTCGGCTCGCCGACCATACCGCAGTACTCGTCTACAACTGCCGGCAATGCTCCGTACTATGGCTATGGCATGAACATGCTCAACAATGCCATGAACGGCATGTCCCTTGGCCCTCAATACGGAGGCCCTCCTCCATACGGAGCCAACGGCATGTACCCTGCTGCTGGCCAGTACTACAACCCCTACGCTTCTTACGGACCCAACGGTCGTGTCCAAGACAGCCAAGCTCGCGTCATTCAGAGCCGCCGCATGCAGAATGACGCCAATCGCTTCATGAACTACGACCTGAAGACCATGCCTCGTCACGAGATCTATAGCTTGTGCAAGGATCAGCATGGCTGCCGCTTCTTGCAGAAGAAGCTCGAGGAGCGCAACACCGAATATCTTCAGATCATCTTTGACGAGACTGCTCCTCATGTTGTCGAGCTCATGACCGACCCTTTCGGCAACTACCTCTGCCAGAAGCTTCTGGAGTTCACCAACGACGAGCAGCGCACCACTCTTGTCCGCAACGCCGCCCCCGCCATGGTATCCATCGCGCTGAACCAGCATGGTACCCGCGCCCTGCAGAAGATGATCGAGTTCATCTCTACTGAGGAGCAGACCGAGATCATCATCCAGGCGTTGTCCGGCCAGGTTGTCGACCTCATCCAGGACCTGAACGGCAACCACGTTATCCAGAAGTGCCTCAACCACCTCAAGTCTGCGGAGGCGCAGTTCATATTCGATGCTGTAGGCGAGCACTGCATCGTCGTCGGCACCCACCGTCACGGGTGCTGTGTCCTTCAGCGCTGCATTGATCACGCTTCTGGCTTCCAGAAGGTCGACCTCGTCCGCCAGATCACCGCACACAGCTTCCACCTTGTCCAGGACCCCTTCGGCAACTACGTTGTCCAGTACATACTCGATTTGAACGACCCAAACTTCACAACGCCGCTGTGTCTTGGCTTCAAGGGCAAGATTGCTGAGCTTTCTATGCAGAAGTTCAGTTCCAACGTCATCGAGAAGTGCGTCCGCTGTGCCGAGATGTCAACCAAGGCTGCTATGATCGAGGAGCTGCTTGACGTTGAGCAGCTTGAGCGGCTCATGCGCGACTCCTATGGTAACTACGTCATCCAGACTGCTCTTGAGTTCGCACCATCTGAGCTCTGCATGCACCTCATCGACGCCATGCGCCCCATCCTGCCTCAGATTCGCCAGACGCCTTACGGTCGCCGCATCCAGACCAAGGTCTCGGAGCGTGAGGGTCGTCTTGCAGCCTTCACTGGTCGCGCTCCGTCAGGTCACGTCTCCCCGAGTACCGGTTCCGGCGCCCAGACTTCCGAAGCCGGCACGCCATTCCAGCCTCCCATGTACACTGCCTCTGTCAACTACGGCGCCAACATCGCTTCGCCTCAGCCTCATCGTCAGCCCCACCGCCTGAGCAACCCCCCTGTGCCCCACCACTTTAACAACTCTGTACACAACCCGGTCTACCAGCAGTACGGTGTTGCTCAGCCCGCTGGTGTAAGCAACTTTTTCTAGCTGAAGGCTTCCTGACGACGTTACGATTTGATGAGTTATGGTCACGCTCGACGCATTACTCACGCCTCATCACTACGCAACATTATTCCCCAAACGTCGCGAATCTTGCAACGATGTTGGCGCTGGCTGTCCTCGAGCAGCGATCTTTTCAATCTTCGATCTTGCTTAGGCATGCTGAGAGCTTTCGCTCTAGCCTCATTCGTACCACTCGCTCTCAACAGATCGCTTTGTATAGTACAGCGACATCAGCATCTGTGGAGCTTGGGTTGTGATGCATCATCAGGCGCTGCACGGAGCTTTCGTTTCTTTCCCTTGCTTTGTACAACCCTTGCCCCTTCTTGCCCTTGTTTTACACTCACCGATTCGCTTTACAACGATTGTATTCTTCAGCGTTCTGCGCACAAAACGTTCATGGCTCGAGCTTAGCTGCGATGAGGGCGGCGGTCATTTTATCCACTACATTGGAAGGGGTTCTTCAAGATGTATCGCACCGACCATAGATAGCAGTGCTGCCAGGCACCAAAATGAAAGCATCGAAATTATCAAACAGGTTTCCAGAGTTCAGTATGAGAAGACTGTATGGTGCAGAATCGGACATAAGTCCCACCACTAACCCTGTGCAAGTTCACTCCACCCATGGGAGTTCAAGGCATTTGCTCGGTAGGCTCGACACCATCTCTCCAAGATACCGGCCTTTGTTAACCCTTTAGGCTCTAGGCTGGCATCCACCGGACGGCCGAATCTGGGCACCCGGTGGCGGGATAGTCTACCAATCGTTGCGTCATCTCGGAGACTACACCGCGACTACATTTCCTTCGCCGACAAAAATGGAAGAACATATAATATGATCAGAACCTACAATTACCCTTTCAAATGTTCCTGCCTTATTTTATGGGAAACCTCCACACTAGAACGACAACAGCATCATGACAATCCCCGGCATCCCCTCCCCTGCCCTCCCTTACAACAGCACTGTGGTAGTCACAGGCTGCAGCGGCTTCATCGGCTCGCACGTCGCCGACCAGACGCTCTCTGCGGGTTTCAAAGTCCGCGGCGTCTCGCGCGACGCACGCAAAAACCAGTGGCTGAAAGACTACTTCGATGCCCGCCACGGCGCGGGGAAGTTCGAGTTAGTCTCCGTCCCAGACTTGGCTGCCGACAATGCGTTTGTGGAGGTCGTTAAAGGTGCATACTAATTCACGGTTGGGATGAGATATGGTGCCGTGGCTGGAGAAAGATGTTAACGGTGGGTAGGTGCGAGCGGATTCATTCACGTCGCGCATGACATGAGTGGCGCCGGCGACCCCTGCATTGCGATCCCGCAAAGCGTGAATATGGCGCTGAGCGCGCTGAAAACCGCGGCCGCGGCGGGACTCACCCGGTTCGTGTACACATCCTCTTCCTTCGCGGTGACGCAGCCGAAACCCAACGTGGCCTTCAGCGTGTGTGAATCCACATTCAACCAGGAAGCTGTCGACGCCGTGGCCGCGAAAGGCGCAGCAGCGGGCGGCGCAACAGTATACTCGGCCTCCAAAGTCGCCGTCGAGCGTGCCATGTCTGCTTGGAAGACCGAGTCCGGCGCGAGCATCGTGGTCAACTGCGTGAATCCTAACGGCAACCTGGGTCCCGTGCTGCAGCCGCAGCACCAGGGGTATCCAACGACAGCGAGCTGGGTCAAGTCGCTCTTCGCGGGCGAGTATGAGAAACTGAACCGCGCGCCGGAGCACTTCATCGACGTCCGGGACGATGCGAAATTGCACGTCATTGCCTTGGCGCACCCAGGGTTGCAGGGCAGGAGACTTTTGGGTCTGGTTGCGCCGGCGCCGATTAGTCGGATTGTCAAAATTCTGAGGGGGGAGTTTCCGGAGCGCGGCTTTGAGGATTTTGAGGATGATGGGGTGGACCGGATTACGAATTTGATGAGGGATGAGGTTGAGGGTTTGCTGAGGGAGGCGTATGGACATGAGTATACGCCGTTGGAGGAGAGTGTTAGGGCGAATGCGAGGGGGCTGGAGTAGTGTGTGATGGGAGCCATTGTATTTGTGCAAGAAAAGAATTGTGAGACGGGTAAGAGTGCCTACATTTCTGGGGCTTGTCGCTAGTTGAGAGGCTGCGAGAGTACTTGGCTTGCCCTCAACCTGGATTTGTGCCTCATCTCTCAGCTCCAGCGACTCCGGATCGCTCTCATGCCTTGCCTTCCTCGCAGCCTTCTATCTTGACTTCACTACGTTCTTCGCGGTTTCATCGCGGGAGAAGAAGTCTGAGGGATGAGTCACCGTCGCTAGACCCTCGACATTACCCACGACGTAACGCACAATCTGGAAGCCTCCCTCCCCTAGCGTCATCACGACTCTCAGACTCTTTCACACACGCCGCCTTACTCAGACTTCGACTTTCCATCCCAGGGCTCGTACTCGTTCAGAGCAATAGTCACTCAACGCAACGACTTCATACTGGACATCGAAGACCGTTCAGCGTATTGTACGGAACCAAGCTGCCTGGGGTTGTTGAGCGTTAGCGTGTTCACAGCGCTGACCATGCGATTGGATCATTGCGGGCTCCGCTCGCTCCGGACAGAGGCTACTAAGCTGATCCAACAACTACCCTGCAATCACGCAGTGCCGTTAGGCATGTGATTGCGAAACTTTGGAAGTCTCGGCAGCTCCACCTTTGACATACGACAGTCATTGTGTTCGTACTCGTTCTGAGGTTGCCGCTGGATGAGGTCATTTCACAAACCTCTGCAGGAAGCTTGCTGTCGATGAAGATGCTGTCGAGACGGTGCTCACTGCACTGTGTGTATTGACGTCCTCTACGGCAAGTTATTAGATCAAGGCCGCTCACTCAAGCCAACCTCTCGCCGGCACCATGTGATGATGCCTATAAACTCTTCGCCTTTCGAGGTCATGATCAGTGAGGTTTCGTTTACCAGATTCTTTCCCGAGAACCTCGCCCACCACTGGTTGTCTGCCATGTGCATGAGCGCACCCCAGACCATGAATATGGCCATGGCAACAGCGTTCTGCAGCCTCAGATGCTCGATGAACTCCAGCCCTGCGAGTGCGATCCATGGAAAGACTGCAGTGTTGTCGAGTATCTTCTTCTGGAGAGCCTGAATGGCATGCTCGAATACGGGTGCGGTGGCTGAATTTGACTTGCTTGCGTTAAATTTGCGCAGGTCTTCGAGAATAGGTGAGACCGTTGCGTGGGGAAGACTCGGCCATGACACATTGAAGATGCCGCTGAGGGGGCCCTGCTGCACCTTCCGTTGTGAAGTCTCAATAACTAGGCCAAGACCGCGTAGTATGTCTGCCAGCGGTAATATGGCTTCAGCGGTGAAATTGAAAGTTCGATTATGCCCAACAGGAAGGAAGGGCGAGACCATAACGCACACCATGATGAAGGTCGAACTTGCAAACACAGGATCGCAGTTCTCGGGCGAGAGCGAGCCGAGAACAGCTCGCAGGCCCGCAACAGCCCTGGTGTGATATCTCATGCCTGTACTTGTAAAGTCGCGCGATATGGCAGGGTCGTTCGTCTCGCAGGCGATGTGGAACGATGAGAGCGCAAGGAGAGCGTTCATAAGATGCGGATTCTTGAGGGCTACCTTGACGAGGTAGTCCTGGAATAAGTCCACCAAGTCTGGCGTGAAGTCTTTGGAGGTTCTCAAGCACCAGTGATGCAAAAGCTCGAGCTCACGGACTCGGTCTGGACTCCATAGTGCATCCTCCACGTTGCCCGGGAAGGTGGTGTTGAGAGCCGGAGAATCTTGACTCGTATCTACATCTGATGGCGAGGTCGATGTGACTGGCGAAATGGCTGTCCTCGGTGCTGGTACCGTGGTTGATCTGGTCGGAAACCTCAAGTAGACACAGCTCTCACCACGCTGAAAACAAGGCGAGCATTGTGGGACCTTTTCGTCGCACTTCACCCGTCTCTTCCTGCACTGGCTGCACCCAAGGCGTGACTTTGTGTGTTTTCGCCTGATGGGCATTGGTTAAGCCAGTACCAGTTATCGGACTTGTCTGAGATTCGCAGCAGGCATGTCAAACCTCCAAGGCTGTAAAATTATATACAGAAATCTTGTTGAGATGGCGGTAATGCTCACACCTCCTTGTTGACGCTAAAATTGGCGACAGACATGCAGGTACAAAGGACTGCGTGCGACAGTATGAGGCTGAAGTGGACGGCTCCAGCTTCGCTCAGGCGTGACCGCAGAGAAGATGTGTGGGATGCCAAGCTCGATGGTGATTGGAAGGGATCGCGGCACTCACCAACGGCGTCGACCGGGGAAGGCGCAGTGACGCACGCCTGAGGCTTGCTCTTTCCGTAATGCCCCCAGGCTTCCACCTTCCTTAACCATATGCAACTCCGCAAACACAGCACAGCACCAAAACCAACCTGATAAAGGCTTTAATCGCACGCTTCCAGTAGACCTCTACCAAACCCTCGAAATGCGCTTCGCTACCCTGTCCGTCCTGACCACCCTGTTCGCCGCTACCACCATGGCCGCCGCTCCCCAGAGATCTGTCATTGTTAGCTTCCCCAACGAGACGCCAGACTATATCGTGGAGGAGGCCAAGGAGAGCATCCGCAAGGCCAAGGGTGTCATCACGCACGAGTACAGTAGGTCGTGATACGCAATGCTGCCGAGGTCAGCCAACTGACGCATGGTCAGACATCATCAAGGGCTTCGCAGCCCAGGCACCTGCGTCTGCCCTGGAATTTGTTACCACGATGGGCGAACAATACAAGGTCGAGATTGAGGACGACGGCATCGTCACAACACAGGGCGAGGAGTAGCCCGCTCGGAAGACGCATGATGATCATCTTGACTTTATTGTATACACTTCCTCCCGGAACACGACTATATGGGGCACGAAATTCACTATTGGATTACGGAGTTTAGATTGGAGTATGGAAAGGACACGGCTTGGATACCTCGTAGCAATCTGATTTGTTTGCACTTCTCTGGCTCGCTCTTGATGCCAAAGAGCACTCCATTTGCACTACATGAGTAGATCGATGCGGCATATGTAACTGCCCTCGATTTAGTCTAATATAACGATTTATCTCAGAGCGCGCACGCGCCATCTGCTTGGTAAGAGGCGAGATTCAGTGTCTACCTCGCTGTTCGATTTAGAGGCAGTCCTTAGTGGACCCTGCAGCGGCAGGCGCTCACCCGTCCCCCACCAGATTAGGAAACATTCGACCTTTCACGTCACAACACTGGTCGCTGTCTCAGCTCGATTGCATCCTTATGTGCCCAATTTGACACCTTGCGGCCTGTGCATTCGACCCTTTCCCTCGCTCTGTCTCAGCCAGCGCAACATCGACGTGCACCTCCGCGGCGGGCGACGATCAATTTAGCGCAACAGCCCACGCCCACCGCCTATCGATCACCAACGCGTAAACACAACGGCGCCCACCACTTTTGCATGAATCGCCCGCCCACACATGATGCCTAGTTTGTGCCCGCCCTACTTGGAACCACGGAACAGCATACGAACGCGCACCTGCGGGTGGTGAGCCCCTTCAACTCACCATGGACGACTTCAAGCCCGAGCTCCTCCGAGCTCTGCTCGACTGGGTACACGCTGCACCGCTCCTCGTACTCTCTCCCAGGCTGACATAATCGCGACAGGTCAACACCTTTGATCTGCCTGGCCGGGTCAACACATGGAACCAACTGGAGGACGGCCAGATTCTCTGGCAGATTCTCAACGACATTGATAGCGAGTACTTCAGCGAGTCCCTTCCCATATTCGAAGAGGGCAACGATCGCCGGCAAAGCAACAACTGGATACCAAGATGGCAGAACCTCAAGCACATTGAGCGTGCTGTGTCGACGTACATACGCGAGGAATGCGAGCAACTACCCGTCCTCACAAAACGCATGATCCCCGATCTGAAGTCAGGCGCAAGAGAAGGGTCGACGATGCTCACGGCAAAGTTGACCATGGCTGTCCTTCTCGCTGCCTGCTTCTCCCCAAAGAGCAACCAGCGTATGCTGCAAGTCATGGCTCAGCTGGGCACAAAGACGGCGGAGCAAATTGCAGGCGCCATTCAGGAGATGCAGGCCTTGGATATGAGAATGTCAGACCTGGGCGTGGACTCGGAGCTGACGGTCGAGCCTAATCTGTCAGGATACCGGACGCCCACACGAGCCGTATCTGGCCCCGCGAGCACGCTTGGAAGAGACTCGGACTTGGAGCAAGAAGCCCAACTAGTCGAAGCGAACAAGGATAGACACGCTCTGAGGCAGCATGTTGGGAAACTGAAGCAGGAACTGGAAACCTCACGTAACCGGATTCTGCAGCTCGAGGAAGACCTGGCCGAAGCCACTGTTCATTTGGACAATCGCGCAGCAAAGCCCGGGAACTCAGACGACGTCGAGCAGCTACGAAACGATCTAGCGCGAGATCGACAGTACATCGACCAGCTCGAGACGGACTTGGCACATGCCAGAGACATTCTCGAAAGCCAGAATAGACGACTAGAACGGTTCCAAAGCGAGGAAGGTTCGAAACAGGACTTACGAGACCAGCTGCAGGTCCTCAAAGCGGAGCGCGACGAGCTCAGTCAGCGATCAAAGGCAAACGAGAACCTCAAGAAGAAGATTGAGACGCTCACCAAAGAGACAAAGAACTTGGAACAGCTGCGTGAGGACTACCAGCAAGCGCGTGAACGACTACAGCAGCTGGAGGCTATTGAGGAGCGATGCGAGGCACTGGAGAAAGTCAACAAGGAGAACAGTTCGACACTCGTCAACTGCGAACAGGCCATCTTCGAGGAGAAGGGCAAGCGAACAAGGATCGAGCACGAGAACCTTTTGCTCATGAAGCAGCTGGAGCAGACACGAGAGCTCCAGTACAGAGCCGAAGACGCCAAGAACGATCTCGAAGACAAGATACGGGATCTGGAGTCCTCGAATCACACCGACCGCGGTGGCAGTCTAGAAGAAGAGCTTGAGCAAGACGAGGCTGTCCCAGAGCTCGACACCTCACGAGCGACTGAGGCACGGGTGACTGCTGATACGATAGCATTGCAACAGAAGGTCGACATCCTCAACGCGCGCTTGAAGAGTCTGGAGGCCGAGACACTCAAGCAGATGACGGAAAATCTAGGACTGCGGTCCGATATGATGGTAGAGAAAGACGAGGAAAGCCAGAAACCTTTCTTTGAGCAGAGCGAGAAACTCCAGATGGCCGAGCAGGAATTGGAGGAGCTCCACCGAAGGCTGCGAGAGAAGGACCTGCAGATGGCTGAGCTCAGAAACGAGCTCAACAACAGATCCGAGCTCGACGACGAAGCTAAAGCGAAGGTTGTCTCTGCTGAGCACGAGCGTCTGCTGGCGTTTCAGCAACGGACGAACCAGAAGCTTCGAGATCTGGAGCTCGCCAACGAAGAGAAAGCGAGCCTTCTGCGCACTGCCTTACTCGACCGCGAGACACTGTCACCGGAGCTGCTCGAGCTGAAGAGGGCAGAGACTCTACAGCAGATACGCACTCAGGTACAATCTGTGATCAGCGCGCCAGCAGAGACGCAACCGAACGTGCTGGACACAACATCCTCGGAGATCGCAGAAACAGTACTCTCGTCAGAGGCAGCGCTCGACAAAGCGAAGAAAGTAAGCATCAGCCAACACTCCCGCACCAAATCACCCTCATCCGCTTTTGACGTAGCGGTATCAACGATGAAGACACGGCAACGCCTCGATCCGTCATACTCTGCCGCTACACTTATTTCACCAGTATCACCAGATAGGCTTCACTCGGAGAAGAACAAGTCGCTATCCGAGCTATCGACTTCGACGACCGGCACGGGACAAACTGCATGGGGGCGCGTCACGCACATGACCTCGCCGAAGAAGAGACCCGCAGCTGCCCGAGCCAGCACCGAGTTTATCTCAACCAACGGCTTTGATCAGGCGGCAAGTTTGTCCCTCGCCTGGCGGCGAAGAAGTATCATCGATTCCGGCATTGTTTCTCTCTCTTCCCTTAGCGTGCACCCGCAGGACCACCTGCTAATGATCGCGACAGGATCTCCAAGAGCAGATGGCCGCCAACAATATTTTGCGGGAGCAGCTGGCATCAGCGAAGAAGGAGACGGCGGAGAAGGGCTCGGTGAGTAGAACACAACGAAACATCAGCGTTCTGCATCACTGATCCGACACAGGTTGAACTCCAGCAGGAGGTCGAGAACCTGCGCCGCGAAAACAAACTCGTCACCTCCGCCTGGTACGACATGACCATGCGTCTCCAGAGCAACACTGTCGTTCTGCAACGCCGCAGCGAGGCGCCCAAGAGCTGGCTGGGCAAGCAACGCATCGCTGTGGGCGGATCAAGTAGCCTGGTGAGCCACGTCTTCCAGTCCATCAACATCCGCGTGTGCTAATGACCTCAAAGGGCCGACGGTAGCACCCTCTCGACCCCGCGCGATCCATGTTCCCGCTCTCCCTGTTTATTACACGCACGCTGTTCGGGCCGAAAGCGTGTTAGGGCATTAGGAGCTGAAGCCGAGACTGAATGTTTTACTTTGTCATTATACCCTGTCGGCATTTGCATGTAGCGAGGCGCTTTGTGGCCCGGACTAGGGGGGGGCTTGACTTGCGCTTGGCTTGGAGCTGAGTTGGAACGGGTGGCATGTGTAGATGGATAGCTTGCATATGCATTCCCCACCAATTCCTCTGCCCTGTATCAAGTCTCGCTGAGTGAGCGCAATGGCGCCTTTAAGACGTCTCCTTGGCGCCACTCTCCCCCCTACCGTCTACTCTTCGTCCGTCTACTCTTCGTTCCTCAACCACCTTGTAGCCGTCGCAAGTGTCCGTGCTGACGGCTCAGCCGATCCCATAGCTACTCTCTGGAGCGGGGAATCCCTCGCATCACTGCTCTCCCCATCTTCTAAGCCGACCTCCGCACGCTCAAGCCCCATCGACTCCAACACCACCGACCGCGCCATCAGCTCCCAAACCCCCGGCCACATCTGCGGCTGCAGCATCACCCGCCTCGCCACCTCGGTATCGATATCCCTCACGACCAGACCCGCCAGCGCGCGCCCCGCCCGAAGGGAGAGCAGATGGGCGTGCGACAGATTCTGCAGCGTCGGGGTCGTCGCGGGCAGACCCATGCAGCCAGGCGGCGCGAGCCACAGCGGACTCGTCTCGTCGCGCACGTCGGTGTAGTCGGGGTTTGTGTTCGTGTCGCCGCGGCGCGGACGGCAGTAATGCAGAGGCTCAGGCTCGAGCGCGGCACGAGCGGCTTCGTTGGCTGCGTGGTGGCGCCGGGCGCGCATTTGCGACTAGAAAAGCGTGCGTGGCCATGGCGGGGAGGTGTCGTCTTCTTCGCGCGGGCGGCTGGGGGGCGAGAGAAGGGCGCGTTCCTCCTGCGATATGTCATTGTAGGGTAGAAATGGATTTTGTCGTAGTACCTGGCGATGCATGGCACTGACCCTGGCTCTGACTGTGGCTAAATCTTCAGGTGCGGGTGGAAGGGAGCGGCGCTCCAGATTGGCGCGAATGTCTTGGAGAAGTGGGATGTGAGATGGAGAGTTCATGGCCGGTCCTGGTGTTGGTCTGTTGTCCGGTGCCGATGATGTTATTGGGGATTCGATCGGTCGTAGAGGAAAAGATGTGACGGATACTCGTGGCCTCAAGAATACCTGCGGCTGAGGGGGTGCCTGTTGCGAAAGCGCCGAGGGGGGTAGCAGGACTACCATGTCGTCTGGAAAGGGACACGAGCGTCGGATTCCATTAGCTCGCGAGGCGAAAATAGGGACAATTTCGCCCGCATTAATGGAGTGGACTAATGATTCTGTAGTCCAGGGCGTGTTGCCCATCAACTGTGCAGGAATGGGGTACGCGAGGTGGGCACAGATCCGTGTGATTGTGAAGGGTTCCCCGTTTGGCGGGCTAAAGCGCAATGCTCCAGGCAAGGCAATCAATCTGTTGGGTTCGGCTGAAGGAGGTCGCGCATCTGTTTGATGAAGGGGACCTTGTGGCGTTGCCGCGGGTAGCTCCGCAGGGCTTGAAAGAAGATCATTCTGAGGCTCTGGAATGACTGAGCTATGCGGTTGTGACATATCAAAGTTGGCCTACAGAGTCAATGGCGTACTGACGATGAGCGTCAGTCGGTCTGTGTACGACAACGAATGTAAGAATGTATTGTTTTGCGTGAGGATGAGTTGAGATGAACGAGATGGATTCAATGTAAGTTGCGAGCTTGTCCCTGTGCTTGCTGCGTCGTCTAGTGTTGCGCTTTCTGTGGCTTGGTGATCTACAGAGCAGGCGCCCCCTGCTCGCCTGCCTGAAAGTACTTGGTACCCATTACGCATACATGGCCTTCGACCTGAACTTCAATAAACCGTTAGAGCAGCCAGAATGGCTACGTTCAAGGTTGACTCTCCGATACTAGAAGGAATTGTCGTCCTCTGCCAATCGTGTAGACTCTAGAGAAGTGGGCTTTGCGCAGCTGGATTTCGGCAGTGATGTCCATCAACTTTCTTGAAACAGACCCAGGCAGTCTATCGAAAAGGTTGCGATGATTATCGCGCACGAATTCAGAATAAAATTGTAGTGTTCAAGTCGAGGCCACAGTCGCTACTAGTTAGTGACTGTCTAAGTCTCCCCCTTTCCGAGAAAAGCAACCGTCTTCCATCCCAACCACCCACGCTCATCCTTACCTCGCGGCGGCAACTCGCCAATCAAACGGCCTCTCGCGTCGTAGTACCAGACACGCCATATGATGACTACGAGAACGGTCAAAGGCATCGCGATGACCCACAACAGCCAGAAGTCTTGCGACACGCGTATATGCCATGGCTCTTCTTCATCTAGCTTCATGAATTGCGTTCCAAAGATGCCAGCGACAGTACTGAGAGGCATGAAGATCAGCGTCATGACTGCGATGGTCTTCATGCTCTGGTTCTCGGACATCATGATGCGACTGTCGCCAACGGTGACAAGATGGAAGGAGAGCTGGATGACATTCGCCATACGCTTATCCAGGCTCGCCAGCCGCCGCTGTGTGGATTGGAAGAGTGTTTTGCGATACTCAAGTGCCTGTCGTGTAAATTCCTGAGCAGGCTCGGGGCGGTCGCCAATCGCAGCTGAATGGTGATGGCGCAGCCCCGAAAGCGTTGCAAGAGCCGAGTCGCAGTTCTCACGCAGGTAAGTGACGTGTTTGGCGAGGTTATGAAGACCGGTGAAATGGTCTCGAGGCAGCTGATCGACTTTCCCGGGAGTCGTAGCCAGCTTCAGAGTTTTCTATTGCAGTGTTAGATACGAGCAGCGAACCAGGACTCTCCAGCCTGAACTTACTGTCTCGATCTCACCAAAGACGTGGGAAATATCCCATCCAATACGATCAAGAATTTTGTACATTTCCTCGAGTACAACCTCCAGCAGAATGTACGGGTCCTGAACCAGATCGTCGCAAATGGCAAACCCTGCGAGTTTCTGGAAACGATTGCCCAGCGATTCAGGTGCACCGAAGCAGAACAATTCGATTGAAGACTCTACTGATGCAGAATTCATCGTCGCATCGCTACTCGACGTTCTCGTTCGACTAGGCATTCTGGGCAAACTTGGCTGCTTCTTCACCTTCAGGACGAAACCGGGCTTCAGCCAGCTGAAGTCGGCCTGGCTCTGCATTTGTGCAGAGATATACGCCTGACCAAGTTCACTGCTATCCTGTATATCTCCTTGCGGATGAATGATCCGATTGCCATCCACATTCACTGTCTTGCAGAGAAAGTGGAACCAGACGTACGTTGTACCGTCGATATCTTTCTGCGCCGCAAAAGACTGGGAGATGTTCTGTATACTTTCGGCAATGAAAGCACTAGGTATCTTGAAGTTTTCGAAGAGTCTCATCAGCCCATCTGCTGTCTCTGGAGCTGGAGCATCTCTTGGAGCAAACCTGCGAAGATTAGTGCTGTTTAATGCATTATCGCAACCATACCCACACCACTCGGACGGTAGGCACGTCCCGAGCTTCCAGGTCAGTTACGGACCGGACGTTCTTGACCTCAACTCCATCTTGATTGCTTTGTGACCACTCAAACAGATGTAGCGGCAGCTCGGTACTGGCAGACTTGCTCTTTTCATCGATCGATCTAGCACTCCTAGTCCGAGCTGCGAGCTTGAAGGGCTCGAAAGTTTGGCGATCTGCTGTCAAGCTTCGAAATGCGGCCATGTCTGCTTTGCAGTTCACGCTTCAACATCAAGATCTGAGAGCTGCACTAATACCAAAGGTCGTTCAATCGTGCACAGACTCTTTAATTCCTGCTATTCGGTTGAAGCATTCTCCTGCGCCCTCTCACTCCGCGCTAATGCACGCTCATGAAGGCTGAAGCGACGACATGGGAGATTGCCTCGGAGGCAATTTTCCATGTCGTCGCTTCCTGACACACCTCGCTAGGAGGGCCAGTCCACCATTTTCAGCTTTCACGCCGGAGCGTACCACAAATATGCCAGCTGAATGCAAGTGGATCCAATATGACTCCCCACGTGCGACCTGTGCAGAGACATTGGCGCTTCATATGCACAAAAAAGGAGAGTGTGGCGCAAGGCTGAGATCGACAAGTCACCAATCGGCACGCAATCGCCATCGAATATCCCAGTGCAGCACTTTTCAGCCCCCAGTTCTTGGGATTGCGAAACGCGAGAAAAGCGAGAAAGACATGGCCAATGACAGAAAATCGAAGTGAGGCATGGCAAGGATCCTCGCGCGCGCTTGGAAACGCGCGTACATGATCTGCACGTTCAGGCACAATTACACTCGCAACATCGATCACGAGGCTGGGATTTTCCGAAGAAGATGACAGCTCTATTCATGAATGGACGAGCGTACAATCGGATGCTGTACTCGAAAGAAGCTATGACCAGCTTGACGGACTCTCTGCAGCGGCTGCCACGCATACTTGACTACAGTAGTAGCTGCCATTCCTCGACTGTAGCCGAAGATGGGGACTGAGATAGTCGTGAAGATTTCGGATTGATAACAAGCATTGAGCGAATGGTAAGGACAGGCAAATTCTACCATAGCCCTCGGTTCTGCAACTCCCAGCCCTTCCAATATTAGCAATTGTCTAATTACGGCGGGCTTCAGTCCTGTGAAACCACTGTCGCACAGTGTGGGGGCTGAGATACTCACGTTCGATAGTTGCTACAATTCTTCACCGGTGAAGAAGCAACACCAGCAGTGAATCAAACTAGTCCTTGCGTGACCATGCCGGCTTGCTACCGTGCTGGTAGGGATACGGCAACAGTACTATTGAAACGGAAGCAACAATCTTTCTTAGACGTGGACGCAGCCTTTGACGAATTATGGGCAGAAAGCAATTGCTGAAGCCACAATACCGCAGGGTATGATATAGAAGGGCCCAGGCCTACTGCATCCATACACTCGCCATATGAGTGCTAGGATGGGGCTATAAGCGGCCGCACACAGACGCTGGGGTCGAAACGAATCTGCATTGTTGGCGTTCAGGTAAACCTTGTGGCACTTGCTAATCATTGCTCAACCAAATATTAAGGTTGCGAATGCGGCAGCTCACAGACACAAATTGCACGATCTCAGCTTCTTTATCACGGCTCGATACTTCCAAGTTGAATGGCAGGTGAATCAGTTACTTCTGGATGTTCGCGAGTTCTGACATTCTCTAGGCATACGCTGCCCATGGTCCTCACGGTGGTGGTCAAATTCCTAACGGCAGTGCTTTCGTACAGAACAATCCTCAACCCACCGTTCGTAAATTATCCAGCTTCTCGAGAGTAAGCATCAGAAGTACTGAAAATTTTAGTATCAGCCAGCGCACGGCGATGCAATATCTCCAAACTCACCTCACCAGACCAACCAAGTAACGGCTCAGTGGTTCGCACCTCACGGTGGTGCTTTCAACCCCAACTCTCCATTTGTCACATACCCAGTCATTGCCCAGCCGCAGCCTTTTGCAGCATCAGGACCGATATACAAGCCTCAATCCGGCGCTGCTGTACAGGTATGACGAGCTAAGTCCATCGAGCTTGCGACGCTGACTAGGCACACGTAGGAGACTTCAAACCCTTATCCCTCTCATTCAGTTCAGTACAGACCGAAGCCTAATCCACTTTTTCAGCTCTGCTCCTGTATTCGCTGAGTGGGACCCTACACCGCATACATGGTTCGCAACATGGCGCACGCATCGATCGAAGAAGTCTCGGGTCATGAAAAGGCTTTGACTCCGGTATGGAACACATTCTCACCCAATAGTTACCATACTAGTGCTAACAATGTGCAGTACGTCCCCGTCAGACTGAAAGGCTACAAACATTGGTTTGACCCGTACACATCCTGCAAATGGGATTCGCCAATGGCCTATCGTCAGTCGCCCCGAACCTGTCCGTGTAATCAGAGGCTAATATGATTAGGCAAGCCCGGATTGGGCTACCAGAAGCTCTCCAAACATCGCCACCGAGATGCATTTGAGCGTGAATGGGTGGGTGACTACGATGATCGTAAGTGATGTCTGTGGGTCGTGATAAGTACTTGCTGAACACCCCAGGCTACATATCCTCGTGGGATGGTAAGGTATCCAAACTCGTGGTCCAAGCTGTCGATGAGATCTATGATGAACAGATCACCTGCACGCATCGTCGTACTTACATCCGGAACATCGCGCCAATATATCTGAGACTGGCGAACTGGCCATTCAACCACATCGACCCCAACAACAACGATGGCAAGCCTACGAGTGCAGGCAAGACGCCTTATCATACTACCTGAAAATGTACTGACAAATTACCAGACATGCCTATGCTCTGCTTCAAATGGTTTGTCACGGCCATTGCGATCAGCTTTGTGGTACGTGATAAGTCACTGGTGCAACAGAGCCACAGACTGACCATAGGATAGATCTCAAGCCCCAGTCCCGGATCCATCTCCCCGCGAAACGGCGGCAACTATGACCCAGTTCCTTACAAATACTATGATTATCCCAAGGTAGCACGTAATAGACTGGAGCTGAATAGTCGCCGAGACTCCAACGGTAGCAATCCGCACGCTGAACGTGTCCTGCGTCCTCGATATCTCTGCTTCTTACAGAAACCTGGTGATCCAGCATTGATCATGAACGTAGAAGAGTGGGTCACGCAATACAAGTCTGAGCGCAACTTGTCTTACATCTTTGTTGCGTACACAGCAGAACAGTTCAAGAGCAATGATGACCTTATGGATTTGCACCAGATGGCAGATGCAGCTGCCCGCAACGCTGGCGTGATGGCCTACTGGGTTGGCTGCTCTTGCATGCCTGATCAAGACCAACTTCAAGAAGATGTAAGTCAACTTAGGCTTTACCTCGACTCTACTAATGCCAGCCAGGTTTACCGAATCTGTGATGTGATCCGGGGTTCGCAGTCCCTCATAATTGCTGTCGGGCAACCTCAAAACGACACACACGACATCAGCACTACAGATCTGATGCTGCAGCAGTGGGGAAACCGGATCTGGACTTTCCCCGAGATCTTGTTGGCCCCTGCTGGCAAAGACATCAAGGTCTATCTGCGCGGCAGTGATCTTATGCAGCCACTTTGTGTCCCGAAAAATCAATTCGCGGCCAGAGTTTGGAGGGAGGATGCGCATGTTGCTCGTCAGGTGAATGCCACAGTTCGTATGGATGAAGTCTTGCTGATCTTGTAGCTCGTTGATCACTACGAAGGCAATCTTCTCTTGAGCCAGCTTGAGCTTGTGACTCTCGCACTGGAATGCCTCCACAAGCGCAATACGTACCAGTATCTTCCTGGTGACTACAGCTACGCACTGATGGGTCTCGTTCGCATCCGACCAACGATTGACCCTACGGACTCTGCTTTCCAAGCTTTCGCACGGTAAGATATCGATCAAATACAACGAACCGCGAACGTTAATTATCGCAGTCTCTCGATGGCGAACGGCAACGATCAGCTCCTGGAGCGTCTGATCTGCGTGCTTCCCCGAGTCCCCAATCAGCCTTGGCACTCCATGGACGACGCTTATGATGCCAAGCTCTGGGAGATTTTGCCTGAAGGCGTTGAGGTCGCTGGTATCGGCCACGACGACACCGTCATTCTTGATGGTTGCCGCGCCGCTAACGTGCGCTGGAAGTCGTTCACCCCAGTAGCTAACACGCGACGCGAGTCCTGGAAACGCATGCTTGCATCGGTACTGTTGCGACTCAGTGGCCTCACCTTCTTGATTGGTACCGTGCTTGTTGCGATCAACCAACCCCCAGAGTCAAACGCAGGAATATCCTTTACCCAAGGTGCTGGTTACTTCCTTATCATCTACTCTATCTTTTTGTTCTTCCTATCGCCTTGGCTGTTCCGCCTACTCTACCTCGGTAAGTTCTGGGATCAGCAATGCTGGTTCTTTGGATTTGAGGGGTACATGCCTATCAAAACCGTCGAAGAGCAGATTTTTGGGGGCAGATTGAACCGCCTGAGGTGGACGGCATATGCCAGTCCATTGTCAAGACATCACAAAAATGAGCACAATGAGTGCGTCGCCGATGATCCGACCACAGACCCTGAGATCAAGGCACTGGTAGAGAGGTGCAAGCACGCTGGGCCTGGAGAGCAGAGACTGTTCACTCTGGTAGACACAGGTACGTGGCACCACAATTTACTGTGTTGACTGATGCTAATATCCGTCAGGCAATATGACAGTTACTCTCTTCCTTGCCGTCCGTCCACCGACCTGTTTCCTCATGGCAGGATCAGAAGGCGGCATGAAGCGTATTGTTGGCTGCTCGTACGACTGGACTACTTCAACCATGTATCGCGAGACAGTGCTACGCATTGAGACCCGATTCGAAGATAAGATGTCGCGCATTGGCCGTGTCAAGGTTGGCTTCAGGCGCGAACAGCATCCGGTGGCCCTGCTCACTCACGTTGGCGAAGCTGCTGGTATGAGGGTGGAGTAAACAATCAACGAGGGCTTGAAAAGAGTAGGTCGCGAATCGTGGGCTCGTATTTCTCTTATTCTGCGATAGTGTAATAATGCAGCGTTAGTCCAAGTTCCATCTGTCAATCTTGCCTTCGCCCACTTTCTCTGGCCTATTTGTACTGACATCTGCCCGTGCCAGGTCAATCAATTTGCGGAACACGAAACTCATGGATGTATGTTGCGCTTCTTCACTTAACTTGTCCTTTACGTATGCGGTACACGACGCTCCTAAGCTCACGCAGTGATTATCTTGTCCATGTCACTCCCGTTAAGACAGCCATCCAACCAAAGTATGATCGCCCATGTCTCAGGAATTTTCACAAGGGACTAGGGTAGGCACCGACTTTGACTCGGTCATTCATGACGCGTGCAAATCCATTTCGACCCATTTTGGTTTCCTTCCATGGCGATGACCACCACTTATGAGCAGCTGTCACCTGGCATTAAGATTTCACAACTCGAAACAACCGTGGCAATTCACGACATCGCCCTACCGGTACGCGAGATAGTCGGCAGTGCGGGGCGAGACGAATCCGTCGTTAGCCTGATCATAATGCAGACACTCATCGGCAATTCCGCAAACGTACATCCAGGCTTCAGCTGAGACGATGCCATGCGGATGCTCAATTCAGGCTTGACTATCTGTTTTAGGATGTCAGTGTGCCATCTGCTGCAGCAAGTATCCGGGCTATGCTGTGTGCGCTGTCGCGATCGGGCCATCCGTGCGCCGACGCCAGCTGAGTGAGTGGGGCGGTCTCTCGTACCTACCTTCGTACAGTTCCTCCGCCCATCCCAAATGTGACATGTTCAGCTCCTGCGTACCACACCAAGCATGATACTATGAGCGCCTCTTATTCTTGACAGCAAGTTGGCTGTCTATCCACACCTGAGTTCATCGTAGTGTGCAGTTTGAATGGATACCACGAGGAGTAACACCTCATGCGTGGCGCAAAGCGAGTTTGCTCAGTGCTGCGGAGAGGCCGACAGGTGTGCGTGCATAATCTGGTGCCATCTATCTTTATAGTGTCACAAGTTCAAGACGTTATCATTTAAGAAAGGTATCGATACACCTGGCGACGATATCCATCACCGCACCTGCACTCGGATCCCACATCCAAACCACCATGACGACCAAGAAGCCCTTCATTGCAGATTTAGGCTCTGGCATTGATCAACACGCTCTGATACGTAACACGCGTGGAGTCGTTCGACAGAGTGCTCACTACTGGCAACACAACGAAGATGTCAAGGATGACAACACGCCCGGCGTTGATGGGTCTTACTGGCCGACCGCACTTGACATTGATCAATTAGAGGGACACGACCATGCGGCTTTGCTTCTGGGCGTCGAAAGTGTTCCTGAGGGGGAATGGTTAATGTATGGACATCAAGGAAATACGCCTTTGTTTAAGCAGAAGAAGCCTTTGGTCGTCCCTCCGTACAGTAACGACCATTTTTACGTCAAGGACATCAGCTTCAGAGTTCCTTGGGCGCGTAAAGATTTCCCTTGGGGATTCGCTGGCGACGTCAAGTGGACACTTCGCAGGAAGTCGTCTTCGCCGGCTTCCGAGTCCGAAGCTGAATGCATCGATCTGGGCGTCACCCGCCTCGAGTACTACGGCATCGCTAAACTTGCGCCCTTATTTGGCGGGGCTGTAGACGTGGCTTTCCTCCGTACTTTTGTACTGCCCGCTCGATCCTCCAGCGCCACTGACTGGCCGCGTCACGTTGCCAAAGCCGCCTTCTGGGACTTTGGATTCCGCTACAACTCTTCATCTGGAGCATCGTCTTACGCATCAGGATACACATCCGAGACGTTCAACCTCCGCCGTTGGACCCGGGACGCCGGCAGGAACGAGCTCGTCAACTGTTACGACCAAGCAGGGCTGGTTCAGATCGCGCTCGCGCTGGCAGGACCCAGAATTGGAAAGTCACAGATGATGCATCTCGACCCTTTTGGATTTGTAAACCCTACTGAGCTGGTTGGACGCGGACTCACGAACAACCCGTTTCCGCACAGTGCTGAGCAGGCAGCCAAGAAGGCGGGAATCAGCAATACCTGGCTTGTTGATCGGAATTCTCCGTACCGCTCGCCCTTCTCCAGACATACCTTCGTCCGTCTCGGAGATGAACATGGACGCATCATAGATGCTTGCGCAGGGCCTCATCTGGGCACCGAAACTCTTCAAGAGTACATAGATGCTGCTGTCAGTCAAGTGTCTGAAGGGCCCAACGACGACGATCCGAACACGACATTTCTCTATTCGAGAGAGATTTGCAAGCACCCCGCCACTGTGGGAGATCTGAACCACTCACACCGCGGGGTCACGGCGATCAACGCTTGTCCAATTCCTAGTCCCGAGAAGGCCGAGAAGCGAGAGAAGACGCCGTACAGCAGCGTGAGTATGTCTGTGGCCACCTCCAAAGGAACACCGGCCGAGGCACCTTCCAAGTTCCGGTTATCCGACCTCACTGACGCTCTCGAGCGCGCCTCCGGTATGAAAGTCGAGCTGGAATTGCGCGTCAATTCTTTCGGCGCCCACGTCACGTACGACGTCCCCTGCTTCCTCCCGGACGGCACTGAGAAGGATGCGATTGACGTGCAAATCGTGGTGCTGCAGACAAATGACCAGGCGCAGAAGTACTTCGAATGGGACCTGCACAACTACCACAACACGGATGCGGAGCATTGGGAAAAGCTTGGAGTCCCGGAGTTCGACGACAGACTCTCTCTAGCCAGCGCTGGTGTTGATGGCAAACGCGGCGTTATAGTCTGGGTACGAGGACAGATGTTCTTGCGGGTGGAGGGCTACCCGTCCTCGATCGCTCTCTGGGAGGGTTACGGGAGGGAGCTCGATGCACTGCTCAGAGCGCCACGAGGGGATTCTTCGTTTCAGGTCACAGTCAGCCCGCAGGACTGCACTGTTGCTAGATTCCAGACATACGAGGCTCATATCGGGGTGAGTATCGTCTCGATCCCACATGACTGTGATGTAGACAAGCTGACAGAATCGCGCGGTCAGATCTCGCAGGAGCAGAATGTGCACTGGACAGTCACGGATACGACGAACACGGACGGGGCTGAAGACCCCGAGCTCTTCCAGGTGAGTGTTTTCGACTGTGTATGAGCTTATAGAAGATTGATACAGGGTGCTAGGATTTGTTGCTCATCGAGTCCTGGGCGGGTGCTGCTGAAGCGACCAAAGTGCAGTTCACGGGGGTGAGGAAGCCGGTACGACACAAGCTCCTGTGGTGTTTTGCAGACGAAGACGATTCCCTGCGGACGTACGCTACAGAGACCACAGTGCAGGTCCAGAGCGTTGGCCAGGAGCATTTCCGCTAGTCTGCACCACAGGACTGACCAAGAACACGAGAGGTTTGTAGGGAAACAGCGCATTCTCACAAGAGACGCCTTCCGCGACTGCATTGGTACTACAGATGCTTGTGCGGTCTGCCTTGAGCCCTTTGGTTCGACACATTCCAGCACGCTTTGTCAATGCAAATACGTGTTTGGCAAACACGTCTGCGTCGGTGGTTGTCGATGGGATTCAAATAGGTGCCCAACGTGCCGGACGACTTATGGAAGAGGGGTTCAACAGACGTACCAGCGTATTTAGTAACAACAACACATTTAGTAACAACAACACCAGGTCAACACATATCAGAGGACTTACTGGAGACTGCACCTTCTATCCCCAAGCCTGCGAAGCCACATGTAGTCAAGCAGAGTAGACAAGCGTTCCTGTAGGGGCATCATCGAAGCCTGCAAGTCGTCTATTTTTGTAACGGTTGAGCGTCTATTTTTGTAACGGTTGAGAGGAGAAGCAGATCACGTGTTGTTGGCGGTGGTCTGGTGCTGCTTCCTCATGTTGTTGAGCACCTCTTTCCTCAGCGGCATCACAAACACGTCATCAAAACAGACCCCGCGGCGAGCCTTGGAGAGCAAAGATACAAGCAGGACAACAACAGAAGAACACAATGCACTCGTTATATGCATTTGCCCTTGATGCCGCAACAATTTTTCTAGTCTAAGTGGGATCTAGATAGTGGGGAAACTTTGCGTTGTGTTGTACTGTACTGTGTTGTACTGTGTTGTACTGTGTTGTACTGTGTTGTGCTGTTGTACTGTATTGTACTGTACTGCACTGTACTGCACTGTATTGCACTGTACTGCACTGTACTGCACTGTATTGCACTGTACTGCACTGTATTGCACTGTATTCTAATGCTCCGTCTCGACGCCCAGAAGCAGTTACATATGGTACACCCTCCTTCCCCCTCCACTCCGTATCTGCCTCCGTATCTGCCTCCACTCCGTATCTGCCTCGGTATCTGCCTCCACATCCGCCTCCACATCCGCCTACAGCTCATCCCGAACAGCCCCCCCCTTTGCGGCCAGATCCGGCATAGCCATAATCTTAACGACCAAGCTAGTCCAGCCAGTGAAGTGCTGGGTGCGCTGGCCCTTGCCCGTCTCGGGATTGTACTGTTCCCACGCGAACCCCGTGTCGAGCCAGCTCTCGTAGACGGTGCGGACGAGGTTGCTGCGCAAGTCCGTGTACAGCTGCGCGGCGCGGGCGCGGTGCGGGCCCGGTGTCTGCGCGACCTTCTGTCAGGATGTCAGCTGGTGCGGGCTACAAACACAAACACACGTCAGATCAATTACCAGAAGCTGCTGCACGGCGAGGTAGTTCATGTTCAGCCAGATGGGGCCGCGCCAGTAGTCCTCGCCCGTGTGGTAGAGGGCGTCGCTCTTGCTCAGGCTGCGGAGGCCGTGGGCGGACCACAAGTGGTCCTCGTCGGCGATGAGGTCGAGGATGGCGCCGAGGTGCTTGCCGTCGGAGCCGACGAGGCCGGTCAGGAAGGGGAACAGCGAGACGTAGCCCTTGTGGCACACGAGGGCGTGCTCCTCGTAGTCGTCAATGGTGGCGTCGCAGTAGGCCTTGTCCTTGGCCGACCAGTGCAGGTCGTCCATGTTGCGGACAATGGCCTCGTCGTACTTTGCAAACTCGGCGGCGTCGTCGTGCTCGTCGACATGGACGGCGACGCGCCTGATGGCGCGCGTCATCATGCCCATCCAGCTCATCAGGTCGACGTGCAGCTCGCCGGGGTGCGGCGGCTGGGCGCGCGGGTAGTCGTCGAGGCCCGACGTGAGCACATGCTGCGGGGTGCGGCCGCGCCAGCGGTAGCCCTCCTTGGACGAGAAGGCGTCGCGGTCGTAGCTCTTGATGTCGCCGGCCTGCGTCTTGCGGAACCAAAAGTAGTGCCGCTTGAGCAGCGGGTACAGGTCGTGCAGGTACTGCACGGCGCCGTCGCGCGGCGCCGTCTGCGCGTCGAGCTTGTCGAGGAACGCGTCGATGACCATGAACAGCGTCGGCGGGTTGGCGTAGTGCGGGTACTGGACCTGGAACTCGGGCGGCACCTTGCTGCGGGCCTCTGGGCCGAGGATCTGCTCGCGGCCAATCCAGCCGTCGTCGTCCATGAGCTTGAACCAGCTGCGGACAATGTCGAGCGTCGTGTCGACGTCCCAGTCCATAATGGGCAGCAGGTGGAACCCCTCGTCCCAGAGGAAGCCGCGCGGGAAAAAGGGCCGCGAGGGGATGCTGGTGAAGAGCTCGCTGGGCGCGACCGTCTCGGCGGCGTTTCTGGCGCGCGCCTCGGCCGCCTCCTCCCAGAAGCCCTCGTTGGCCTCGTCGTACGCCTCGTCGTACGAGCCGTCGACGCGCGAGTCGCCGTAGAAGTAGCCGATGCCGCCGAGCAGGTTGGAGAACAGCGACTTGGAGAAGCCCGCGTACCGCTCGTCGCTGAACGGCGGCTGCGGCTGCAACACGTCGGCGAAGCGCGCCGCAAACGCCGCCGCCGCCGACTCGATCTGGGCGGTGACGTCGGCGGGCGTCACGGCCGCGGAGGCCGACGCGGACGAGAAGATGACGTCAAACGAAAACGCCCCGGCAAAGACCTTCTGCACCATGTGCATGTTGCCGGCCCCGGGGGCGTGCTGGATCGTGTAGACCTGCGCCGGCGGCGGCGGGTTCTCCTGCGGGTACTTGGCCACCAGCTCGTCAATCTGCGTCTTCATGTGGGAGAAGAGCACCGCCTTGGCCTGCCACAGGGCGTCCTCGGGCAGCTGCGCGCTGTGCACGAGCGTGCGGTCGAGCGGCTTGTCGTCGGAGCTGGCGTGCTCGAACCGCGGGTGTTCGCCGCGGCCCTCGGTGACGCGCACCTCAAAGTCGCCCAGCTCGGGCGTGTGGCCCGCGAAGACGACGTCGCCGGGAATCCCCGTCTCGGCGCTGTTGGCGTCGGCCACGGCGACGCTGCCCAGGCCCTCGAGCGTGTGGTACCAGACGACCGTCGTCTTCAGGTCGGCGTCGGCGTCGTCGCGCGGCGTGCCCGTGATGCGCGCGCCCCAGCTGCCGCCGTGGGCGCCGCCGGGGAACTTGACAAACTCGGTCGTCATGTCGATGCGGTTCGCGGGGTCGTGGATCGTCTGGCGGCCGCCGCGCCGCACGTCGTACTCGTCCCAGCCGTAGCCGTCGAGCTCGTGCTGCTCGCACGTATGGCGGAAGCTCGTCTGCACGCTCTGGTAGTCCTCGACGCGCGCCCACAGCAGCCCGCCCATCAGGCTCTTGGGCACCCGCGGCCGCACGCCAAAGTACAGGTTCGGCCGGTACGGGCCCCAGAGCAGGCTGTCGTTGCCGGCCGCGGCCTGCGCGGCGTCGGCGTCGTCGGCGGCGACCCGCAGCCATTGCGACTGCAGGCCGAGTAGGCACGCGACGCCTGTCCAGAGGCTGCCGTGTATCATTGTGCGCGGGTTGGTCTGTACCACCTGCGGTCGGAGGTGAGGAATGAATGGGCGTCTGGAGTGCCGTCGCGGTCAAGTTTTGTACCAATCAACCAATCAATCAGCCAATCAATCAATCAATCAACCAACCAACCAATCAATCAATCAATCAATCAATCAATCAGCCAATCAATCAATCAATCAATCAGTGCCGTCGCGAGCTGGCGACGTAAGCTTCTCGGGGCCGAGTGGGACACTGCCGAGGTCCTTGATTGGCTGCATCCGGCTCATGGCCGCGCACGCCAGTGCAGAAGCACACTGGCGTCTGGCATGCCCAGGATCGCTATGCATGCAGAGATGGTGCGTTGTGGTACGTTGTGGTGCGTTGTGGTAAGTCATGTACGGGAGACGGTCAAGATGAAATGTTGGTGGTCGCGATACTCCAGCACGCAGCACCAAGGTCCTTTTGTGCTGCCTCACGGTGCGCTTGCAGGACGTCCCAGAGTCCGCCGCAGCTGATACTCGCACTCTTCCCGCGCACTCCATCACCCACGGACGCCGTCACCCAGCACTTTATCACCCAGCACTTTATCACCCAGCACTTCATCCCCAGCACTTCATCCCAGCACTTCATCACCAGCACTTCATCCCCAGCACTTCATCACCAGCACTTCATCACCCGCACTTCATCACCAGCACTTCATCCCCAGCACTTCATCACCAGCACTGCATCACCCAGCACTGCATCACCCAGCACTGCATCACCCAGCACCCTACCCCCTCCCCGGCGAAAGCGGCCGATTGAACCCGCCCTGCCGATTCATGTACTGCCTCGCCTCCATCGTCTTGTCGCGTCTGACCCCGTAGTTGCCCGCGTTCCCCGGCACTTTTGTGTTCTTGGTGCTCTTGAACCCGCCGAACCCCATCGTCTGCATTACCGCCCACGTCTCGTCGTCCATGTCCTCGGGCCGCGCGTCTTGCGGGCCCGTCTTCGTTTCCGTCTTCATTTCCGTCTTCGTCTCAACCTCCATCGCCTCGGGCGAGACGGCCTTGGCTGACGAGGAGACGGGCTCGGGCCTGATTGCTCTTGGCGCGCGCGGTGGTGCGTGTGAGGTCCGGTCGTTATTGCGGTCGTTGGTGCGCCCGCCGCGGCCCCTGCCGTCATGGCCGCGCCCGCCGCGCACCTCCCGTCGCGCCGGTGAGCGCGATCTGTATCGCCCCTCTCTGCGCCCGCCGTCTGCGCGCGGGCTGCGCGACCGAGCGGGCCGGCTGCGTGTGCTGCGCTCCGTGGCGCCGTCTCGCTCGCGCGCGCCCCGGGCGTTGTGCTTGTCGCGGTGCGGTTCGCGCCGTCGCTCGGTGTCTGACATTGTGTTGTGTTGGGTGGACGGGTTTGGGGGGGCGCGCGTGGTTCTGGCGTTCTGTACTTTGTGATTGCGTTCTGTACTTTGTGATTAGGTCCGAGGAGCGTGCAGGCGGGCCGGGCCTAGCTCAACTTGCCGGATGTGGAAGGTTTGTGCAAGTGTGGATTGCCTTTTTGCGCCGTCTGTTGCTGCTTTGCGCCGTCTGTTGCTGCTTCGCCGACGTAGCGCCGAGCTCTGCCTCACCACAACAAGTGGTCCTCTAGTCGTGATTGCTTTTCGATGTGCATCGGACATGTAGCGAAACCCTCCATGCCGGATATATCGTAAACCCTCCATGCCGGATATGTTGTAAATCCTCCATGCCGAATATATTGTAAATCCTCTAAGCAAAATATATCGTAAACCCTCTAGTTATGCAAAATATGTCGTAAACCCTCCATGCAGGATATATCGTAAACCCTCCATGCAGAACACGTTGTAAACCCTCTATGCAGACATGTTGTAAACCCTCCATGCAGGATGTATTGTAAATCCTCTAAGCAAAATATGTTGTAAACCCTCCATGCAGAATATGTTGTAAATCCTCCATGCCGAAAATATCGTAAATCCTCCATGCAGAACACGTTGTAAACCCTCCACGCAGACATGTTGTAAACCCTCTATGCAGGATATATTGTAAACCCTCCATGCAGGATATATTGTAAATCCTCTAAGCAAAATATGTTGTAAACCCTCCATGCAGA